TTTCTGAAATTGTACTACAAGGTTCCATATCACAAAGGGAAAGCTGGAATTGAGTTTGGGGGTAATTGCCGAAACGTTTAGGAATTGGGGGCAAAAAGGGGCCAAAAATAAGCATTTTTCTAGTTTCCAGACAATAACTTGTGTTCAACTGTATGGATCTTTCTGAAATTGTACTGCAAGGTACCATACCACAAAGGGAAGGCTGGGATTGAGTTTGGGGGTGATGAATCATAAGGGGGTTCAAAAAATTTTGGGGGGGGGGATTTTTTTTTTTCTTTTAAAATTTTCCATTTTAAGTTGGTTATTTCTGATTTATATTTAAAAGCAAATAATAATGATATGGTAGGAGATACACACCAAACAGGATGTGTAAATTTTTATATAATAAGTATTGTGCAATAGCAAGAAATTTTCAATTGCACAGTATTGCACAATAGCAAGAAATCTTCAATTGCACAGTATTGCACAATAGCAAGTAATCTTCAATTGCACAGTATTGCGCAATAGCAAGAAATATCCAATAGCACAATATTGCACAAAGCAAGAAATTGTCAATTGTACAGTATTGCGCAATAGCAAGAAATATTCAATTGCACAGTATTGTGCAAAAGAAGATACTTCGTATAAATTGCTTATTTCTTGACCAATTTCAATGGGGTTTTATTCTTGAATTCTTGGGGTTCTTTAATATGCTGAATCTAACCGTGTATAAGGTTTTTGGATTTTGGGCCCCGTGTTAAATTGGTCCACATTGCGGTCCAAAGGGTCCAAAATTAAACTTTGTTTGATTTCATCAAAAATTGAATATTGGGGTTTATTGATATGCCGAATCTAACCGTGTATTTAGATTCTTAATTTTTGGTTCCGTTTTCAAATTGTTCTACATTAAGGTCCAAAGGGTCCAAAATTAAACTTAGTTTGATTTTAACAAAAATTGAAATCTTAGGGTTCTTTGATATGCTGAATCTAAACATGTATTTAGATTTTTGATTATGGGCCCAGTTTTCAAGTTGGTCCAAAATTAAACTTTGTTTGATTTCAACAAAAATTGAATATATGGGGTTCTTTGATATGCTGAATCTTACCATGTATTTAGATTTTTGATTTTTGGGCCCCGTTATCAACTTTGTCCACATTGAGGTCAAAAGGGTCCAAAATTAAACTTTGTTTGATTTCATCAAAAATTGAATTCTTGGGGTTCTTTGATATGCTGAATCTAATCATGTATTTAGATTTTGGATATTGGACCATAATAGGTGAATGTCCAATTTTAAATTTTTTAAGTTCTTAGACCACATTCATTCTGTGTCAGAAACCTATGCTGTGTCAAATATTTAATCACAATCCAAATGCAAAGCTGTATCAAGCTTAAATGTTGTGTCCATACTTGCCCCAACTGTTCAGGGTTCGACCTCTGCGGTCGTATCAAGCTGCGCCCTATTTATCAAGAGAACTTATCATTCAAATGGCAAAAATAAAAGGCAACTTTGATGTTTATATTTTACATTTTGTAATTACAAATCTCAGCTTGATTTCATGGGAGAGTAAAAATAATATCAACCATTGAATTAGAATATTTAAGGTTGTACAAATGCTGTCAGTTAAATATTAGGTGGAAAGTTAAATGAATATAAAACTGTTATGTTAGTCATTGTAGCATTTATAAAAGAAAATGGGGTTTATGTCAGGCATTTATGTGGCAGCAACTTAACAACAGTTACAGAAACCATTAGACATTTGATACAATATCAATGAAAGAAAATGTGGAACATTTCGCTGAGATAGCATCCAACAACAATACAAGCCTTAAAAAAAAAGCAGATGGTATATGTTTTGCTCAATGCCCTTGAATAGTCTAGTGGATGGTTTTACCATTGGCAAACATACCACATCTAACTTTTTTTTAACTACAATAGGAATAAAAGAAGGTATAAAGAATACATCAATGAGACAAAATTCTAGAAACAACGGAATAGATTAAAGATCTGCTATTTCATATCCAAATTTCATTAGGATAAGATCCTCTTAAGTATATTTTATTTTGTTAAAAGTGTAGACGAAACAACTAAGCATTTGGTAACATCAAGTTGTAACTTTATTTTTTGGAAAATGACCCTGTCAAAGCGTCAATTTTACTATACCATTGACCAGATGTCATTTTATCGCTTCCAAGCCATCTTCCAAACTCGGTTCCTTATTTTACATACCTATGTACTGTACAGAATTTCATTCTTAACCTGTCCATATGTTTATTGTTATTAAATGGTATTTTGAGCTATCCCTTTGGTATATTTTTCATATTTATATGAGCTTTTGCTTTTATGTGCATGTCTTTACAATCCTTAAAAAAATCAGAATATAAATAGATCCGTATTGTTATGGTTTTGGACTTTTTACATACCAATGATAACAAATCGCTATCGCTAGACAAAACAGTTCTTGAAAGAATGTCAACCTTGTCAGCTGAACTGTAAAATCATTCAAAAAATAATAATCGAAATTTTGAAATCATACGAAAGATAATGGTCTTTATCAAAATTTAAGAAGTTTTAAAAAAAGCGAAAATTAGTAATACGGTTATATCCACGTGGTGCCTATGTATTTTGTTTACAATTTGTTACTGCTGCAGACATAATATAGGTCAAATATCGCAGGGGCTAGTTCAATTAAAGAACAAAATGGCGATATTGGCAGAAGTTTTTCCTGTCAAAAAGTCTTTATTTCTTTCTTGATTTTTTTCACTTTAAAAAAAAATTAAAAGATGCATAAACTTTATGAAAGGAGTAGGCAGTGCCCAATAAATCATACCAAAAGTATATATATATAGTCTAGAGATTTGCACAACGATACTAATATAAGATGGTATTATACGAAGATGTTGTTATTAAATCGTGTTGACAAATATTTCGGCTTAACAAATAGCCTTCTTCAGTGTCAATAATTTTAACAAAATATATATATATATATATCTTGACAAACAAATAGAAAAAGCCATAGACATTGAAAACAATTTATATCTATTCTATTGTCAGTCAGCCTACCTACCATGAACTGAAAAGTTTCCTAAGATTCAGTAGGTAAATTATGTGAAAATCAAGACTTGCATCAAAAATATCCCAACATTAGAGACAATGGCGTCATTTTTCCTCAGAGCTTTCAGCTCTTTGATTAGATTAATTTTGTCATTAATTGTAATTTGTAACAGATTATCTATAGTGAAACAGAAAAATAGTTATGATGTATAGGGAACCTTTGGTAACCATCTGAGGGAAAATTGTTTTTACTGACCTTAAAATAGAAATGTCTTAAAACCTTTAAACTGAAAAAAAGTTCCATAAATAAACATGTCAAGACGGTTTGATTTGATTGGTGAGAAAATTGATTGGTTTGAATCAAATACTGTGTTAGGAATAAGATTGACCTTTGAAGCCAATGTCACTTTTACATTTACAACAGTTGGGGTGATGAGTATCAGTGCAATTCTTTGACAGGGGTACCAGATGTTACTGAATTCCTGTCTGATACTGGCGGCATCCTGTGTTATGTGTCTTGTCTGAGAAGGTATTACTGTTAAAATGATGAATAGGTCAACCCTGATAACAAAATTTAGCCATTAGAAATCTGAACATAGCAAGGAGATTCAAAAAGTTTTTGACTGCTCCTAAAGTTTGAATGAAATTGTTATGTTACTATTTATAGAACTTAAATTGTTTTATCTGATGTTCAACATAACAATTGTCAAGATGGAGGACAGCAATAAAAGTACTGATTATTAAAAACAAAATTTATAGTCTCTACCTCCACCAGGTTACAGGAGCACAATTATTTGCAATGCATTTTCCATAGGGTACCAGTGGTGTTCCGTATTTTACTTCTCGAAGACTACACTAACTAGGAAAAAACGGGTACCTGAGTTCCTGTTACTAGAAATGCCAGTGTTGCATAACAACCAAAAAAAATATATATGGTCATTCGGCAAAATTGACTTAAAATGCAGTTGAACAACATCGTCTATTTTTTTTGCTTAATGAAAAAGGCATATTTTTAATGGCTCTGATGTGCAGAAATGGAAGATATTTTCTATACTTTGTAAAATGTGAATTTTATTTTCTAGATTTTTTAAACCTAATTAGATAAGTTTTCGATTAAAAGTTATTCCAATCCTATATCATCCAATCAGAAGCCGTTCAAGATTCTTATCTGAGTACCATCTTGGGGTAAGATTTTATCCTTTTTGGAATTAACAAAATACATGTATGCGTTAGTTGATAACAGTACTTTATCTGTAGCATTGGAATTATTGACATTGGAAATTAGAATACAGAAATAGTACTCAAAATATTTGTTGTTGTTGTGAAATAATAAAAATAATGATTCCTTGTTTGTTTATATTGGTACATGTATTTAATTAGTGTTTGTTGATTCATGATAATCAGTATTTAAATGGCTCCTGTACTTCCCATAGACTTAGAAAGTAAAAATGTTGTGTAAAACAATTTCTTCCTTTGTCTCCAGGAAACTGTGTAATAGATTTACCATCTGTATTTGTGTGATGATGTAAATATGATAAACACAGCTGTAACTATTTATAAGTGTAAAACACAGATTTTTTGTAGCCATGATAAGAAACTTCTCTTTTCAAAATTTTGTGTTATAAAACTATTTAACAAGTGGTAAGTTAGTAGATTAGTTCTAAAGTTTATGGGATTTGTCTTGAACAGTTTAATGGAACTAAACATTTCAGGACTGAACTTGATATAAAAAAAATGATTTAGATACTGTGCATGCATTTAACTGACTGAGGGCTTACTTTGAGTAGGCTAATTGACAGATAAAGTTTAGTAGTGGTAACACCAATTCTATTTTCTTCACCTGTTTTCAGTTATTATTTGTGAGAATGGTTAGTTAGAATGTTATATTATTTTTATTGTACCCAGTTTGAGGGAAACAACAATTTAGAATAGACATATTGGCTGAAAGTTTTGTACTTTATATTTCAGAACTTCCCTTTGGTTGGGAGAAAGTAGAAGATCCACATTACGGAACATACTACATCGAGTGAGTACTCATCTAACAGAGATATACATTTATAATTCTTACGTTTTTTGAAACACAATTAGTTTTTAGAGTAAAAGTTAAAGACTTCTGAAAGAAAATTTCTGATTTGTTGGATATCATTAATATGAATGTTGATGGATTAGTTAGTAATATACTTTGTTAGTTTAAACAGTTTGTTTTTTCTAACAGAGATTAAGAAATGTAGGTCATGGCATAATGCAACTGAGAAAATCATAGTGTATATAAACATGCTGCTTCCTTCAAAATAATTAACATTAATTAACAAAATATATTGTATGTTGTATGGAAATGTTCTCTTGATTCATAATCAAAATAGAGGATCTGTGTAAGATTCATAGCCTCTATGTAAAGACAAACTATAGATTTGAGAAGTTTTATTAAAGGGTTTTCCAGAAATGTCTTTCTGAAATTTTAAGGTTTATTTTCATGGGCAATAATTTTAACGGTAATACTGAGGGGAAAAGAGCTATTTCAAGGATTATTGGGTCTGAACATTTTTATTGTTTTGGTTTTCTTCAGAGGAACATATTTTTTCCATTGTACTAAATTGTGTTTTTTTTCTACCTACAAGAATGTATATCCATTTACATTGATGACTATATAATGGTTGGTACTTACTGTTTATATCATTTTCCCCTTCCATCTTTCCATGGAATAAAATGTTTTTTGTAAAGTCCTATGGTGCCAAATTTTCTGGTTTTCCCTCCTTCTAGCCCCTTGTACATTTTCTTCATGTTTAAGTTTTTTTATGCAGGTTTTTTTAAGAGATGAGACCTTTGTCTTTATTAGAAGAAGTACTGTATTATATAGAATTGGAGTGTTTAACATTTTTTTCATTATAATGGCAATTATTGGTTAGTTTTGTCCTTTATGTTTTTATATAATATCTGTACTTGAAATGTTTACATGTAATATATGATTTACAACACAAAACCCTTACAACACTTATATATTACAGTCATGTTAATCGAAGAACACAATATGAGAATCCTGTAGCACAAGCAAAGAGAACTCAAGGTAATTTTACATAAGCCAACAGAAAATTAAATGTTAACAGATTGTTTTCCTTTGATAACAGTTACTTTGATTAACCAATAGCATTAGCCAAAAGTCTTAGTTAATCAAGTTATCTCCCTTACATAATAAAACTGTTATTAAGTATTAACTAAGAGAACTCAATTTAGCAAGTTATCTCCCTTACATTATAAAACGATCAGTTGGTATAAACTAAGAGAACTCAATTTAACAAGCTATCTCCCTTGCATTATAAAAACGATCCGTAGGTACAAACTAAGAGAACTCAATTTAACAAGTTATCTCCCTTACATTATAACACAATAAGTAGATACAAACTAAGAGAACTCAATTTAACAAGTTATCTCCCTTACACTATAACACAATAAGTAGATACTACTAAGAGAACTCAATTTAACAAGTTATCTCCCTTACATTATAACACAATAAGTAGATACAAACTAAGAGAACTCAATTTAACAAGTTATCTCCCTTACACTATAACACAATAAGTAGAAACAAACTAAGACAACTCAATTTAACAAGTTATCTCCCTCACACTGTAAAACGATCAGAAGGTACAAACTAAGAGAACTCAATTTAACAAGTTACCTCCCTTACACTATAACACAATAAGTAGATACAAACTAAGAGAACTCAATTTTAAAAATTATCTCCCTTACATGTACATTATGAAACAATAAGTAGGTACAAACTCATTAGACAACACAATTTGAAAAGTTATCTCCCTTACATCATAAAACTATCAGTAAATACAAACTGAGACAATCCATTTTACAATTCCCTTACATCATAAAACAGTGAGAAGGTACAAATTAAGGGACCTCAATTTAACAAGGTATCTGTCTTAAATAATGTATAAATTATTATACTTACTAGTGTGATATCTACTGATAGATAGTGTGTTCAGCGTAAGTTGGATCACAAATAAGCAGTGTGTTATTATGGTATGTGTGTTCATTGTGGAAACATGGGCATCAGAGGAAAATCTTATCTAAGTATTGTGAAATCACTGTGTGTGAAATGTTTTTGCTGTAAACTTTCTTGATGGTAGCTTGTTTATATTTTCAGGAAATGATTTAAATAGTACTCTACCTAGAACAAAGAAAAGTCAGGATTCTGCCAAACGCTCTACAAGTGATTCCAATATGATGAACCACCATAGAGGAGCACCTCCAGGTATGTTATTTTAAGGTGGTGGATGCTGAAGTTTATGAGTCTTTGACATTGCTTATGTCTTGCTTGTAAAACTGTATGATGACAGCTTTTGAAATAATTATATTTTGATTTAAAGAGCACAATTTAAAACATGAATTGGAAATTCTGATATATATAGATATCTATATATTGTATTGTAAATTCAGAAATAATGATGAGGATTTTATTAGTGTGAATAATGGGACTGTTTGAGTATCGCAATAATAAGAACTCATATTCTGATATCTTGAATTTTGGTTGAACATGTCAAAATTGCAAAAATAAATGCTTGCAATAATTTCTGAATTTATAGTATATGTATGTGTTAATTTATGTAAGTGTCTTGATAAAGGCTAGGTTAATTACTAGTGAATCTGGTTAAAAGATGTCCATGTATGAACTTAATACCAGATTTACCCTGCTATTATATGTGTTGCACAGTTATCTTCTTATCTTGTTACCTGAAACCTTTATAATTACCTGAATTTCTAGCCATTTAAGGAGATTTTTTCTCTGAGATATAAGTAAAATGTTGTATTGATTTGAGAATTGCATGTCTAGAACAAAGATTGCATGTTCCTTTTACAGACTACAGTCAGCATGGAAAAGCTCTGAGGGGACGCAAAGGTTCGTTAATAATTTATATTTTGTCTGTATAAGGATTATAACTCTGCTGTAGTGATCAATAATTGATTTTCTAAACTACTTGGTATATATTGTCTGGAAAAAAAGTACCTTTTATCATTGATTTGTATATACATTTCACTCACCTAGACCAGTGTCAGCTTATTGCTATCACTTGACATCCCTTTTATCATTGCTTTGTATATACATTACACACACCTAGACCAGTGTCAGCTTATTGCTATCACTTGACATCCCTTTTATCATTGCTTTGTATATACATTTCACTCACCTAGACCAGTGTCAGCTTATTGCTGTCACTTGACATCCCTTTTATCATTGCTTTGTATATACATTACACATACCTAGACCAGTGTCATCCTATTGCTATCACTTGACATCCCTTTTATCATTGCTTTGTATATACAATACACACACCTAGACCAGTGTCAGCTTATTGCTATCACTTGACATATCTCTATTATCATTGCTTTGTATATACATTTCACTCACCTAGAACAGTGTCAGCTTATTGATATCACTTGACATATCTCTATTATCATTGCTTTGTATATACATTTCACTCACCTATACCAGTGTCAGCTTATTGCTGTCACTTGACATCCCTTTTATCATTGCTTTGTATATACATTACACACACCTAGACCAGTGTCAGCTTATTGCTATCACTTGACATCCCTTTTATCATTGCTTTGTATATACATTACACACACCTAAACCAGTGTCAGCTTATTGCTATCACTTGACATCCCTTTTATCATTGCTTTGTATATACATTTCACTCACCTAGACAAGTGTCAGCTGATTGCCATCACTTGGCATCTGTTGGCAATTAACCATTATTAAGAAAATTCTCCTCTGAAACTTCTTGACCAATTGAAACAAAATTGAGTAACAATAATCTTTAGAATATCTAGTTAAAAAATGTATCTGATGATCTACCCTGTCAATAAACATAGAAAAGTGCAAGGAATCTTTATATATCTTGAAAACCATTTCAGATAGAAAAAATATGACGAGGCAGATGAAATGTTTAAATGTAAAGATCAACCTACTGGCCGTTTTGACTGAAATGGTCAGAAGACTTTTTATAGTTGTTTTTGCCCTTATATGACAATTTTTACCATTTTTGTCGAGCCTTCGAGACATAGCGATCCTACATTCCGTCGTCGGCGGCGTCCACAAATATTCACTCTGTGGTTAAAGTTTTTAAAATTTTAATAACTTTCTTAAACTATCCTGGATGTCTACCAAACTTGGACAGAAGGTTGTTTATGATCATAAGATAATATTCAAAAGTAAATTTTGTAAAAAAAACAACCTTTTTTCCGTATTTTACTGATAAATGGACTTAGTTTTTCTGCCAGGAAACATTACATTCACTCTGTGGTTAAAGTTTTTGAAATTTTAATAACTTTCTTAAACTATCCTGGAAAATACCAAACTTGGAAAAAAGCTTGTTTATGATCATAAGATAGTATCCAGAAGTAAATTTTGTAAAAAAAATAATTCCATTTTTTCCGTATTTTACTTATAAATGGACTTAGTTTTTCTTCCAGTTAACATTACATACAGTCTGCAGTTTAAGTTCTTAAAACATTTATTAGATTCATAAACTATCCTGGATTTTTACCAAACTTGGACAGAAGCTACTTACAATCAAAAGATAGTATAGAGAGGAATATTTTTAATAATTTTTTTCCTCATTTTCGCTGAGCCTGTGATTAACACCAAAAGTAGGCGAGAGACTGGGTTCCGCGGAACCCTTACAAATTTTTTGTATTATTTGCTATTATCTTGAAAACTATAAAAGATAAAGAAAAAATTTTAAACGGAAAATTCAACAAATTTTTACAAATGCTCATGTGAAACAAATTAAGCTGGATAAAATACAGGAGTTTATATATATATATATATATATATTAATGGCTTAATTTTCAATTGTCCTATTTAAGTGTTAAAAGTTTTTGACAGTTAATGTAAGTATAGTAACCCAGTAAGTAGGTCTACAATATTAGTATTGTGTATTCCATGATGTTTTTCTTGGCCAATGAATACACTGTGGGATGATATTGTGGTCTATCATTTTGTGTAAAACAAGATGTGTTATGTTGACCAGTTGTTGCCACATTTACATTACAATTGATATACATATATGTGTGGAAATGAATGTCATTTGGTTATTTCAATATTTGTGTTTTTGGGTTACTGTTTCATTAATGTATAACCTCCTTTTATTGATATCAATGACTAAGAGTTGCTGTTTGATAATACTTATTATATTATAAGATAAAATTGGGAATGAATTAAAGGATTTTTGTCATTCGGCGACAAAAGTCACGGAAAGCGAGACATAGGGATTGCTTTTACGGCTTCAGCTCCGGCTCCAGCGTCAACAATTGTTAAGTTTTCTGCTTAAGTTAGTTTGATAGGATCTACTTGTGATAGATCAATGGTATATTGTATGAAGTTGCATTACTATCAGGACATATCAGTTTGACAACTATTTTGAGGCCTTGCCTTGCCCCCTAGGACATGGTCCAGTGATTTTGAATTAATTAGCAATTTTCAATGTTAAGTTTTCTGCTAAATTTAGTTTGATAAGATCTACTGGTGATAGATTAATGATATTTTGTATGAAGTCGCATTACTATCAGTACATATCAGTTTGATGACTATTTTGAGGCCCTGCCCCCTAGGACATGGTCCAGTAAATTAGCAATTTTCAATGTTAAGTTTTCTGCTTAAGTTAGTTTGATAGGATCTGCTTGTGATAAATCAATGATATTTTGTATAAAGTTGCATTACAATCAGTACATATCAGTTTGACGACTTTTTTGAGGCCCTGCCCTCTAGGACATGGTCAAGTGACTTTGAATTAATTAGCAATTTTCAATGTTAAGTATTCCACTTTAGTTAGTTTGATTAGATCTACTTGTGATAGATCAATGATAGTTTGTATGAAGTTGCATTACTATCAGTTCTTATCGATTTGATGACTATTTCGATGCCCTGTCCCCTTTGTCATGGTCCAGTGACTTTGAATTAATTAGCAATTTTCAATGTTAAGTTTTTCTGCTTAAGTTATATTAATAGGAACTATTTACAATAAACAACGATATTTTCTATAAAGTTACATTACTGTCTGTACATCTTAGTTTGTCGACCATTTTCAGGCCCTGCCCACTAGATCATGGTCCAGTGACTGAATTAATAAGCAATGTTGCTGTCCATCAGATTGTCTTTTTCTGAATATTATGCCGATAGGCGAGACATATCTCTGTGTCAACAGTTTATTTTATACAAAAGTAGAATCATGTCATGGGAAATGTATTCATATCTACAATCTACATTCCAATCTGAAGTGAAATTGATCAACATTCTAGCTGTATACATTTTCCTTTGCTCAAGATATTTTCTAAAGATTTAAAAGTGCAAAAAATATTGTTTGAAAGACTAAATTGGGTTCAAGGCTATTTTTAAATTGGCTGTACATTCATACCTTCTCTATAATGCTATAATTACAATAACTTACTACAAAATGTCTTTGTGTAATTATCTTGTCTTGAATTTCCCTCATATTTTGACATTCCTTGATTTCATATGTTTGAAGAAAAATTCAATGTTAGATATGAGAATTGGAGAATAACACATGGTGAGTCTTAAATACATGTACAGGGTGCTGATACGTAGTTACTTACTGAAACATTACTTCATTGTTTTAAGGGGTGGTACCTATATAATGGATGGTGTGTCATATACATTTTAAATGATTTAAAAAAGATAAGTGTGAAAATGAGAATATCTTTTAATTTAAATCAGATGAAAGTGATACACTAGAAATTAAAGGACTTCTGTTCTACGTTGTCATTAGGGACAGTGTTTAGCAGGCTGTTCAAACTGTGTAAAAATCAATCCTTGAACATGTGAATCATATTACAGCATACATTCAGGTTTATACTGTAAAATCATTTCATGGTCTGATATGTTTTAGTCTTACGTAATATATTTGAGCTTTGATAATCTGGATATCAATGGCAAGATTTTATGAGATAAATTGAGAGCTGTTTTATTACATTTGCAGGAACTGACATGTCTCTTTAGTAATAGTAAGGAAGTTTTGCCCAATGGCGAACATCAATTAGACCTTGACCCAACAATATTATTTAACCAATATTGACATGTAGAGGTCATCGTATGACTCTGAACACTAGACAAGTTTGGACACTGTATGATAAGTCTTAAATTTCCTCAAATCATTTTGTTGGTATAACACACAGGTGACCTCAGAATTTACAGCCAGATTAAACAAAAGTTTTAAAATGAACATTTTTACTTTTTTATTTGAAAGGTATGAATTTTTAAAAATAATTAAAAGATGGTTTGAGTATCTAAGAAAAATTGTATTATTGCCTAATGGAATAAACCCTGATATAATGGTTACATTGGGTGATGTATCTTTAGTTAAAAAAATGAAATGTATAATGTACACAATCAAAACATTTTTAATGCATTTAGTTCATACAAAATATAATGTTATATATATAAGTTAAGTTATGTTCAGTTTCTGTATCTTTAAAACAAAAATGTTAGCAAAGAGATATTTCAAAAAACATGTTTAGGATTAGAAATACTGTGGATTCATTTATTTTCATAGGTTTTAATTTTCGTGTATTGATTAAAAATTGTGTTTTCGTTGATAATTGATTTTGTGGTTGAACCTTTAACCCACAGTAGTATGGTAGAAATTATGCCTTCAGTGTACAATGAAAAATAAAACCAAAATGTCACCTGTCATTATATTTGACAAGAACATCAATTGTTACCATTAAATAGATATTATTGGATAGATAAATTCAGGTGATACATGTATTACTGCATGTCCATAGCTTATACATGTTTTTATATATGCAGGTACTGGCTATTATGCTTGTTTGTTCATTATCCCAAGGTAGTGACATTTTGTGGTTAGGAAAGTGGATATATAGTTGTCAACCTTAGAGATAAAAGGATGAAATTTCCCAAGTTGTGGAGGAGTAATTGCCTCAGAGTATTATTGATAAAAAGTTGAAAGGAAACTGGTTAATCGATTGTAATTTATTAATGTTTTAATCTATTCAGATGATTTAACATGTATCTCTTTAACCTGTTTTATCAACCATTACCATTTTTCCAGCCTCCATGTACACGATATAGACATTTCTATAGAGGATATATAAATTTTTACTTTCTGCTCGGAACATTGTGAAATGAGACAATTAAATCTTTTACAGATCCAAAGAGAGTTTTCACAAAGATTCCTGATGAACTTAAAGGCCAAATAGTCAATACATCACTAGTTAAAAGTATAAGAGGATTTGGTTTTACCATTATTGGTGGAGATCATTCTGACCAGGAATTTCTACAGATTAAGAAAGTTGTAGAAAATGGCCCAGCATACTTAGATGGTGTACTTCAGACAGGTGGGTTGATTATCTAATTACAGGTAAACAATGATGATGTATTAATCATAACCAACTTAATCTATTTACAGGTAGGATAAGAATCTGCCAGGCGTTACATTGATACTTGGCAGCTATCATTAATCTGTTTATTACCGAAGAGAAAGATTGACATTTCCTCTGGGAAGTGTGAGCCAAATATTCTGTAAAATAGGCAGCTCTGTTTCACATTGCTGTGGTGAAGAACATTGAAATATAAGCTTAAAAAGTTGATGAAAAAATTTCAAACAAAATAAACAATCAATGTGTGCATGTATAATTTATATCTCATTTAGATTTTACAAAGAACTGATGAGCAAACCAGTACAATATATTCTATGAAATATTCTGTTCAAATAGTTTGCATTTCTAAAAATATAGATAAAAAGAAACTTCTGTATGATAAGAAAGTAATAATTTATAACCTAGTAGCAGGAATGCTATCATTTCTATAGCTGATTATTCATATTCTGTCACTACAAAAGGCGATTAATATGTTTTTGTTATTATTATGTAAACAGAAAATGAGGTCTTCATCATCTTGGAATAACTGACCATTGTTTCCTCTTTCATGTACTATCTGCTTTCTGAAGTGGGCAGTATATAGTATTAAGGGAGTTAGTCTATTGGTTTGTTGGTTTGTTTGTCTGTTTATTTGTCCTTCAATATGAACCTCTTGACAGAATTATGTGAAACTTTAGAGAATCTCAATTTTGCACTACCTACTTCATTTCTTGATCCATGTTATAGGGTTTTACTTTGAAATGACATGGACTTTGTCATACTCACACAATACAGTCATGACAGTACACATTTGTATCTTCTCCTAAGCCCCTTATCCAAACTTATAGAAACTTTATCAGACCCTTGCCAAGTAATGTCATTGTGTACCTGTAAAACTACCGATGGATGTCCACAAAGCTTCAAATACAATACAGTTATCTCTATTCTAATGCAAAATAAAGAAATCTTTCAATTTTAGTCTTTATTTTAGTGTAAATTTTCATTAATGAAAATTCCGTGAAATGATGTTATCTTCTTTTGCGCCTAAACTAGGTGACGTCATAAGTATGCTTCCAGCATCAAACGGTGACCTTCTGCTGTTGTCTGTTCTATGGTCGGGTTGTTGTCTCTTTGACACATTCCCCATTTCCATTCTCAATTTTATAAACACTGGGCGTTTTCTGGCTTGTTGTCCGCTTCAGAATGTAATAAAATTTGATAAAAAGTAGATTTCTAGGTGCAAAATGGGAGTTTTTTTGCTTATGATTGGAGAAATTACATGTCAATACATTGCGGAATTCAAAATGTCGGCTTCCTTACTTACAGACAGGGAGATAGAAAATTTTACGCTTATTGTCATCCAATCAGAACCATTGATACAAAACAATTGCATTAGAATACTTATTACCACAAAACTCAGATCAAGTACAAATTTGGGTAGTGTCACTTTTACCGTTCTTCAGTTATGTCCCTTTATAACTTTATATGATATGCAAGCGGGGGCATCATCTGTGTCCCATGGACATGATGGACACATTCCCCATTTATTTTTGGATTTCCCTTAGGAAATCATTGCTTTGTCTAAGGAGTTTTTATGAACAGATTTGCTTATGATTTAATTCCTTCTAGATCCCACTGGTCCTAAGTGGCTGAATTATGAGTGGTCTATTTACTGATTTGTTAATATTAATCCTTATAGCTCCATGCGGAGCAAGGTGTCTGAAGTTGAAGAATAGATTTGCTGTTGATAGAGATCCTACAGGCTCCAGTTACTGAGGGGTCTATATAAACAGGTTTGTCATGGATGTGAGTTAAGGAGAGTAAATTGTACTGGGTATCTGATTAACATATACCATACAGCTAATTAGCCACTATGAAAGAAGTTTCATATTATAGAATTGGTTAGGTACTTGATGTTTTACTATATGATCCAGGTTCTTGTGTAACGTCCATGTTCAGCATTTTTAGTTCCCTATCGACGAGGTCGAAGGGGACTTTAGGTTTGCACTGCGTCCGTCTGTCTGTCTGTCTGTCCATCCGTCAGTCCGGCAAATCAGTTTTCCACACTTTTTTATACGCCCGTTTACGGGAAGAATTATGGTATACCGTTGACCGTCTGTCCGTCCGTCCGTCGTCAACATGTGGGACATTAACTCAAAAACGCTTTTACCAATTTGCATAAAACTTTGGTGAATTATTTATATCTATTGACGTGAGCTCCCTTTCATTTTTTATAAATGTAGGATTTACCATTTCCGAGTTTTGGGGTTTTATTCATTAGAAAAGGGGGGTCTTTCCAGTTTTTGGACAATAACTCAAAAAATATTTCACCAATTTGCAAGAAACTTTGGTGAATTTTTCATATCTATTGACGTTAGCTCCCTTTCGTTTTTTATAAATTTCGGATTTACCGTTTCCGAGTTTTGGGGTTTTATTCATTAGAAAAGGGGGGTCTTTCCAGTTTTTGGACAATAACTCAAAAAATATTTCACCAATTTGCAAGAAACTTTGGTGAATTTTTCATATCTATTGACGTTAGCTCCCTTTCGTTTTTTATAAATTTCGGATTTACCGTTTCCGAGTTTTGGGGTTTTATTCATTAGAAAAGGGGGGAGTTTCCAGTTTTTGGACAATAACTCAAAAACAATTTCACCAATTTGCAAGAAACTTTGATGAATTGTTTATTTCTATAGACATGAGCTCCCTTTTGATTTTTATAAATTTCAGACCATACGTATCTGATTTATGGGGTTTTAATCATTACAAAAAGGGGGATTTTCCAGTTTTCGGACAATAACTCAAAAATGCTTTCAGCATTTTTTATGAAATTTTGGTAAATTATTTTTTTTGTAAGCTCCCTTTTGATTTTTATAAATTTTCAATTTTATGTTTCAGAGTTATAAGATTTTATTTGTTTATAGTCTGACAACAGATTTACTAAGTATTACGCAATAGCACAGTGTATTGCACACCAGCAAGAAATCTTTCATATAACCAATTTCAAGTTCTTTGACTACATTTATTCAGAAACCTATAATATATCAAATATTGAATTACAATCCAAATTTAGACCTGTATCAAGCTTGAATATTGTGTCCATTTTTGCCCCAACTGTTCAGGGTTGGACCTCTGCGGGCGTATCCAGCTGCGCTCAGCGAAACAGATTATTTTTATGCCCCCGCCGTAGCGGAGGGGGCATTAAGTTTTACCCTTGTCCGTCTGTACGTACGTCCCGAAATTGGTTTCCGTTCTCTAACTTGAGTTTGCCTCAACCAAATGTTATGAAACTTATACACAATGCTTATTACCACAAAACACAGATCAAGTTTGAATTTTGGTGGCGTCACTTTAACCGATCTAGAGTTATGCCCCTTTATAAAAGGAAATATTGCAAAATTTTTAGTTTCCGTTCTCTAACTTAAGTTTGCCTCAACCAAATGTTATGAAACTTATACACAATGCTTATTACCACAAAACACAGATCAAGTTTGAATTTTGGTGGTGTCACTTTAACCGATCTAGAGTTATGCCCCTTTATAAAAGGAAAAATTGCAAAATTTTTATTTTTCTTCTAAATATCAAGTTTATATAATATATTTTTAAAATTGGAGTTATCTTCCTTTGACCATGATTATAGTTGAATCAACTACAATCAATGCTTTATACAATGCAATGTTTAATTTTGACTTCCACTGATAAAACACAGATCAAGTTGAATTTGGGTAGTGTCACTTTAACCATTATTGAGTTATGCCCCTTTATAAATAGAAAGATTGCAAAATTTTAGTTTCCATTCTGTAACTGAAGTTTTCCCCAGCCAAACATTATGAAACCTATACACAATATTCATTACCACAAAACTCAGTAAGGATCAAGTACAATTTTTTTGTTTCAGTTCTCTAACTTGAGTTTGCCTCAACCAAATGTTATGAAACTTATACACAATGCTTATTACTACATAATACAGATTAAGTACGAAATTAGGTGGCAACACTTTTACCATTCTAGAGTTATGTCCCTTTATAAACATAAAAATTGCTGAATTTTTTAGTTTGTCTCAACCAAATGTTGTAAAACTTATACACAACCGTTCTAGAGTTATGCGTGTTTACAAATAGAAAAATTGCTGAATTTTTAGTTTCTGTTCTCTACTTAAGTTAGCCTCAACCAAATGTTATGAGACTTACACACAATGCTTATTACCACAAAACTCAGATCAAGTTCAAATTTGGGTAGCGTCACTTTTACCGTTCTTCAGTTATGTCCCTTTATAACTATATGATATGCAAGCGGGGGCATCATCTGTGTCCACATGTGGACACTATCCACATTTATTTCTTCATGCTTGAAGACATTGATTTGATATTTGGTATATAGTTTTATCATGACAAGTTACAGATCAAGCTCCAATTTTGTTCCGGTTTGATGATTTTGTCCAGAATTATGGTCCTTGGACTTGGAAAATTCACTCAAATAATCAGTTTTCCACACTTTTTTCGTCATGCTTGAAGATATTGTTTTAATATTTGTTATATAGTTTACACCATGACAAGTTACAGATCAAGTTAGCAGTTTGTTCCAGTACAATGTTTTTAACGGGTAGGGGACTATGTCATGTATGCATAGCCAAGCAATACTCTCAGAATGCTTGTTATAGTTACATACAAAAAAAGATTATTTATCAACATAAGAACCCAAGTATACAGAAGGAAAATATTTTCTGCATGTCTTTCTTGTTGGTTTGTCATCTCTGAAATCTGAAACACTCATGTGGTTTTGTCTGGCCTAATATTACATTGTATAGAGGATAATGAATATTATTATATTTTCAGGCGATGTATTGGTTTATGTGGATGATAAATGTGTGTTAGGATATTCTCACCAAGATATTGTTAATTTATTTCAAACTATTGAACCTCTTCAAAGAGTTAGCCTTTCTGTGTGTCGTGGTTATTCATTACCATTCGATCCCGATGATCCGAACACGGAAATAATAGTGACAGTGGCTGTGTCGCTGCCTTCGGGTGACTCACCATTTGTGCTTGCACCACCAAGTTACGCATTTCATCAGGAAAACCACCCGAATTCAGGTATGAATTTTACCTCAGCAAATAACCCTAAATCATTACCTGATTTAACTAGGTCTGTCAAATCAAACTCAGACAATTCTCTACATGGCAGTGGTGGAGGTGGCAGCATACGTAACGATAACGCACCAGACGTTTTAGATTCTTCATCTTCCAAAGTGGAAACATTGACGATGCACATTGTGCGCGGTGAAATGGGTTTTGGTTTCACGATTGCTGATAGTGCTTTCGGACAGAGAGTGAAACAGATTCTGGATAAACCGCGATGTAAGGATTTACAGGAGAGTGATATTCTACAGGAAATAAATAGTGTCAATGTCAAGAACATGTCTCACTCACAAATTGTTCAGGTTCTAAAGGAATGTCCTAAAGGGGTGGAAACAAAGATAGTCATCCAGAGAGGAGGTAAGACAAATATAATAACAACATGATTCACTCACAAATCGTTCAGGTTTTAAAGGAATGTCCTAAAGGGGTGGAAACAAAGATAGTCATCCAGAGAGGAGGTTAGAAAAATATAATAACAACATATGATTCACTCACAAATCATTCAGGTTCTAAAGGAATGTCCTAAAGGGGTGGAAACTAAGATAGTCATCCAGAGAGGAGGTCAGAAAAATATAATAACAACATAATTCACTCACAAATCGTTCAGGTTTTAAAACTAAAAGGTTCCTAAAGTTGAGTTTGAACTGACAAACTAGCAATCCCTGTTGATAAACTTCTAAAACTAGTCAACCACCAAGGCCCCAAGTAATGAAAGCACTGCTAATATGATATAAAATAACTATTTCATTGAAAAGGATGCTAGCTCACCAGATCTTTCAAATTCTTTCAAGAGTTCCAAAACTGCAAATTCCCCCAAAATCCACTATTTTGTGACAATTTAATCCTGGTTTCAAAAATTTGAAGTGTTTTTATTTTCATATGGGTTCCAAAGAAAGAAGGTTATTTGAAGTTTACTATGGTTTGGGGGTGGGAAACATTTACTGTATATGGCATTTCCTGTAGGCTGGATTGCATCATCAGCAAGAAGAATTGTAAATCTCTGTACATTGGGACCAGCTGAAAGGTCTGAAAGGATAAATTAAAATCATTTCATACATACTATAAGCAAAATAAACTGATGAGAAATTTCCAAATGTAGTCATGATGCACTATCATGATGACAAAAGTTCACTTAAATATGGTCCATGGACTGACATTCAACCAATTTGGAAACTTCATTACTCATATAACATGTATAATACATTCACATCATAAAGGTTACATGCACGGCCAATATCGAAAGTATTAAATTTAATCAGGTTTTTAAGGGCCTTTCATTGGCCCTGAATTATTAAATTATAAAAAGAATTTTGGTTTGGTGTTTTCAGTCTTTTACAAATGTGTATGTGTATTTACTATTATATTTATACACATGTCTTTTGAGTATATATCTGTATATATTGAGCGAACACAAGATTTATATCCATGGTATCTTATCAAGGCAGGCAAAAAATTGCTCATTATAAATTAACCGTTAAAACTTTGAAAAAGGCAACCCTGTCATGTCTATAAAAAGAAGAGTGAAGAAATCTAGGCAAACAACTTGAATGTGCATTTTAAATGTACTTGTATAAGACAAGTATAAATAGGTGTAGTTCATCTCTGTATAACTTATTATTTATAAATTACTTGTAATAAATAACCTGGGGATAACTGTCAATCAGTTGATTAGATGTACATTTCCTACATTCCTGTATTCATAGTGGTTAGAAAGGAATAAAATTCTTAATCTTGATAATTTCATCAAATTTGCCTTATCGATATTGTAAATGAAATTAATTCATTTGGACTCATTCCAAAATATAACTGTAAGGTAAAGGTCAGTCACAATTTACATGATTTATATGAAAAATTATCTGATGTTCATGCAAAGATTTGTTTAGAAATAGCCAAGGCAGTGGAATTGATTGCCAAATGTGGGCTTTGGTGAATCTTTCCTGGCATTGATAAAGAAATAAGAAAATGTAGTAGGATTATGAAAGTATCCATTTTAGACAAACCATGTTAACACTACATGTGGAAATGGTGATGATGCAAGCCCTTGTTCTCTTCTTTTCTGTTTTTTTCTTTGGCTAAATTAACATAACTTCATCACAAATATAGTCCCTAGGTGTGGACAGTGTATAACTTGCACTTTTTATTCATACACTTTCCAAATTTATTTCTTTATACTTTATGCATGAAATATTAAGTAGCGGTGAAATTACATGTTGTTCATAAGCGTATATTCTTCCAAAATAATGTTTTGGTAGCTAATAAATAAATATAAAACATGCTTCCTGTGTGAATATATAATATAAATAAGAAGATAATGTGTTTTTTGGCGAGGGTTATGCTTTATGTTTCTTCTCACCAAACATGTGTCAAACAACAAAGAATATATAACTGAATTCACTGTCATCACACATGTGTCACATGGCAAACATGGACAATGATAAGGAAATATTTTACACTAATCATTGCTAACACTGGATTGTTTTAGTCAAGAACATTGATGTAATATTTATGACTCTGAGAAATTTTGAAAAACAGTTGATGTTTTCTGTCCAAATTGACCCTATTATATATATAATAGTACCTTCTTATCTGGTTAACCTACATATGATTAAACACAAATAATAATAGATAGATGACACTTGTCTCTGATCAGTGTTTAATCTTAGTGATTCAGCCATGTAGTTGTCAAAGTAGTGTTGTTCTGATATGAGTTAAGATTGCAATAAACAATTAATTGTAGAAAAGACATCTCAGTTCTGTTAGGGCTAAGGAAAATATATTATTTTGCCATTGGTATAATGCAGAGTGCACGAAATCTCTAATCAAAAATAACGGGTGCACATATCGCCCAATCAGGATTAGCCATACTCTAAATTCGAATACCATGTTATCTTCATAAAATGGCTGCACCCATAACATGCATAATATTTAATGGTTGATTGTAACCTATAAGGGTCCTGTTAATGGCTTTTGGTTCTTAAGGAAGGTGTCCAGATATATATAGTGTTTCTAACTTTCTTTAAACCCAATAAAAATTTCAATTGTTTTGGTCTTATCTGATTATCCTGTACCTTTGTATATTGTTATTTCTTGTAATGTTTTGTTTAAAAGTTAAGATCTAACTTACTAAACATCATTTTGCTGGACAAGAACAATGCAGAAAATTGAAAGGCTTAGATATTAGGATGAGGTTTAGTCAGACATATGTATGGAGAGTTACATGCTGTATGGTATAAAAGTACAAACATGTGTATATTATCAGTGTTCAAAGGTACTTTGGGTTTCATAACGTCTGAAATTAGAACACCACAAGTCTCAGAAGAAGGATATTTTGTCAGTAGCTTACATTAAATACAAAATAGTCACTTTAGCCTATATTTTATGCATGAATGACTCTATTATGTAGATCCTTTGATGTAATCTATTAATATTTAATAGCTTATAAACATTTGTCATTTTTGTCTGATGAATTTCTTTATCATGAAAAATAAAGAGGATGTTATTTTCTTCTGTCTTTAAATAATAAGTTTTTCTTTTATTATAGGTGTTCCACTAAGAAGTAGAAAGCCTTCAAACCAAGGGGTGAGTATTGGATAGTTATAATTATGGGTGATAGATAAATCATGAAATATAAAAATAAAAACTACAAGTTTTAAGTATACTCCTCCATAACAATGAGATTGGTTGGCAGCTTGATTCCAGTGATACAGAAGTAACTTCAAACTAACCTGGTGTTACCTCACTAAAAACTTTAGTTGAGTAACTTCAAACTAACCTGGTGTTACCTCACTAAAAGTTTTAGTTGAGTAACTTCAAACTAACCTGGTGTTACCTCACTAAAAGCTTTAGTTGAGTAACTTCAAACTTACCTGGTGTTACCTCACTAAAAGCTTTAGTTGAGTAACTTCAAACTAACCTGGGGTTACCTCACTAAAAGCTTTAGTTGAGTAACTTCAAACTTACCTGGTGTTACCTCACTAAAAGCTTTAGTTGAGTAACTTCAAACTTACCTGGTGTTACCTCACTAAAAGCTTTAGTTGAGTTACTTCAAACTTACCTGGTGTTACCTCACTAAAAGCTTTAGTTGAGTAACTTCAAACTTACCTGGTGTTACCTCACTAAAAGCTTCAGTTGAGTAACTTCAACCTTACCTGGTGTTACCTCACTAAAAGCTTTAGTTGAGTAACTTCAAACTTACCTGGTGTTACCTCACTAAAAGCTTTAGTTAAGTTAACAAATAAGATAAGATGTGAAATAATTATCAGTTGAATTGTACAGATGTTAAAGGAACAGAAGGAAGAAATTGAATGGTGAACTACAATGTACCATGGCTGTTTAAATTCTCAATTTTGATGAAATGAAAATGACTATTAATATTTATCTGTATTACATACATATTTAGAAATAAAGCTATGCAACCTTAGTCCTGACAATATGTCTAAACTATTCTGTGTATAAATAAGCTGAAAAATCATATTACATTTTGTACCCAGTATAACCCATTTCTAGGGGTATGACCAAGCCTAGGAAAACTGGGATAATTCTTTGCCTACCCCTTAGTGTAACAGAGAATGGTGCTTGGTGCAGACCCTGATTTGATTGTTTTTCTTTCAACACCAGTGTAACTCATCATGGTGCTTACTGCAGACACTGTTTGATAGTTTATGTATCAGTATAAGTGTGACAACTCAGGATGGTGCAGACCCTGTGTGATAGGTTGTTTGAGTACAAGTGTGACTACTCAGAATGGTGCAGACCCTGTATGATAGGTTGTTTGAGTTCAAGTGTGACGACCCAGGACGGTGCAGACCCTGTGTGATAGGTTGTTTGAGTACAAGTGTGACGACTCAGGACGGTGCAGACCCTGTATGATAGGTTGTTTGAGTACAAGTGTGACGACCCAGGACGGTGCAGACCCTGTGTAATAGGTTGTTTGAGCACAAATGTGATGACTCAGACGGTGCAGACCCTGTGTGATAGGTTGTTTGAGTACAAGTGTGACGACTCAGGATGGTGCAGACCCTGTGTGATAGGTTGTTTGAGTACAAGTGTGACAACCCAGGACAGTACTGACCCTGTGTGATAGGTTGTTTGAGTACAAGTGTGATGACTCAGGATGGTGCAGACCCTGTGTGATAGGTTGTTTGAGTTCAAGTGTGACAACTCCGGATGGTGCAGACCCTGTGATAGGTTGTTTTGAGTGCAAGTGTGACAACTCAGGACAGTGCAGACCCTGTGTTATAGGTTGTTTGAGTACAAGTGTGACGACTCAGGATGGTTCAGACCCTGTGTGATAGGTTGTTTGAGTACAAGTGTGACGACTCTGGACAGTGCAGACCCTGAGTGATAGGTTGTTTGAGTACAAGTGTGACAACTCAGGATGGTGCAGACCCTGTGTGATAGGTTGTTTGAGTACAAGTGTGATGACTCTGGACGGTGCAGACCCTGAATGATAGGTTGTTTGAGTACAAGTGTGATGACCCAGGATGATAGGTTGTTTGAGTACAATGTTAGGCAGCATGGTTTTTTGCTGCAGAAGTTGTATGATAGTTTATTATTGAGAACATTATTTTAGTGATACTTGTGCTTGCTACAGAACCTTCATGATTGTTGGAACACCATTGTGACTCAGCTTAAAGATCTTTTCCATAAGATTACTGTGTTTCTTTTGTTTATTTTAGGATTTATGACTGATATATGATATGTTGATATTTTATTCTGTTTTCTTATTACACTCCAGGGCTAAGACAATTACTGATATGGATTATATTTCAGACAAAGTCAGAAGGAAATACATCTGATACCAGCTTCAGTAGTAATCCAGGTGCTTTCTTTTTTAATGAAGATAAACAGACATCAGGTAGGACTAATATTATATGAGGAGGGAAGGGTCTCATGGGTGTGGCAGTCTAATTAAAGGGGGTTAGTATTGTATGAGCAGTGAACCTTGATCTTATTAACTTCAACATCTGAGTATGTTAGTTGTTATCAGTCCTATAAGATTGTTATCAGTCATCAGACATGGTTTATAAGATTGTTATCAGTCATCAGACATGGTTTATAAGATTGTTATCAGTCATCAGACATGGTCATATAAGATTGTTATCAGTCGTCAGACATGGTCTTAATAGATTGTTATCAGTCGTCAGACATGGTCATATAAGATTGTTATCAGTCCTTAGACATGGTCTTATAAGATTGTTATCAGTCGTCAGACATGGTCTTATAAGATTGTTATCAGTCCTCAGACATGGTCATAAGATTGTTATCAGTCGTCAGACATGGTCTTATAAGATTGTTATCAGTCGTCAGACATTGTCTTATAAGATTGTTATCAGTCCTCAGACATGGTCATATAAGATTGTTATCAGTCCTCAGACATGGTCTTATAAGATTGTTATCAGTCGTCAGACATGGTCTTATAAGATTGTTATCAGTCATTAGACATGGCCTTATAAGATTGTTATCAGTCATCAGACATGGTCTTATAAGATTGTTATCAGTCATCAGACATGGCCTTATAAGATTGTTATCAATCATCAGACATGGTCTTATAAGATTGTTATCAGTCTTCAGACATGATCTTATAAGATTGTTATCAGTCATCAGACATGGTCATAAGATTGTTATCAGTCATCAGACATGGTCTTATAAGATTGTTATCAGTCATCAGACATGGTCTTATAAGATTGTTATCAGTTCTTAGATTTGGTCTTATAAGATTGTTATCAGTCCTCAGACATGGCCTTATAAGATTGTTATCAGTCGTCAGACATGGTCTTATAAGATTGTTATCAGTCGTCAGACATGGTCTTAAAAGATTGTTATCAGTCCTCAGACATGGTCTTATAAGATGGTTTTCAGTCCTCAGACATGGTCATATAAGATTGTTATCAGTCATCAGACATGGTCTTAATAGATTTTTATCAGTCGTCAGACATGGTCCTATAAGATTGTTATCAGTCCTCAGACATGGTCATAAGATTGTTATCAGTCGTCAGACATGGTCTTATAAGATTGTTATCAGTCGTCAGACATGGTCTTATAAGATTGTTATCAGACCTCAGACATGGTCTTATAAGATTGTTATCAGTCCTCAGACATGGTCATATAAGATTGTTATCAGTCTTCAGACATGGTCTTATAAGATTGTTATCAGTCATCAGACATGGTCATTAGATTGTTATCAGTCTTCAGACATGGTCTTATAAGATTGTTATCAGTACTCAGACATGGTCTTATAAGATTGTTATCAGTCATCAGACATGGTCATAAGATTGTTATCAGTCCTCAGACATAGTCATAAGATTGTTATCAATCATCAGACATAGTCATAAGATTGTTATCAGTCATCAGACATGGCCTTATAAGATTGTTATCAGTCATCAGACATGGTCTTATAAGATTGTTATCAGTCATCAGACATGGCCTTATAAGATTGTTATAAGTCATCAGACATGGCCTTATAAGATTGTTATCAATCATCAGACATGGTCTTATAAGATTGTTATCAGTCATCAGACATGGCCTTATAAGATTGTTTTCAGTCATCAGACATGGTCTTATAAGATTGTTATCAGTCCTCAGACATGGTCTTATAAGATTGTTATCAGTCATCTGACATGGTCTTATAAGATTTTTATCAGTCATCAGACATGGTCATATAAGATTGTTATCAGTCATCAGACATGGTCATAAGATTGTTATCAGTCGTCAGACATGGTTTTATAAGATTGTTATCAGTCATCAGACATGGTCTTATAAGATTGTTATCAGTCATCAGACATGGTCTTATAAGATTGTTATCAGTCATCAGACATGGTCATATAAGATTGTTATCAGTCATCAGACATGGTCATATAAGATTGTTATCAGTCATCAGACATGGTCTTATAAGATTGTTATCAGTCATCAGACATGGTCTTATAAGATTGTTATTAGTCATCTGACATGGTCTTATAAGATTGTTATCAGTCATCAGACATGGTCATATAAGATTGTTATCAGTCATCTGACATGGTCTTATAAGATTGTTATCAGTAATCAGACATGGTCTTATAAGATTGATTGCTTGATTGTTGTTTGTTTAAAGTCCACTCTTGAAGAAAAGTATTACTAGAAACAGGAAAATTTGTCACCAATACCATGCTATTCATACTCAAACAAATGGCAGGGAATCATTTTTTCATAAATCTTGATTTTAGATAGCAATAAATATATTACGCCAGAGATGAGCTATGGGAAATGGAAATAACTCAAACTTTTCTATTATAAAATAAGGAGATGTGGTCCATTGGTATGATTGCCAATGAGACAACTATCAAACAGAGTTCAAATGAAGTGAATGTAAGCAATTATAAGCAACCCTATGGCCTTTAACAATGACAAAAACCCACACCTTATAGTTGGCTATAAAAGGCCCTGACATGAAAAATGTAAAACAATTCACATGAGAAAACCAAGGGCCTAATTTATAACAAAACAAATGGAAAATCTTTGATCATGAAATTAATATTTCATCAATATGAAATATAATTTGGCAAAGAAGTGTAAATACTGTTATAAAAGAGTGTGGTTTATAGACAATTATAATGATAATGGTCACACCTCAGAAAAATACCTCAAATAATTAATTACAGAAGTGTGTTAGAATCATTTCACATTTACTTAGCGACATAGCGATCTTGTATTCCATCCTATATTCCATTGTTGATGTTGTTGGGCTATATCAATATTTCGCCTTAGGCTCAGTCTGTGGTTAAAATGGAATGATATGAAACTTTTAATTTTAATACAAGAAATAGCATCTGAAGAAAAACATGTTGGCTTATACTCATATTGTCACAAGGATAAATACCTGTTGGCCTATACTCATATTTTCAAAAAAGTTGGCCTACACTTGTACATGTATTGTCAATAGGATCAACAAGCCATGTTGGCCTACACTTGTACATGTATTGTCAATAGGATAAAAAAAACATATTGGCCTGCGCTTGTACATGTATTGTCGATAGGATCATAAAAACATATTGGCCTGCGCTTGTACATGCATTGTCTATAGGATCAAAAAGACATGTTGGCCTACACTTGTACATGTATTGTCTATAGGATCAAAAAGACATGTTGGCCTACACTTGTACATGTATTGTCTATAGGATCAAAAAGACATGTTGGCCTACACTTGTACATGTATTGTCAATAGGATCAAAAATACATGTTGGCCTACACTTGTACATGTATTGTCAATAGGATCAAAAAGACATGGTGGCCTACACTTGTACATGTATTGTCAATAGGATCAAAAATATATGTTGGCCTACACTTGTACATGTATTGTCAATAGGATAAAAAAGACATGTTGGCCTACACTTGTACATGTATTGTCAATAGGATCAAAAAGACATGGTGGCCTACACTTGTACATGTATTGTCAATAGGATCAAAAAGACATGGTGGCCTACACTTGTACATGTATTGTCTATAGGATCAAAAAGACATGTTGGCCTACACTTGTACATGTATTGCCAATAGGATCAAAAATACATGTTGGCCTACGCTTCTACATGTTTTGTCAATAAGATCAAAAATACATATTGGCCTATACTCATATTGACACTATGATTAATTCATTTTGGGTTTTATAAAACACTTAAGATTCCATAGATTGGAAACTATATAGCATTATTCATAAGGATTATTTATAATACATTCATTATACATAAAGATGTAGACTTGGAAAGTGTTTGCATGAAACTGAATTCTAATGAACATAAACACAAAACAGCTTGTCCTTGTAAGGAGTTTATGTTCACAAGACTGCATTGGTATTTCACAAAAATCAATAGTTAAACCCTGGAAATGTTGCTATAAGAAATTAAGAAAATAGTTAGTTTCACTCACTTGATCTTGTTACCTGGAGATGATTGTGGTTTCACTCACTTGATCTTGTTACCTGGAGATGATTGTGGTTTCACTCACTTGATCTTGTTACCTGGAAATGATTGTGGTTTCACTCACTTGATCTTGTTACCTGGAGATGATTGTGGTTTCACTCACTTGATCTTGTTACCTGGAAATGATTGTGGTTTCACTCACTTGATCTTGTTACCTGGAAATGATTGTGGTTTCACTCACTTGATCTTGTTACCTGGAGATGATTGTCAGGTATATATTATACAAAACATAGAATTCTGTTAAATGATGAAAAATGAAAACAAAGAGTTTGTTTTAAAACAACAACAAAAACATTAATTCTAAAATTTTCTTTTTCTTAAGTAATCTTTGATTGGAAATAGTATTGATGGAATATAAAATGCTAGTTAATTATGTTTCAGGCCATAATCGGTTTATGAATGGTGGAATTGACAGTAATAAAGGTAAATAGCATTATATGTACTGATAATTACAACAGGTCAGGGGTCATGTAAACATGTCAAGTTTACTAGTTTATAAAGCTTTTTCAATGGTGTTGACCTGCTTGACATTGGAAGTCAATTCTGTGAGTTAAAGCTGAGCTTGATTTTTCAGTGTTGAAAGTTCTGGAAGATAAAAGCCTGTTGTTCAACTATCCAATTTCCAATATAACTGCACATATATGTGATTTCAATTTTTATTAAAGAAAAACTAATTGTTTATTGTTAATTGTTAACAAGTTTATTAAATTGCTATATACCACATCTTCTTATATCTATATATTGCCATGTGTAAATCTCCTACAATTAATATAGGTTATTTTGCACTTGGAATGCCTAGTGACTGATTCAATTATGTATAAGAAACACCTAATCAATCAATACTTAAGACAAGAAAGCTGTGTTGTTAAAATGATCATATAGCAAGGCTGACATGTAAGTTAATTCAAGGATGATATTGCAAGCTAAATCACAAGGCTGACAAAGAACAATTATTTGGTGTAAAACTTGTTATAATTCACACAGTTTATTGATAGGTATAACATGGGAAGAATAAGATTGTTTGTGCTTAGTAATGATGAGATTTTTGTATTAAACTGTATGCTCATGGAGTAGTCTGCTTTGGGATTTAAATATCTTCAGATTAATTGATTTGAAATGGATTTATTATTTTCTGAAATTTTTTCACATTGAAAACAAAAAAGAAGGAAACAAGAAAAACAAACCTGTGTTAATCCAAATAAAAATTGCATTAGAGTTTCAATCATTTCTTGAACATCCAAGGGACCATGACAATATGTTCCAGTCATGGGGATGTTCTTATTGATATTGTCTCTTGCATGTCTGGATTAATTTAATATAGACTCAACAATATAGTAAAGATATCCATCATGTTCTAGTCTTTAGTTGTCCTGAGTGGATTATAAACCTATAAATATGTAATGAAAAGTATAGACTAAAAATGTTTTCACACATTTCTATTACAGAAAATCACGACATGATCGATGGATCAAAGCCAGCAATACCAAGCAGACCTAAAACTCCAAACCAATCAGATTCTAGACCAAAAACACCGACAGACAGACCTAAAACACCAACTCGGACATTAATTGAAGATCATGGGAAACCACCTTTAGGCAATAGACACATGGAAATGTTTAGTACTCACAATGATTTAAGGAGAGATAATGATGAAATTCGAGATTTAGGAAGTCAGGGTCAGGACTTAAATCAGTCAAGGTCATCATCAGAATTTTATGACATTAATACCAGGCCTCCTCCTGGTCCTAGATACGACCAGTATCGTAACGAGCAACGAACATTTAGACCGGATACATTTTCTAGGAGTAATAGTGCTGCACAATTCAATTCTCATGATAGGGAAAGGGAAGTAACAAAGCCAGGGATGTTCAGGAGTAGAACCCCTGGTCCAGATATGTTACATCGGGGCCATGGGCCTGATTATAGAGGAGATCATCAGAGACCTAAAACTCCTACAGCTCAGGACATGAGGAGTAAAACACCTTTACCTGGATCTTCTTATAATTACAGTGACAGAGGAGGATATCAAAACAATACATTTGGTATGAACGGACCTTCACGACAAGGGTTTGGACAACAGAGACAGTGGGGGTTCAATAACTACCCCGGATCTCCTCCTACAGTAAGGAGGGGTGGGGATGATTATCAGGATCCTTATAAAAATAATTTTAGTACTTTTTCACAAAAGGGTGCTGGACATCCGTCTCGTCAAAGTACTTCATTTGAGGATGTCAATCCTACGCCTAGTAACTTAACTCGTGTTCCAAAACGTTTACCACTTCAGTCAAATTCTTCATTCAATAGTCAGTATTCAAGTTCCCCTCGTTTACCTCCACGTATGAGTAATCGTGAGGAAGCAGTTCGTGTGGCAGAATATTCTGTGACTTTAAGTAGACAGGACAGTGGATTCGGTTTTAGAATCATAGGGGGAACAGAAGAAGGATCACAGGTAATTTTATATCATTTGTCCTATAGTTGGATTAACTTCGTCATGAAACATGTTCCCGTGTTTCATGTGTAATACTTTTCATCAGGGAATGTCTAAATGTTTTACTTCTCATTATTGTGTTTTAGGCATAATTACTGTTTTAGGTAAATCGGGTGTCTTCCACTATCTTGGATTGTTAAACAATTACCGATAGTCTAGATCTTTAATGAATAGTGCAAATTTTGAGTGAAGAATGTAATTTATTTGTAAGACTTTTCATCTAAACGAGAAAAAAATTTACAGTTATCAGCCTTGCAAAGTCCGCACTGGTACATAGTCCACACCTCCCTTTTCGCCACAAGCATTCAGGAAAAAAAATTTTGAAACTGCTTGAAAACGTTTAATGAATCTCTGGTAATTTCAAATCCTGTGTGATCGTTTGCGGTATTTTCATGGAAAAACCTGTTTTTCATCATGAAGTAGAAGTTGAAAATGCTTGTAAATGATTCTAGAACACTCCACAAAAAGTGTTAAAATATGTCAAAATCACAAAGAAAGAATTGGGAAAGTTGTATTTCACATTAACCAGAAGTTCGTAAAACGTGTGTACATCAAAAATAATTACGTGGGAGTGTGCAGAAAATCTGTACTAAATAGTTACTACCAAAATACGACTGAAACTAAAACAGTTCCTTTCTTTAGTTAAATACTATTAAATATATCAATAACATTAATGTCTTATTTGTGACTGTGAATAATCTTCAGCTAAAACTTAATGCAAGCGTCAGTATGAAACACCAATAAGGAACAAATAACCAATTACATTTTGTGGTTTTTACTGCCCTATTGACGAAGTCGAAGGGGACTTTAGGTTTGCACTCCGTCCGTCCGTCTGTCTGTCCATCCGTCAGTCCGGCAAATCAGTTTTCCACACTTTTTTTCTTTGTGCTTGAAGATATAGATTTGATATTTGGTGTATTGTTTAATCATAACAAGTTACAGATCAAGTTCGAATTTTGTTCCGGTCTGACAGTTTTGTGCAGAGTTATGGTCCTTGAACTTGGAAAATTCACTCAAATAATCAGTTTTCCGCACTTTTTTTTGTCATGCTTGAAGATATTGATTTGATGATTGGTAAATAGTTTTATCATGACAAATTACAGATCAAGATCGAATTTTGTTCCGGACTAATAATTTTGTGCAGAGTTATGGTCTTTGGACTTAAAAAAATTCACTCAAATAATCAGTTTTCCTCACTTTTTTCGTCATGCTTGAAGATATTGATTTGATAATTGGTATATAGATTTATCATGACAAGTGACAGATAAATTTCGAATTTTGTTCTGGTCTGATGATTTTGTGCAGAGTTATGGTCCTTGGACTTTGAAAATTCACTCAAATAATCAATATTCCACATTTTTTTTTGTCATGCTTGAAGATATTGACTTGATATTTGTTATATAGTTTACACCATGACAAGTTATACATGTAGATCAAATTAGCAATTTGTTCCAGTACAATGAATTTTTAACTGGTAGGGGACTATGTATTGCCATTCAATACTCAAAGAATGCTTGTTACATTGTAATAGCTAATGCATAAGCTGGTTCCTGGCTGATTTATATACTTTTTTCATTCTGGTAAATACAAGTGGATTCCAGTTTATGTTATACAATGCTATGATAAAAAAAGTAATTTGTAATGAAGCATTTAATTTTGATATTTATCAGTTAATATTGGATTTTGAATTGAAATTGCATATTGATATGGATTAGGTAAATTATTAGTTTTGAAAATTATAAGGGCGGCCTCTATATTTTCAGTAACAAACATGGCGGAACGTAAACAAACCTCGCGAAATCAAGTTTTTTCTCTTATTGCATGCTTATCTTACTCTATAAACCGTACCCCTGCCTGGCAATATTAATTTTGGAGAAGAAAAAAAACACAGACTATACAAGCCATAATATGTGTTTTATAATATTTCTACAACTGTTGATTACAAATACGGAATAGTTTTTGATTAATTTTTTTTTCAACTTAGCCATATAAGGGGATAAAGCTTAGATAATGTAACTTTTATAAAGGAATGTGTTATGAATTTGCCTACTTTGGTTTGTAGCATGAAAATGAGTACCGCGGCCCCAATTTTGTTATTTTCTGAAAGCAAATTATAAGAGCAATTTTGTTATATTTTATCTTTAAAATTCATCATTTAGCTTTCTTTCTTTTACACTAAATTGGGTTTTCCATGTATAATCTATACAAATTCTGACAATTTTCCTTGACCTATAGCTTGAAAAAAAGCTCTGTAATCCATACTTTTATTATATTTTTGAAAAAAGCATGATATAAACTACATTTTGGCAAATTATAAAAAATTCTATAGATTTAAGTGATCTTAGGCCATATTACTATATATTTTATCAACTGTCTGTTTTAGGTGTCCGTTGGTCATATTGTCCCTGGGGGTGCTGCTGATTTAGACACACGCATTAGAACAGGTGACGAAATCACTCATGTCGATGGCATTTCAGTGCTCAATTCTACACATCAGCGAGTTGTACTGCTGATGACAAATGCTGGAACCACAGGTCGAGTAACGCTGGGTCTTCGGCGCAGAATTTTAGTCTCAGGTAAGAATATCCTAGTAAAAAACAACAACATTCATATTATTATTCTTTGTATTTATTATTTATAAACATACCTTCACATTGACAGCTTACTGAAGAGGCTATGTAGAAAATTCATATTCTGTTGATAAACAATAACTGGTCTACAGGGTTCATTACTAGAACAGTACCACTAAATATATGTAGTTCTTCGCTCAAGTTAATTCATTTTTTTGTAAATTTGAATTTCGTTTATATTTGCAAATGTTTTATTTCAGTTATTTTTCCCATTCTCCAGGTCTTTGCCACAAAGGCTGCTCTGCTAAGATACTTCAGATTCTGTTTTCAGACAGTACACATTTGCCACTTAAGAATTTATTGCAGCTCATCTTCTTTATAATCGATAACTTTTTGTTACATTTATCTTTTGGAACTTTGATTATTTTCAGGAGAAACGTCATACAATGGAATGAGTGAGGTTTATGACATCACAGTGAACCGACGAGAGACAGAAGGGTTTGGTTTTGTCATCATCTCCTCTGTAACCAAATCTGGGTCGGTTATAGGTGAGTTCATCGGTATGTGTCACTTTAGGCAAGGTTATATAGAGAATAGATTACACATTTAGAGCTGATAAAAATTTGGTATCTCAGTAAGGGTTGAGGGGGGGGGGGGGCAAATTGTATACATGTACTTAATACTGTAGATTCGCTATCAGTTGTAGGGTACTAATTTTGTGAATTTCATGGATTAAGATTAACCTCGTAGCTTTTGTATGCAAAATTTGTTAAAACCACAAAATAAGTTTCCAAGAAAAAACAATTTTTCCTTTCCACAAAAAATAAGTGCTCTAGCCTCTACAAAGCTTTAAGTCACGAGTTTTGAAATACTGATAGCTTTTTAGTTTTGAAATATACTTTCATTGTAGGCTTATGAAATTGATAATTTCCCAAAAATGTACAGATATGCATCTGAGATACCAAGTTTTTATAATTTAACATAATTTTTAGCAATATTATCATGACTATGATTTATAATTTAGCAAACTTATCTAGAAAAATCATTTTGAAGTGATGGTATGATATTGAGTGAACAGAGGAAATATTGCTGAAGATTAGATATCAAGATGATAGTTTATTTATAGTGTTTGTTTATAACTATGATTTTATTTTACACTCACTGGAGCTGTTGTTTGTTTCACTGAAAGCAATCCATTCTTGATAATCAGAAGATGGTTACACTGTTTACATGGTTTAAAAGGTAGCACACTTGTAAACACATAATAATCTGTTCTATGTTTTAGAATTCTGTAGAGTTAATTTGACAAAGAATTTATTCTTAATTCCTTTATGTAATAGAACACCTGTTACAGCAGGAGTACATTTATAGATTGATGGATTATAAAATATGAGGAAAATTACAAAAATAAACAATGCAGAAGATTTTCAGATATGTAAAGGGAAAAAATTTAATTTATTTTGTAAAGAGAAAAATGATTGGTTGTTTCAGACGGTGTCAGTGATTGGTTAGATAGGATAAATCTCTATCCTTGGATTGGTGAGATTTTTCACTGTGATTTTTTTGCATCCCTTCACATCAGTCCATAGCATTGTTGCATACTTATTTGTAAATTTGTTTCCATTTAATGGTTTGTAAAATTGCCTCCCTTAAATGGTGTAAATAGATGTTGAACCAGCATTTTAGATTTAAATGCATCATGTTTGAATGTAGTGAAATGTGATTGATCAGATTTATAATTATCTTACCTCCTATAGATTTCTGGGGATATGATTGGTTAAAGGACTACACATGGTGACTATATATATTTGATATAGGGTGTCCTAAAAAATATGGGGTTAGTTACCATATGGGGTTAGTAAGGAGTTACTTCCCTTCAAAACAAAAAAGAAATCTGAAAGGTTTCAACAGACAAGAAATTGAAAATAAATTCATAAAACAAATTTAAAGCTAACCAGTTGTTATTGTTGGCATTTGTTTTTTGTATAGACAAATGGAAGTAGGTTCTTAATACTAAGTATTGAAGACTTAATCACTTTGATAGGCTGCTAGTCTAAATACCACATGTGAAGATAGTCGGTAAGATAAATTCGTTACACGGTGTGCTAGTGACCTAATATGATATATATGGGGTCAGTAAATTCCATATGGGGATTCGAGCTTCGCTCTCACTCCATATGGAATTTACTGACCCCATATATATCGTATTAGGTCACTAACAAACCATGTAACTAATAATACAGACAATTTGATAAAATGTGTATAGAGATGGTAGTCATGTGTGGTGGCATGTATCAATTGAGGAATGCATGCTTATAGGATATTCTGTTGTAACAAAGGTCACACTGGTGTCCTCCATTCATAAACAAAATGTCCCTCATATCAAAAATAATTGTCAGGTCTGTTTCATTTTATATGTAGATTTCAACCCAAAGACGGCTGAAGTTTTCATATGATTTACCATTAAATTCATTAAAAAGATGTGACAGCAACCCAAAGACACAAATGCATAAAATCTAGAGGTCAACATACACAGTAGACAAATGTCTATACATAAAAACTAGAGGTCAACATACACAGTAGACAGGTGTCTATACATTATATCTAGAGGTCAACATACACAGTAGACAGGTGTCTATACATTATATCTAGAGGTCAACATGCACAGTAGACAGGTGTCTATACATTATATCCACAGGTCAACACACACAGTAGATAGGTGTAAATACATAAAATCTAGAGGTCAACATACACAGTAGACAGGTGTCTATACATTACATCTAGAGATGAACATACACAGTAGACAGGTGTCTATACATTATATCTAGAGGTCAACATGAACAGTAGACATGTGTCTATACATAAAATCTAGAGGTCAACATACACAGTAGACAGGTGCCTATACATAAAATCTAGAGGTCAACATACACAGTAGACATGTGTCTATACATAAAATCTAGAGGTCAACATACACAGTAGACATGTGTCTATACATAAAATCGAGAGGTCAACATACACAGTAGACAGGTGTCTATACATAAAATCTAGAGGTCAACATACACAGTAGACAGGTGTCTATACATTATATCTAGAGGTTAACATGCACAGTAGACACATGTCTATACATAAAATCTAGAGGTCAACATACACAGTAAACATGTGTCTATACATAAAATCTAGAGGTCAACATACACAGTAGACAGATGTCTATACATAAAATCTAGAGGTCAACATACACAGTAGACAGGTGTCTATACATAAAATCTAGAGGTTAACATACACAGTAGACAGGTGTCAATACATAAAATCTAGAGGTCAACATACACAGTAGACAGGTGTCTATACATTAAATCTGGAGGTCAACATGCACAGTAGACAGGTGTCTATACATAAAATCTTGAGGTCAACATACACAGTAGACAGGTGTCTATACATAAAATCTGGAGGTCAACATGCACAGTAGACAGGTGTCTATACATTATATCTAGAGGTTAACATACACAGTAGACAGGTGTCTATACATTATATCTAGAGGTTAACATACACAGTAGACAGGTGTCAATAAATCTAACAAAAGCTTTTAAAGTTCAGCCATCAACACCCAATTCTCCAAAAGAACAAAAAACATTAAGATGTAAAATACTGATGAGGTTCCTGACTAAGAACAGCCACATGAAGAAGGCAGATATGTTTTATCAATATGGTTTTGTCTGCATGTGATGAGTTCAGATGGGATATAAGTTGCATCATGTTTAATTTGTGCCTTAAAAAACAAACAGAGGTCAAGTTGACTCAAAAAATGTACTGCTGAGCTCCCTTAATTTAATTGGTAATTGACCACACATTATTTTATTACAAATATCTACCTTTTAGCATGGGCAAATTAATCAAAGATTTTATAAAGTTTAAGTTGGCCTTTTTTGCTCTTTCCATTCTGAGTTATTTTCACATCTTGTATGAACCAGTGTGATCTTGGCATGTAAAATAGGCCAGTTCATGTCAATTTGTATGGTACATCACAACATGAATGAAATTCTTCAATCATGGATTGTCAATATTTCCATATCTTTTATTCCTTTCCAGATTTTAAAAAGATATATTCTTCTTCACATTGTTTGCCATTTATATTTCACTTACACACCCATTATTTTATATCCCTCCGTGCTGTTTGCTTATAAAGAGAGAATATTTTTGTGTGAGTGTATTATCCTAGATATTTTTGCTCTTGTTTGAGGAAATTTTTATTTTAAATTTTATGCTTGCTCTGTTGTTGACCAATTTTTAGCCTTTTTCCATTTAATTATTCACTCAATTCCTGTAATACAAGAAAACATTTAAATCTTTTTTGTTGCATGAAAAAAAAAGCTACATTTTGTATTAATTTTTATCCAGTAGTTTAAGTCTTTATAATATTAATTTTTATAGTGAGCTTACACATGTAATTTGTAGTTTAAAAAATACTACTACAATTTTGTCTTTGTATTTTTTTATCCAGAAGTTTTAGTTTATTAAATAATATAAATTTTTTATACGGCCTAATACATTTGATTTGTAATAAAATGAATATTTTAAAGCACACATAGAAACAGGATCTGTAAGTTTAAGTCAATAACTGTGCAATTACACTAATCTGAAGCTTTTTATTTCAGGTCGAATTTTAGAAAACAGTCCTGCAGAAAGGTGTGGGAGGCTGCATGTAGGGGACAGAATACTGGCCGTTAATGGAGTTGATATCTCATGCATGCACCATGAAGAAATAGTTAACCTGATTAAGGAAGCTGGATATTCTGTAACACTGACTATAGGGATTCCCCAGGGTAAGTTTAATACACAGGACACAGATACTTATTTACACATACCATTGGGATTCCATAGGATAAGTTTAATACACAGGACACAGATACTTAATTACACATACCATTGGGATTCCCTAGGATAAGTTTAATACACAGGACACGGATACCTAATTACACATACCATTGGGATTCCCCAGGGTAAGTTTAATACACAGGACACAGATACTTAATTACACATACCATTGGGATTCCCTAGGATAAGTTTAATACACAGGACATGGATACTTAATTACACATACCATTGGGATTCCCTAGGATAAGTTTAATACACAGGACACAGATACTGAATTACACATACCATTGGGATTCCCCAGGGTAAGTTTAATACACAGGACACAGATACTTAATTACACATACCATTGGGATTCCCTACGATAAGTTTAATACATAGGACACAGATACTTAATTACACATACCATTGGGATTCCCTAGGATAAGTTTAATACACAGAACACAGATACTAAATTACACATACCATTGGGATTCCCTAGGATAAGTTAAATACACAGGACACAGATACTTAATTACACATACCATTGGGATTCCCTAGGATAAGTTTAATACACAGAACACAGATACTAAATTACACATACCATTGGGATTCCCTAGGATAAGTTTAATACACAGGACAAGGATACTTCATTACACATACCATTAGGATGCCCTAGGATAAGTTTAATACACAGGACAAGGATACTTCATTACACATACCATTGGGATTCCCTAGGATAAGTTTAATACAGAGGACAAGGATACTTCATTACACATACCATTAGGATTCCCTAGGATAAGTTTAATACAAAGGACACAGATACTTAATTGCACATACCATTGGGATGCCCTAGGATAAGTTTAATATACAGGACAATGATACTTCATTACACATTCAATAAGGTTTCCCTAGGATAAGTTTGATATACAGGACAATGATACTTCATGACACATTCAATAGGGATTCCCTAGGATAATTTTAATATACAGGACAATGATACTTCATTACACATACCATTGGGCTTCCCTATGATAAGTTTAATATACAGGACAATGATACTTCAATTCACATACCATTGGGGTTCCCTATGATAAGTTTAATATACAGGACAATGATACTTCAATTCACATACCATTGTGCTTCCCTATGATAAGTTTAATATAAAGGACAATGATACTTCATTACACATACCATTGGGGTTCCCTATGATAAGTTTAATATACAGGACAATGATACTTCATTACACATACCATTGTGATTCCCTAGGATAAGTTTGATACACAGGACACGGATACTTAATTACACATACCATTGGGGTTCCCTAGGATAAGTTTAATAAACAGGACAACAATACTTCATTACACATACCATTGGGATTCCTAATGGAAAATACAGGATATACAGGACAATGATGCTTCTTTACACATATCATAAGGATTCCCTAGACCATATTTTAATATACAGGACAATTGTACTTCAATACACATACCATTGGGATTCCCTAGATTAAGTTGGATACACAGGACAAAGATACTTCATTTCACATAACATAGGGATCCCCTAGGATAAGTTTATAGCTCTTCTATAAAAGCATGCAAAGCAAACCTTTGATCAACTTGCTTGCTATGTTTGTTTGGATGTTTGTAAACAAAAGGTAGGTACTCTGTTTCAGTCTGTTTACTATATAATGGAATATGATTGGACAATAAACATTAACTTCATTGCATGTCAATTTTTATTGTCCAATCAAATCCCAGTATTTTTAAAACAGACTGAAACCCAGGATAAGTTTAGTATACAGGACAATGATACTAATAATTACACATACCATTGAGATTCCCAGGATAAGTTTAGTATACAGGACAACAATACTTCATTACACATACCATTGGGATTCCCTAGGATAAGTTTAATATACAGGACAATGATACTTAATTACACATACCATTGAGATTCCCAGGATAAGATTAGTATACAGGACAACAAACTTCATTACACATACCATTGGGATTCCCCAGGATAAGTTTAATATACAGGACAATGATACTTAATTACACATACCATTGGGATTCCCTAGGATAAGTTTAATATACAGGACAATGATACTTAATTACACATACCATTGAGATTCCCTAGGTTAAGTTTAATATACAGGACAATGATACTTCATTACATGTACCATTGGGATTTCCTAGGTTAAGTTTAATATACAGGACAATGATACTTCATTACACATACCATTGGGTTCCCTAGGATAAGTTTGTAATACAGGACAATGATACTTAATTACACATACCATTGGGCTTCCCTATGATAAGTTTAATATACAGGACAATGATACTTCATTACATGTACCATTGGGATTTCCTAGGTTAAGTTTAATATACAGGACAATGATACTTCATTAGACATACCATTGGGTTCCCTAGGATAAGTTTGTAATACAGGACAATGATACTTAATTACACATACCATTGGGCTTCCCTATGATAAGTTTAATATACAGGACAATGATACTTCAATACACATACCATTTGGATTCTCCAGGGTAGAATATGGTTAAATACATGATATGTACAGGTTAAGCTTCTCCCATATATTGATTATTAAGATTACAAAGAATAATTTATCAGGAATTGCTGCTTCCTTACAGTGGAAAGTTATCATTGGGTTGGGTATTTTCTCTACTAACTGATGACAAAAGGGTGATGATCCATAACATTGGATTTTAATTTAGAAGATATTTTCCAAGATGATATACTAAAGAATGTTATGTTCCATGACATTGTATTTTAGAAAGTAATTTTCCATTACAATGTATTTAAAATTATGATGCTCCATAACATTATATTTTACTTTAGAAACAAATTTTCTATGACATTGTATTTAATGAAGGGATGTTTCATGACATTTTATTTTACTCTAGTAAGTAATGTTCCTTGACATTGTATTTTAATTTGGAAGTTGCTGTTCCATGAGATTTTATTATACTTTGGAAGTTGCTGTTCCATGACAATGTATTTTATTTTGGAAGTTGCTATTCCATGACATTGTATTTTACCTTTAAAGTTACTGTTCCACAACTTTATATTTTACTATGGACATGATGGAAGTTGATGTTCCATGACATTGTATTTTACTTTGGATGTTGATGTTCCATGACATTGAATTTTACTTTGTAAGTTGATGTTCCATGACTTTGTATTATACTTTGGAAGTTGCTGTTCCATGACATTATATTTTACTCTGGAAGTTGATGTTCAATGACATTGTATTTTACTTTGGATGTTAATGTTCCATGACATTGTATTTAACTTTAGAAGATGATGTTCCATGACATTGTATTATACTTTGGAAGTTGATGTTCCATGACATTGTATTTAACTTTGGAAGATGATGTTCCATGACATTGTATTTTACTTTAGAAGTTGATGTTCCATGACATGGTATTTTACTTTAATTTGGAAGTTGATGTTCCATGACACGGTATTTTACTTTAATTTGGAAGTTGATGTACCATGACATTGTATTTTACTTTGGATGTTGATGTTGCATGACATTGTATTTAACATTGTAAGTTGATATTCCATGACATGGCATTTTACTTGTAAGTTGATGTTCCATGACATGGCATTTTACTTTGGAAGTTGCTGTTCCATGACATTGTATTTTACTTTGGATGTTGATGTTCCATGACATTGTATTTAACATTGTAAGTTGATGTTCCATGACATGACATTTTACTTTGTAAGTTGATGTTCCATGACATGGCATTTTACTTTGGAAGTTGCTGTTCCATGACATTATATTTTACTTTGGAAGTTCATGTTACATGACATTGTATTTTACTTCAGAAAGGGGATGGTCCTTGACCAAAGACAATTCAACTTCAGTGTAAAAGTTGATAACAAAACAGTTAACCAGACTATAAATCTGATTATTTTTTCTTCATTTTCAGATGATGCTTCAAGTACTACATCAAATTCTCAAAAGGTAAGATAGTTATCAGAAATGCAGTTGATCCATGTCAAAGTTTGATTGTGTTTTCTTTATCTTGGACTTTCCTGCCTTCTTATGAAACATTAAGAGCACCATTTCTTCAATTGAATATACTGATAACCAACTAATTTTTGTGAGCAACCTAATTTTGCAAATTTTGAGAATTTAAAAATAACATAACAATTGAATATAAATTGTGGAAAATATTTAAAATTTAGATCTCCCTTCATATAGATACATCAAGAAATTTTTAAATCGTGAAAATAAATCAGTGAATTCAGCTAGAAAGGGCTATATGCAAAATAAAGTATCTATGAAAAATGGGTTAGTTTACGGTTTGCCATAGAGAAAATGCTTCCCTTGTGTGGCGAAGAGGAAGACCTCCTCAACAATCATGTTCTTCTCTCAATAAATGCTGGATCATCACAACAAAAAAGCTAAGTTGTAAATAGTACCAGTATATGAAAACAATGTGAAGGTGGTAATAAAACCATGATTTATTTTATCAGAAAAAAAGGTGATTTTATTAAAAAAACATTGTTAAAGGGAGGTAATTCAATAGTTAATTAATAAAGTAAACTGTGTTTACATGTACAATGAAAGGAGATATGTGGTATCAGTCAATGGGGCTTAAATCCTACAACACAAAAAAGGCTTCTGGACTCGTTTAATGTAATGTTTGAATTTTAAATTAATTCAATTCATTAACAAATAGAACAGGTTTAATGTTTATGAAGTTTGTGCAACAAAACCTTAGAGGTTAACATACAGACTTCAACCCTATACAAGTGTTGTAAGTGTACAGCAACTATTACTGCAGAATATATAATGGCTAAGGAATACTGCAACCTTAGAGGTTAACATACAGACTTCAACCCTATACAAGTGTTGTAAGTGTACAGCAACATTACTGCAGAATATATAATGGCTATGGAATACTACAACACTAGAGGTTAACATACAGACTTCGTACCTATACAAGTGTTGTATGTGTACAGCAACAATTACTGCAGAATATATAATGGCTATGGAATACTACAACCCTAAAGGTTAACATACAGACTTCGTACCTATACAAGTGTTGTAAGTGTACAGCAACAATTTCTGCAGAATATATAATGGCTATGGAATACTACAACCCTAGAGGTTAACATACAGACTTCGTACCTATACAAGTGTTGTAAGTGTACAGCAACAATTACTGCAGAATATATAATGGCTATGGAATACTACAACCCTAGAGGTTAACATACAGACTTCGTACCTATACAAGTGTTGTAAGTGTACAGCAACAATTACTGCGGAATATATAATGGCTATGGAATACTACAACCCTAGAGGTTAACATACAGACTTCAACCCTATACAAGTGTTGTAAGTGTACAGCAACATTACTGCAGAATATATAATGGCTAAGGAAAACTACCGAACAAAAAATATAGAATTCTGTGCTATTTAAGGAAAAGTGTGAAATATAAGTTTGAAATATATTGTTAATTGATAGATATTTATGTTTATTTCAGGGTTCTCAGGGCTCAATGGTAAATGCAATGGCTTATCCCACTTCTAATGATACTAATATGAGAAGGTAAGGAGATCATTCCTTGTGATAAGGTTTAATTATGAACACCACCTTGGATTTCAATGTTGACAAAGATAAAGAAGAAACTAATGAATTAAAAAGTAATTGTTTCCCTTGTGGTAAAAAAAATATATAAAAACACCCATTTTGCTGTACATTTTCAAACTTGGTGATTTTTTGCCAAGTCTTGGTCTACAGTTACTCATACTCTCAATATGATAGCTACACTTTACAGAATAGAATTTTAAAATTCAAGTGACAGGATGTGTATAGAATATTTCAACTTTTCACTATTTTAAAACAATAATAGCTGCATAAGATATAAAGGTAATATATCACATAAAACTGTTACACATTTGTTAATTGATTTTTGTCGAGCCTGCGACTTTTGTCGCAAAAGCGAGACATAGTGATCCTACATTCCGTCGTCGGCGTCCACAAATATTCACTCTGTGGTTCAAGTTTTTATACGCCCGTTTACGGGACGTATTATGTTATACCGTTGTCCGTCTGTCATCAACATGTCGGACATTAACTCAAAAATGCTTTAACCAATTTGCATAAAACTTTGATGAATTGTTTATATCTATTGACGTGAGCTCTCTTTCGTTTTTTCAAGTTAGGGGTTTTATTCATAAAAAAAGGGGGATTTTCCAGTTTTCGGACAATAACTCAAAATTGCTTTCAGCAGTTCTTATGAAACTTTGGTGAATTGTTGATATCTATTGATGTAAGCTCCCTTTAGAATTTTGTAAATTTTAGATTTTACATTTCAGAGTTATGGTGTTTTGTTCATTAAAAAGGGGGGATTTTCCAGTTTTCAGACAATAACTCGAAAATGCTCCAGCAATTCTTATGAAACTTTGGTGAATTGATTATATCTATTGATGTAAGCGCCCTTTAGAATTTTATAAATTTTATTTGTTTATAGTCTGACAACAGATTTACTAAGTATTGCGCAACAGCATAGTGTATTGCACAACAGGAAGAAATCTTTAATTGAATATAAAATCAATTCATATAACCAATTTCAAGTTCTTTGACTACATTTATACAGATACCTATAATATGTCAAATATTTAATTACAATCCAAATTCAGGCCTGTATCAAGCTTGAATATTGTGCCCATTTTTGCCCCAACTGTTCAGGGTTGGACTTCTTAATAACTTTCTTAAACTATCCTGGATTTCTACCAAACATGGACAGAAGCTTGTTTATGATTATAAGATAGTATCCAGAGGTAAATTTTGTAAAAAAAAAATCCTGTTTTTCCTTATTTTACTAATAAATGGACTTAGTTTTTCTGCCAGTTAACATTACATTCACTCTGTGGTTAAAGTTTTTCAAATTTTAATAACTTTCTTAAACTATCCTGGATTTGTACCAAACTTGGACAGAAGCTTTTTTATGATCAAAAGATAGTATCCAGAGGAAATTTTGTAAAAATATATTTCCTGTTTTTCCGTATATTACTTATAAATGGACTTAGTTTTTCTTCCAGTTAACATTACATACAGTCTGTAGTTAAAGTTTTTAAAACATTTTTTAGATTCATAAACCATTCTGGATTTTTACCAAACTTGGACAGAAGCTTCTTACAATCAAAAGATAGTATCTATAAGAAAATTTTGAATAATTTTTTCCCCATTTTTGTTGAGCCTGTGACTAGCAGCAAAAGTAGGCGAGACACTGGGTTCCACGGAACCATTACGAACTTTTTTTATCTCAGCAATTGAAATATGAAACTTATAATCCATTGAACAAAAGAATATAATTTATATAATGTCACTATGTAGTGAAGATAACTTCTGTGACACCCCATACATCAATTAATTGTAAAATTAAACATGCATGTATTATGGAAACATTTCTTTAAAGGGATAGAAGCTACGATTTTGACAAAATTATGACCAAGTTTTAAAGCTGCTAAAATCAAAGATATGTACTTTAAATTAACAATAAGATCGGTGGAATGTTTATGTAAAGTACAGAAGTGTTAATAATTGATAATTAATATCGTGTAGCGTGCCTTTTCATCTCATTAATTATGCATCGGGTTTACTTCCCGAACTTTGCTGACACAGCGAGTGAGATGACCAAGATATAAATAAATATGAACATGTGCTTTTGTTTTCTTACGTATTTGACAATTTCTTTAGATTGAAACCATTTATCAAATTATGTAAACAACAAAATATACCAAATGCCTGCAAATTATTCGAACCCAAGGTTCTCCAACAATGGCATTATTATACACTTGTTTTATATTTGTATGACAATCCAATGCCGATAACGTATACACGTGTTTGTGAATTGAATTGGGGCCTTCATGCAGGGTACACTGGAAGAATAATATTAAATTGTAAGAAGTTGATTTTTAATGTCTTCTAAGTTGTGAGATCACTGCTCTTAAATTTATAAAGATATTTTGGACAATAATGATTTGAACACGTCACGATTTATTTTCATGTGATCTGGATTCGAAAAGTTCAGAAATGTTTTTTTACATTTCACAAACCGTCGTAATGTCGACTGCTTATATAATGACTTTATCTGCGTGTCAGGTGTTTGTAAATGATTCTAATGACCGATCTCATCGCCGTTATTTATTTTCAATTTACAATAACTTGTCTGCACCTCTTTACTGTTTCTTTTTCTCGCAGAAACTGTAAACACACGTTCCATTTCCGCGATAACATTCCTCTGTTCGACATTTTCCCTTCGAGGGACAACTTGCGATTGCGCATTGGGAACTGCGGAGTTAAGGTCAACATAGGTCATATGAATAAGGGTTGGCTTAACATCGAATTTTTGTCTATTGACAAAAATTAAATTCAGGTGTAAAATGTTAAAAAGCTTCGAAACGCTAATTGGGGTAAACAGTGATGGTTTTATTCATTCTAAATAAACCTTTTGTACAAAATCCGGCATATAGATTAGAAAAATAATTTTAATGAAAATCGTAGCTACTATCCGTTTAACATCCAAAATATTGACATCACCAAACAAAAGGATAATTTCATTACATTAAAGTATATTAATTTTAGATTGCATTGTTATGTTACGGTTGTTTATTGTAGGTATCCACCACCGCCATTACCAGGGGATAGAATGAAAGAAATCAATAGACAGCGTAGTGTGTCTAATCATCAGGTAATCAAGTAATATATTGACCTAAGATGTTAAGTCATCAGGTAATCAAACACTATTTCCCATACTAAGTTAATCAAACGCTCTTTCACATACTCAGGTATTCACACACTATTTCATATACGTAGGTAAAAAAAAACACTATTTCCCATAATTAGGTAATCAAAGACTATAACCCAAACTAAGGTAATCAAAAGCTATTTTACATACTTAGGTATTCACATGCTATTTCACATACTTGGGTAATGAACACTATTTCCCATACTTAGGTAATCAAACAGTATTTCACATACTTATGTAATTAACACTATATTTCCCATATTAAGTTAATCAAATAGTATTTCACATACTTGGGTATCAAAATGCTATTCCTATACTTAGGTACTCAAACACTATTTCACAAACTTAGGTTATTGAACACTATTTCACATACTTAGGTAATTGAACACTATTTCACATACTTTGGTAAGCAAACACTATTTCACATACTTAGGTAATCAAACAGTATTTCCCATATTTTCACATACTAAGGTAAGCAAACACTATTTCACATACTTAGGTATTCACATTCTATTTCACAAACTTAGGTAATTGGTCCGAGTACACAGTTATTTCGTAGTGCATTTCTTTTAGACAATAAATGAAAATTAAAAAAATCCCACCTGCGCTTTCTCAATTATATTTTTACAGTGTGTTGTACTACTTTTGGGACAAATTATATAAAAATTATAGAAAACTTCATCGGCTCTAACTCAAAATATGGACAATTTTATGTTAAGGGGGTCTTCAAATCTTTTGACAGCTTCCGAAGTGCTAATTTTTAACATTTTTCAGCTGGACCAAATCACTACTTTACTTTAAAATTCATGACCCAAATTTTTTTACAGTGTCATTTCCCCCCCCCCACCCTTCTTGCTATTTGAGTCATAAAACATGGAGAAATAAATTTGGAAGGGGTATAAAAAAAATTAGCAAGTAACACACTGTCCACACTAGGGACTATATTCGTGGACAACGAAAATCAAAGGACGATAACTTTGTACTCGGACAAATTGAACACTATTTCACATTCTTAGGTAATCATACAGTATTTCACATACTTTCACATACTTAGGTAAACAAAAAGTTTTCCTATACTTAGGTGATCAAACAGTATTTCCCATACTTTCACATACTTAGGTAAACAAAAAGTTTTCCTCTACTTAGGTGATCAAACAGTATTTCCCATACTTAGGTAATCAAACAGTATTTCTTTTACTAAGATAATCAAACAGTATTAATCAAACACTATTTTCAATACTTTGTTTATCAAACACGATGTCCCATACTTTAGTTATCATACAGTATTTGCCATACTTATTGCAATCAAATAGTATGTTCCATATTTAGGTAATCAAATAGTATTTCTCATACTTAGGTAATCAAACACTTTCTCACATACTTAGGTAATCAAACATTATTTCCCTTACTTGGGTAATCAAACAGTATTTCCCATACTGAGGTAATCAAACCAAGTGTGACAAGTCATCAGGTAAATAAACAGTATTTCTCATACTGAGGTAATCAAACCAAGTGTGACAAGTCATCAGGTAAATAAACAGTATTTCTCATACTGAGGTAATCAAACCAAGTGTGACAAGTCATCAGGTAAATAAACAGTATTTCTCATACTGAGGTAATCAAACCAAGTGTGACAAGTCATCAGGTAAATAAACAGTATTTCCCATACTGTTTCTCATACTGAGGTAATCAAACCAAGTGTGACAAGTCATCAGGTAAATAAACAGTATTTCTCATACTGAGGTAATCAAACCAAGTGTGACAAGTCATCAGGTAATCAAACAGTATTTCCCATACTGAGGTAATCAAACCAAGTGTGACAAGTCATCAGGTAAATAAACAGTATTTCTCATACTTAGGTAATCAAATAATATTTCTTGTACTAAGTATTTTAAGTCATTAGGTAAATAATTAATTATTACTTAATTAATCAAACAAAGTGTGTCAAGACTTTAGGATATTAAACAGTATTTCATGATTGGAGGATTTATTAATTTTGATGGAATACTAATTTTCAAGACTGTCATGGGAAGGGAAAACCACAAATTTGAATTCTTGAAGAAATAGACCTTTTTGTAACTTTGTTAGGGGCAAATGATTGAACCACAAAAAAAGGTAATCAAGAAAAGGTAAATAGTCTACATCTATACAAATTGATTTTGATTGATTTTTTGTTTATAATTATAGCATTCAGATGAGGAGGAATATTTAGTTGTTGAACTTCAGAGGGGCTCCAGAGGGTTTGGTTTTTCAATACGTGGAGGGACAGAATTCAACAGTATGCCTCTTTTTGTATTACGGATAGCAGAAGATGGCTCTGCTGATATGGATGGCAGACTAAGGGTAAGAAACTATATAGGGTCTGAATTTGAGTAGGGGTAAAAAAAAAATCCATATACTTTTTCCCTCTTTACTGAATTGTTATCCCATATTTGAGGGGAAAACAATATACAATATATATGTCATATCTTGTAATGTTAATTATCTTTACTAAGGGAAGTGTACATTTAAATTTTTACAAAATTATTATACATAAATGTCATTAAGACAGCAACCCAACAATAATAAAACTAAGAAAAACATCAACCTACACTTTATATATATAGTTTATAATAAATGACAAGCATTAATGCCATATCTAAACTCCAAAATAATCCAGAGTTTAGACAAACTAGGAATTCGTAAAAAAAAATTGACAAACAACACCACATTCCGTAAAAGTGATAAAACCAATGAGAAACAATGACAATCACTAATGAGGGTCAAGACATGGACCAAACACATGATCATGTGGAGGGGTTAAATAGTTTTATGATTATTCAACCCTCCCATTCCCTCTTTCCTTTATGCTCACAAACAAATTATCTAAAGGAGATTGATATTTTATGTTTAAGAAATGTGCAATATAATACCAATTGATATTTCAGGTGGGAGATCAGATTTTAGAAATAAACGGGTTCAGAACAGACAATATGAGTCATTCTGATGCTATAGATGTTATACAGAATGGAGGAACAAATGTTAGGTTACTGATTAAACGTACAGGAAAACTGCCTCCAAGTTTTGGTAAGTATGGGAAGATTTTCATCAGAACAAGAATTCTTTCTTAGATACAGTATTACCCCTCTATTTTGATTCCACCACCAAATGTATCTCTGATATTAAAGACAAAAACCTCAAGTATCGACAGTTTTTATTAATGTGAAATGACCTCTCAAAAATCTGCAACTTTTAAATATGCTCAACAAAAGTTTTTTTTTGTGCGAAAAAAACTTAAGAGTTTGCTCATCATATCAATGTCATGGATCATAAAGCAAAAGTGTTTCTAATTTAACCCATGGTATAGAATAAATAAGGTACACTGGTATCAAAATTATGGAAAATTATTGTCACGTAAACTGTATCTGGACAGGTGTGGCAACATCAGAAGACACCCCCAACGTTAAAGATAGGCTCTTATAATAGACTGTCTATACATTGCATTTATCTAATAATTAGCTTTCCAATGATCATTAAAGTGTGGGAAGTTGTAGGTTGTAGTCAAAATGATTTGTTTGTCTAGGGTTATATGTCTTCCATGGGACTGTCACCATGTGAGCTAGCATATAAAAAAAATAGTAGAGGTTGTAGACACATTGTTTTGTTATTTTGTTTTTCAGAAAATAATCCTGTCAGCAATCGTTATGGACCTTCAGTGACAGCACCAATGTCAAATGGACCAATAGGTCAAAGTTCACCTTATCTAGGTCGCAGAACTTTTGACCCTCGTGATGAACAGCAATTCTACAATTATAATCGACAGTATAACTATTAATACTCTGGGTCAGTACGGGGACATTATAACAATCTGTGATAAATCATGTTTGCATCATGTGATTCAGTCATGTGACATTTTGTACACAAATCATGTGATTTAGTCATTAAATGTATATTGTCTACACAACTAATGCATCAATTTACAAGGTCATGTGATAAACTAATACAAGATCACATGATTTTGTCATGATATTACAATGTTTTGTTTAGTGATTATCATTCATGTTATAGTATTTTTAATCATTTAAATGGCTGTTATTTTTTAACTAGTCTTGTTTGGAATTTGGTTGTAATTTTTAAATCTAGTTCATTTACAACTAGCTTAAGGCATTTTGTGGGGGGAGTGTAATGTTAGGGTTTTAAATGAAACTGTTAGTGCTATTTTTATGCAAATGACTATGCAAGTTGTGATTATTATTTTGTATTAGATTTGCTTGTGGTTGTGTTTTAATAAAAATACTATAAGGTTGACAAATATAGTTTTTACATCAAATTATTTCAAAATATTTTATAATTTTTATTTGGATACTCATATATGACTGACTTATTTCAAATAAACTTGAAAAATAATAATAAAAAAAAAAGCATAATTGTGTTTCAAACAATGCATTCAAATAAATTGTGAAATTTGTTATTTCTTTTAGTGTGCCATTTAACTATAGCATTCCAAATTTTGTCCTGATGTTCCTTTATAAGTCATTATTTTTCTTTGTTAATAACTTAGTCAATAACAGTCGTTGTTTAAATTCTTGTTCTTCAATACACAATTGCTCTTCCCTACAATTGTAATATATAGTAAATAGTTATAATCAAAACATGTTTATTTACCATTTTGCATTTACAAATTTTATTTTTTCATTGTAAAGTTTCATATATATATGCATATTTATAATGCAGATCTATGCATGAAAAAAAATACATATCTATTATTATTATTCTTAAAACAAATGTTAATTTATATATATTTGTTTTTTATTTACTGTAATAATTGTATGAGGTTTAGGATTTACTAATATGAACAGGGGAGTTAAAAATTTATAAAAAATATCTGTACTAAGATATATTTCATTAATTCATTCAAGCAATTAAAATGAATATCCAGAAATGATTATGTAGCAGACTTTTATACCAGGAAGTATGAAACATCTTTATAATAATATTGATTTTTCAGGAGAACTGAGTGATGTTCATTTAAACTTACATGATACACAGGGATATCAGTCTGATAATGGCGTACAATAGAAGTATTTCCTTCTGAGTACTGGTTTCATTAGATATGATTTCTGTCCCTGGATGTCTCCTGTATGTTTATATGTATCAGTTGGATTTACAGTGTAAAGCAATTATACTATATATGTTATATTAGCAGAAAATGATGGTTTAAAATAATAAATGAGGGAGGGAATTAGGACTGTTCCAGAATTAAACACATGGGAGGCACTTTTTAAGACCATGACCACCAATAAAATAAAAAAAAAAAAAATCATTTTACTTGTCACTTTTACAAAATTCTAAGGAAAATGCAACCACCCATATTTTATTAATTTGAGTACCCCCCCCACATTCCTCCACCATATAAACTTTGAAACAGTCCTTACAATAATATTAGTATATATGATGTTTTTCTTTTAAAACTTTTGTGCTTATTGGAAGGAGCTATTTATGGTTGTTGATGGTAGAGGGGCATTATGTTTTTCGGTCTGTGCTTCCGTTCGTTTGTCCGTCTGTCCATCTGTCCCGCTTCAGATTAAAGTTTTTGGTCAAGGTAGTTTTTGATGAAGTTGAAGTCCAATCAACTTGAAACTTAGTACACATGTTCCCTATGATATGATCGTTCTAATTTTAATGCCAAATTAGAGTTTTGACCCCAGATTCACGGACCACTGATAGTGCGAGTGGGGCATCCGTGTACTATAGATACATTCTTGTTTTTGTATCTTTTAAATCTGCTGTCTGGATTTGGGATAATACCAAAAATAAAGTTTTTGTATCATTCATTCGGTAGATGTTTTTTTCAGAGGAAAATAATTATTTTTAAATACAGAAGAGAAGCAAAATGAACATTGATAGAAATGATAAAACAGCTTAATTTGTCACATCATTTGTACTACTTTTCGACAAACCTGTAAATCTTACTATATATAAATATATGTTCTCCAGAAAACTGTGTAGATCTGACTACCTACCAATACATGTTGGTAATTATAAAGACTTGTTGGTCCAGCTATTTACTAGTATATAGTGGTATTTAGATAGATTTGTAGATCTGACTACTTACCACAATAAATACTATCTTGCCAAAATCTGACTGTGATGAATAGATATAGTCTGCTTCAAATAGAAATCACAATAAGTTGTTCTTGCACTAGATATAAATGTATAGATTTTTAAATTCTTTTCAATTATGTCAGTTCTCTTTCATTGCTACTTACACAATACAGCAGATCCACATATCTGTTGTGTGAAGAAAATGTTTCAATTATTCAAAGTTATCAATACCAAAACTTGTAATCCATAGTTTATGATACTGTATCAAAATTTGGAGAATATCATGTGTTCAGAAAAAAACAAATAATTATATGCATGTGTATAGTTGTCAATATTATGTGTTTTATTTAGAACACATACCAAAGGAAATATTAGTGTAGGTGTAACTAAGGATAGACATATATATATTTGACCATTTATAATCAGATTGCATATGGAGCAAAATTTATATAACGTAACTGTTTTTGACAATTCTTATAAAAGACAACATACCTAAGAAAATGTTTCAAACAAAGGTCTAGGTTAAGATTGATGGTTGCTTGTTTCAAGTTCAATGACTCCAGTAAAAGATATGCATTATATATAATTTGGATACATAATAGGGGAGAGAATTCTTGTTAGTTAGTCCTTTTTTCTGGGGAGATAACTCTAGTAAGTCAATCCTTTAACACAAAGGGAGGTAAACTCTTGCAAATCTGTTCTTTTAACATACAGGTGCCTTTTACTTCGGTTTGTAAGTTGGTTGACACCCTTTCTGTTTTTTTTTTTGTTGGGTGCTGTCTCATTGTCATGTAACCCTAATTTTCTTAAATTTGTACAACATTTAGAAATTATTGTTAATTTAAAACATCTTATTTATACAGACTTGAGATTTATTTCCAAAGCAATTTGAGATTCTGTTTGGAACCTTTAAGCTTATTTTTTTATACATACTTTTGAGAAAATTATGGCATATAAATATTTATAACCAAATTAAGATACATCCTTAAATCTTCTTCATCACCAATAATTAGTTCATTGGTTTGGCAGCAATTATTTGTGCAATGTCTTCTGTCTTGACATAATCATCAGTTCATTAGCCAACATGCTACATATCCTGACCTTGAAACCTTAGTGCCGTCCTTTAAACATTTAAGTGCCTATTTCCTCACTGTGTAAGAAAAATCCTTCCATTTTACAAAAAAGTAAAGATGAAAGAAGAGCAGTTTAGTTTGTCTGTTTGCATTTAGAAGAGAACAAAACAGATGGAGTGAGATCATTTTCAAGTTTCAGTCCTTTAGAGGATTAAATGATATTTTTCAGACTCAGACAATCTGTCAGACTGTTTCATTTACATTTGCTGTATACTGAGCATTTAATACTTCCTCTATATAATCATTATGTACAAATAAATATAGGAATAACCCTGAGTCATTCTGTTTTAACTGTCACAAATTCATTTTTCTAACAACATTTAAAATAAAAGTTGAACAATCTGATCTGAAACACCTATAATAGCATTATGTACAACACTGTCTTCTGCTTCAGTTTGTTTGCTGGTAAAGCTGTTTTAACCAGTAGCTTTTAGAAGTTGTGTATTATATTGTGTATTATATTGTATATATGATTAACATGTATAGTATCAATTTTGTACATTGTACAGAGAAAGATATTAAAACAGTTTTAAAATGATATTTGTTCTTCTTCCTTCCCTGAAATGCTGATATTTTAGCTCCCCCTTTTATTACCTTAAGTTTGGAGGCATATATAATTATCCTTGCCCATCATCAATTCTTTCATCTGTCCTTCCCACATAAGGTGCTTCTGACATAGGGTTGTTTGTCAACCTTTTTCCACTTTCAATTACTAAGCTAGGACTTTTATATTATTCAGGGTTGTAGTACATATACTATGCATAATTATTAATAGGATGTTAAACTTTGTCAGGTATGGCAATGTCGTCCTCATCTGAAGACATTTGGTTTCTAGACACTAACTTGAGTATAAGTGTATGGATCTCTATGAAATTGCACCATACGGTTCCTTACCACAAAAGGAAGGTAGGGATTGATTTTATGGGTTATTGTTCCAACTGTTTAGGAATAAGGGGCCAGAAACAAGCATTTTTGTCTCGCCTTGACGGCGTCAAAAAGCAAGACAAAGGTATGCTGTTTCCGGCGACGGCATCAACAATGTATTAGTTTGTGATTAGGTCTAGTTTATGGTGTTCCACTAGTGGTAGGTCAATGATATTTGGTATGCAGTTGTATTGGCACATCTCATGGAGATTATTTGACCCTGCCCCCTCAGTCATGGTCTATTGACTTTGAAACTTTTGCTTAGTTTACATGTATTAGTTTGTGATTAGGTCAGTTTAAGATGAACCGCTAATTTTAAGTCATTGATATTTGGTATGCAAATTTATTGGCATTTGCAAGTCTCGTTTCCATGGAGATTATTTGGCCCCACCACCTCATCATGGTTCATTGACTGAGAAATTTTTAAATAGTTTACAAGTTAATGTTTGTGTTTAGGTTTGTTTACAGGGAATGACTTGTGATAATTCAATGGTATTTGGTATGCAGTTGTATTGGCTTTTGCACATCTCATTCCCATGGAGATTGTTTAGCCATCTACTGTCAGTCGTGGTTTATTGACTTTGAATCTTACATGTTAAAGTATTGCTATTTTAATTTCAACTTTTGCATTATCAAAATTACAAAAAGGTGAGACATATTTCTGTGTTAACAGTTTATTCTAGTTTCAGGACAATAACTTGTGTATAAGTGTATGGATCTCTAGGAAATTGTTCTACAAGATTTCATTCCAAAAAAGGAAGGTTGGGATTGATTTTTGGGGTTATGGCCCTGACTGTTCAGGAAAAAGAGTCCAAAAACAATACCTTTCAAATACTTTGTATAAATTGCTTATTTCTTGACCAATTTCAATGGAGTTTAACTCAAAGTTTTGAATTTTTGAGGTTCTTTTATATGCTGAATCTAACCGTATATTTAGATTATGGATTTTGGGTCTCATTATCAATTTGGCCCACATTGATGTCCAAAGGGTTTTAAATTGAACTTTGTTTGATTTCATAAAAAAATGAATTCTTGAGGTTCTTTGATATGCTGTATCTAACCATATATTTAGATTTTAGATATTGGCCATAATAGGTAAATGTCCAATTAAAATTTTTAAGTTCTTAGACCACATTCATTCTGTGTCAGGAACCTATGATATGTCAAATATTTAATCACAATCCAAATTCAGAGCTGTTACACACAATTACTAGAAATTGTAAGTAGATTCATAGTTTGAAAATAGATACAGCATCAAATTCTAGTTTTAGAGAAGAATTATGTATAAATACAGTTTGAAATTTACTGTTCATTATTAGATAATTTGAAAAATAATTAAATCCCTTGTATCAATGATGAATGATATTATAGGAAATTGTTTTTTTTTTTTTTTTTCATTTTTTTTGTAAATTTGTTTGAAGAACTTATGGTTGGTTTGTTTGTTATTCTGTATTAACTAATTTCAGAATGCTAAAAATAAAATATTTTTTATGACACGAATCCCTTTAAAAACTTAGCTAATATTGTCCATTAACAAATATATGAAATAAATTCTTGGTATACTTGAATATGCTGAATCTTATAGCAATATCAAACACCCCAAAAATATTAATTAATTTGATAAAAGGTTTCCTACCAATTACAGCTTGAACTAAATCTCTTTATGGAACATTTAAAAAACTTAGCTAATATTGTCCATTAATAGATAAATAAATTAAAGACTTGGTGTACTTGGATATGGTATTTAGATTTTGGATATTGGACCATAATAGGTAAATGTCGAATTTCATATTTCAAACTTTTCTGTTCTTTGGCCACATTCATTCTGTGTCAGAAACATATGCTGTGTCAAATATTTAATCACAATCCAAATTCAGAGCTGTATCAAGCTTGAATGTAGTGTCCATACTTGCCCCAACTGTTCAGGGTTCGACCTCTGGTGTTGTATCAAGCACGGCCCCGGAGCAGTATTTTCTTTTGTGAACTTATGCCTGTAGGGTTTGCCTGCTTACCTGCTATTGGTTACAAGTTTGAACTTCATATTAAGCAAATGTTTGTACACAGTATACTACGGTTGTACACAGTATACCACGGTTGTACACAATATACTATGGTTGTGCACACTTTTGACTTTTTCAATTCTCCACAAATAACTGAATGTTGAATGTCATAATTTTTGTTGAGCTGCAACATTTTGTCGATGAAGGGAAACAGCAATCTTACATTACATTTGGTTTGCATGGTCAATATTTAAATTCTGTTTGTGGTTAAAGGTATTTTAAACATGAATAACCTTGTGAAACCATTCATGGAATTTAGTAAAACTTGGATAGAAGCTTTTTTAATGACCAAAATAAAGTATCCAGGGCAAATTTTGAAAATATTTCATAATTATATTTTCAACCTGGTTATCTGAAGGAAAAATTAAGTTATTAGTCCCCTACCGACGAACTCGAAGGGACTTTTGGTTCGCACTCCGTCCGTCTGTCTGTCTGTCTGTCTGTCCATCCGTCAGTCCGGCAAATCAGTTTTCCACACTTTTTTTCTACGTGCTAACTGCTTGAAGATATTGATTTGATATTTGGTGTATTGTTTTATCATTACAGTTCAAGTTCGAATTTTGTTACGGTCTGACGATTTTGTGCAGAGTTATGGTCCTTGAACTATAGAAAAGTTCACTCAAATAATCAGTTTTCCGCACGTTTTTTTGGTCATGATTTGATATTTGGTATATAGTTTTATCATGACAAGTTACAGATCAAGTTCAAATTTTGTTCCGTTCTTATGATTTTGTGCAGAGTTATGGTCCTTGGACTTCGCAAATTCACTCAAATAATCAGTTTTCCTCACTTTTTTTCGTCATGCTTGAAGATATTGATTTGATAATTGGTATATAGTTTTTATCATGACAAGTTATAGATAAAGTTAGCATTTTGTTCCAATACAATGAATTTTTAACCGGTACGGGACTATGTATTGCCAGGCAATACTCACAGAATGCTTGCTTAATTTAAGTACGACGGGTGGGCTGCTGCCAACAGTTTCCGTGCAATAACTTTGAACCGTTCAACCAATACTTTTCTAATTTAATACGTTGTTACTGATGACAAGACGTAGGTCAAGTTCGATACTGATGATTTTCACTTTACTGTTCAGGTGTTATTGTCCTTGATCTATTGGAAAATTGCATTTTATGCTGTTTCCGTGCAATTACTTATGAACCACTCAACCAATTCTTTTAAAATTTTAATATGTTGTTACTGATGACAAAATGGGGGTCATGTTCGATGATTTTCACTATTACCGTTCAGGTGTCATGATTCTATATATATCAGTTGTTTATTGGTTGCTTAGCGTCCAGTGGCAAATACTTCATGTATGTTCAGAACAAATTAACAATTTTGTTCGTGTTTGTCATATTTGTTTTTGCGTAAATTGTTATGTAATAAATTAGGCTGTTAGTTTTCTAAATTGAATTTTTTGATATTTTTCATGTCGGTGCCTTTTATAGCGAACTATTGCTGAAGGACGTGTGGTTGATTATAATTGCTTACATCCACTTTGGGGTGTTGTCTCATTGGCAATCATATACCACATCTCCTTATTTTGATAATAAGTGTTTTATAATTGAAATTTACGTACAGTCTAGGATGATTTACGTACAGTCTAGGATGATTTACATACAGTTAGGATGATTTACGTACAGTCTAGGATGATTTACGTACAGTCTAGGATGATTACCGCCAGTCTAGGAAAATTTACATACAGTTAGGATGATTTACGTACAGTCTAGGATGATTTACGTACAGTCTAGGATAATTTACGTACAGTCTAGGATGATTTACGTACAGTCTACTCTAGGATGATTAGTCTAGGATAATTTACGTACAGTCTAGGATGATTTACGTACAGTCTAGGATGATTTTTTTATACATCAACATCATCCTGAACATGCATGAAATATTTGTCACTGGACATTAAGCAACCAAAAATTAATCAATTATACATCAATAACTTAGTTAAACCTTTATAAAATGTTATGAAACTTGGACAGAAGCATTTAGCAAGATCAAGAAAAGCATCAAAAGAAAAAAAATAGATTTAAAAAAACATTGCAATATTTTTACTGATAAATGGACTTAATGTTTGGCAGTCTTCTTTTTTACACGTTTACATTGACAGTCGAGACACAGGGTGGTTCAAAATGTCCTCACACAATAGGATTCTGAATTTGAACATTTTATGTCCTTGTGACAAATACATTTATGATGACTTTTGATGTGATAAGTAGAATTATCTGTTAGTATTTTATTTGGTCCCGCCATATTCACCAAGAACAGTTGTTAACTAGATATGACATAATTTCATTTTTGTATTAATTACATTCACGTTCTGTTTACCTCTTGACTTCGTTATGAAATTTGAAAGGAACAACAATAAATTCTTCTACATAACCTAATGTTGTTTTTGTCTCGCCTCGGCCTGCTCCGGACAAAAGTCGCAGAATGAGAGACATAAGCCTTATGATAAGGATTACAATCCGGAGGTGGCGGTGTGATGATGATGGTGGTTATTAACGACCTTGACTTGCTATACAGCCCTCGCACGGTCGGCTCGTGCCCGGAGGCGATTGTTCAGCATTAAATATTTTCGGTTTATTGGTCAATGTTAAGTTTCACAAAACCATTTAAATGTGTACTTTTTAAATCCAAATAAATGTTTACTGCACTATATTCAAGACAAAGACATCATCTATGTGTCTTTAAATACATGTAATGATAAAACTTGTGTTATGAACTGTGTCTTTAAATACATGTAAAGATAAAACTTGTTTTATGAACTGTGTCTTTAAATACATGTAATGATAAAAATTGTTTTATGAACTGTCTGGATTGTTGAGACTTAGGATTTCTGTTTATTTGAAAATTTAATAAGTTTTTGAATTACAGACGTTTTTTATCTCCATCTTTACCGCTGGAATATCATGTTCAGACCATAGCTGCAATGACTAAATTTCATGTAAATCATCCTGTCTTATGCAAAGTCATTTATTTTCAGTTTTTTCCAGGCCAAGTTATTAATTTCCGAAATCCTCAAAAAGTTTCAATGGTATCACCCATGCCAAATTTCTTTATTTTTTCATGAACTCAAGCGGAATAATCAGGTCTTTGGTAAAAACAAAATGTTTGTTTTTGTCTATGTGTGTCTACCATGCATCTCCTACTTATATGGTTGATGCAGTTTGTTGTGATCCTAGCAAATAAAGGTATGTCGCATATATATTCTACTGAAACAGGTAAAAAAAAAACAATGAATTCAACCTAATTTTTTTATTACAATCATATCATTTACAGTTAGGTCATTATAAGAACATTCCTAGATTCTCATTCAATTTCTTTGAATAATTGAGGAAGGCGATGGTAGACTTTTCTTTTTTTTAACCATCTCTGATAAAAACCTCAAGCAAAATGAAAGAAAATAGTCGGATATCAAACTAATTTAGTTTTGCTCTGAAAAATTGGATGGGGGAATGAAAATCTAGAACCCTTTTTATTATGACCTTAATTACCTGTTTTACAGATACCTATAGCTTAGGACAATAACAACCTAGTATAAAGTTAAATAAATATTTGTGTAGAAATACATAATTCTATATTAAATAATTAATATCACATTTCCATACTATTATATCTATTGCACTAATCGTAAACATCAACAAAACACAATTTATAAATTAATATTAACAAAAGCAAACATATATAAACAATAAAGAAGCACAATATGTATTTTAAGTGTCGACAGTGGTAAGAAAATCCACTTAACATTCTTTCAAGGCAGTCAAATAGAAGTAAAAATGTAACAAAAAAGGCAAGAACACAATAATAATATCTACTCTAGACTCGAGAAAAAATGCTTCGGACAGGAAGATTTATCCAATTTTATCTAAAATCATAAAGCCCTAAATTTTGAAAAATATACCTAGAGTAGGGACATAATAATTTTAACCAAGTAAAATGTACATTTAGGGACCCTGAAAATGTCCATGTGGAATGTAACAAGGGTCTATTAAAAACGAACCATTTTATTCTGTCGTGGATGGCACAATGATTCAATGAAAATATAATGGCACAAAAAATAACTTTTGCATGGAGAAAAAGATTCGATTGGTTGATTGATTCTTGGTTTTTAACGCCACTTTCAGTACTACTGGCTATATCGTGACGGCCAGTTTTTATCGTTGGAGGGACTGCCCGGAGAGAACCACAGACTTTCGGCAGTATAACTGGCAATCATAGGGAAAAGATTCGAGAGCCAAAATATTTTTGCTAAAATACTTACTACTAATATCCCTTCAGTGACTAGAATAATACTCATCCATAATAACTACAGTTGGAAAAACATTTACAATCATAAAATAATTTACGTACAATCAAAAATATCCATACCTTATTTCTCATATCATAATGATTAAGTCCAAAATATAAATGTTTGTTTTACTAATGTTTGCAATTCAAAGAAAAAATCCAGAGATCGTTTTACCAATCAAAATTCTGTTTTTCAATGGCTGTATCTCTAACAACAAACTTACACATCTATCTTTATCTAAGTTTGATACATTTATAATTAACTTTTGAAAAACACTTCATTGAAGAGAATATTGTGATTTTGAAATTTTGAAGCTAATTTCTGAATTTCATAAGCTTATATACAGTCATGAAGACTAATATTTTGCAAACCATACACTTGCTGTCCAAAACAAAAATTTGCAAACCGATATTTCATTAGGATCAACCATACACTTGCCTACAACAAACTATGTAACTGTCAATCAGTCAAACTACACTATGGGTTTAAAGAACTGTCTCTTACAAAAAAATAAAACCGACAGCCACTGAGCCTAGTCTCATGATCTCATCTTCGCTAGCCAGGGGTAACGATCCAGTCCCCTCCTCTCCAGGGAACTGGATCGTAACCCTTGGAGAGGAGGGGACTGGATCGCAACCCTTTGTTTAGCGAAAATGAGTCTATCTGCTCATAGTCAGATTGATTTTTTACACAATTCTGATTAAAATTAGATCTGTCACTGTGCTCCGTTATAATTGCATGTCGTTCATGTAGCCGGAGAAAAGCCGGGTAGTATTTTAATTTCTCCATAGGCGACAATACCTAAATTTTCTAAATTTACAACTTTTTATAATAAAAACCTTGACAAAACAGTTATGTGTGATATAAGAACTTTATTATTTTATTTTAGGAATTGAAATCAATGGTAGCACGACCATCTTCGAACGGAGCTTGTTCATAGGCATGGTCACCGCCAATTTCCATCAAACTTATGAAAATTTGGAAGCCTTTTCGAATAATTCTCAAGAAAATATTTCGATGTGGTTCATAATTCATATTGTAACTATACACACTGCAGTTATTCAGAAATAAATAAAACATATAGTATATACCCTTACATCCAATCACAGCGCTCCAAAGTTGACTTCCTTCACCTGTCCTAGATTCACAGAAGGCAAACATAAAGCCGGGAAAACAGTGAAATATCTGATTTCAATCAGAATGTTCTTTACAAAAATCTTTAGAAAACATTAACAAAATGTTATCTTTTCACAATACTGTGAGTGTCAAGTTTATCCCACAAGTTTTGATGTATGTCATAGTACGCTGATCTACAGGTTGGAAGGACCATAGATGTATGAACCCATAGATATGGGTTTATACATCTATGGAAGGACACTATTATAATGCACTGTTAATGGAGGACACCAGGAGTGGGTGTAAATCTAATATAACAGGAAGTAATATAGAGGCCAGAAAAACTATAATCTCCTCAGTCTGATCACACTCCTCTCTATACTGAACACAAAATTATGTTGTTAATCAGAAATATTAAATGGACAAAACTATTGTAAGGTGGGTCTCATTGCTGTAAATTAATGTTTTCCAAGAGTTGCAGGTTGACAAACTTGGACATGAATGATGAGAAAACAAAACAACAGAGGTGATCCTTATGTGAAGAGGTGATCCTTGTGTGAAGAGGTGATCCTTATGTGAAGAGATGATCCCTTCATCGCTCAGCTTTGCTGTCAGGCGACACTAAAATGTGACCCTGATTGTACTACTTATATCTCTCTCTCTCTCATTTATATGTAAGACGTACTTATATATATGTGTTGAATGATTACATATAAAAATATGTTTCTAAAGGAAGATAGTTTAAATTTGAAGATATTTCCTTTGTGTGTTATCATAAATAACATGATATCATACACCTATTATATTAAATAAATATCATGCTCTAGGGTAATAAATATCTCCCTGATTTTCAAAAATAATCAGTTAATAGTATACTACTTAGACAACACATTACAAATGGTGGCAGCTTTTGATTCGTCAAGACGGAATATCAGTAGTTGTATATGGCGGTGGTTGTTCTGAGTACGCTGGCGGAGGTTCACCGTCTTGTATTGGCACGGAATGATATCCATCATGTCCATACTCCTGTAGTGGTGGAGCTAGAAAACATAAACAATTCTGTGTAATTCACAATTTCAAAATCTGGTCTAATTTTTATAAAACGTACATTATAACGTTACATTTTGATTGGTTAAAAATGTCTTAAACAATGGAAATTCAACTAATACCACAACATTTATGATTTATATTCATTTTGGGATTAACCGGAATAATTGAGGCCATCTCCGAAATCGTCATCTACTTTCGAGGAGCTATGGTAGAGCAGTGGAATATTGGGACTAGTTTAGGGGTACAACCAATCAAATTACTTATAAGAGCTATACATATTTACGAACACCCTGGCACTAAATTTTAAGGAGGTGGCCATAGGCGGATCTAGGGGGGGGGGGGCTCTTTCGTGGGAAAAATTTGTTTGATTATATAGGGAATCACTGAAGCATGACTGGAGCCCCCCCCCACCCCCCCCCCCCCCCCCCCCTTTATGAAAAGTTCTGGATCCGCCACTGGTGGTATTCTTGGGGTTTTGCCTCAAACTGTTTGGGAATTCAAATTTTTTTTAATACAATTTAAAATTTAATGATTATAAAGATATCACAAAGATAGTTAATACCAAAATCGATCTCAAACAAAATTTGAGTGATTTAATAAAAAAATTAATTGATTTTTAAATGTGTATTTCATTTATGGTAAAACCCAACGATTTCAAATTTGTTATCTAAATAGACATTCAGAAACTAATTATCTGATTGGTCAATCTTTAGCTGTGACATAAGCAAGCTATTATGTATAAATTATGTGGAAAAGGTCTTTGAAAAAAATTCTATGAAACCGTAAGAGTATATAAATTGTGCATGTTTAAATTATGACTATCATGTAAATATAATAATACGTTGTTCCTTTCTTTACTAGTAAACTGATGTTTTGTGTGTATACAATTGGATCATTGCATTTAACATGTTTAAACAACTATTAAATAACTCATTTTAAGGCAGTTTAATCAAAGTGATTTTGTTTCGGAGGTTAGTTGAATAAACTACTAATATATGGGTAAGTCGACATGTCAGATGTCAGATGGGGGGGGGGGGGGGGGGGGGGGTCAAATAACTGACCTGTAGACACACACCTGTGTCTCAGATTTGATAACATTTGATCTAAAGATACAAATATTTTCTCATCATTTCATTTCTCCTTTCACTCAAAATTTTATGGCACGTTGAAATTCATTTCATTTTTTGTATGTGTAATTTGTTGCGTAACTAGTTATAATATACATGTTTAACTATGTTTTACTATGATTGAGAGCTAATACAGATCACTAATTAGTCTAATTTAAATAAATGTGGATTATGGACACAGATGATGCCCCCGCTTGCATATCATATAGTTATAAAGAGACATAACTGAAGAACGGTAAAAGTGACGCTACCCAAATTTGAACTTGATCTGAGTTTTGTGGTAATAAGCATTGTGTGTAAGTCTCATAACATTTGGTTGAGGCTAACTTCCAAACTAAAAGACAAATTGAAAGAGTTGGTATTACTTTGTTTCATTAAAAAGAATGGCGAACGTAGATACAAGTATCTTGTCTTGGGGAGGGATAAATCCTACTTTTTAAAGAATCACTCTGATTCAAACAAACAATTCTCTGAAACTGACATTATCAAGATGCTTGATTTCTTGATTGACAACATATTTGTTATGTTTGGAGGACGTGTTTTTCAACAGACTGTCGGAATTCCCATGGGAACCAATTGTGCCCCTCTTCTTGTCGACTTGTTTCTTTATTATTATGAGGCTGACTTTATACAGGAACTTCTTAGGAAGAATGATTAGAAGTTAGCAATATCCTTTAACTCTACGTTCCGCTATATAGATGATGTTCTCTCAATAATACAAAATTTTGTGACTATGTTGAACGAATCTATCCCATCGAACTAGAGATAAAGGATACTACAGATACAGTTAAGTCTTCCTCATATCTTGACTTACATCTAGAAATTGACAATGAGGGTCGGTTGAAAACAAAACTTTACGACAAAAGAGATGATTTCAGCTTCCAAATTGTGAACTTTCCATTTCTATGTAGCAACATTCCAGCAGCGCCTGCATACGGAGTATATATATCTCCCAATTGATACGATATTCCCGGGCTTGTGTTTCCTATCATGATTTCCTTGATAGAGGATTGCTGCTCACAAGGAAGCTATTAAACCAAGAGTTCCAAATGGTGAAGTTGAAGTCATCCCTTCGCAAATTTTATGGACGCCATCACGAGTTTGTTGACCGTTATGGAATAACCGTTTCACAGATGATATCGGATATGTTCCTTATGTCGTAACTACAGTACCCTCCCTTTTCACGAATGTGACTTACCGAATTAGACTATATTTACCGGATTTGTAATAACATAAGCAACACGAAGGGTGCCACATGTGGAGCAGGATCTGCTTACCCTTCCGGAGCACCTGAGATCACCCCCAGTTTTTGGTGGGGTTCGTTTTGCTTAGTCTTTGGTTTTCTATGTTGTGTCATCTGTACTATTATTTGTCTGTTTGTTTTTTTATTTTTGGCCATGGCGTTGTCAGTTTGTTTTAGATCTATGAGTTTGACTGTCCCTCTGGTATCTTTTGTCCCTCTTTTAAGTAGAGAACAGAAACGAAAAATTCAGCAACTTTTCTATTTGTAAACACACATAACTCTAAAACGGTTGTGTATAAGTTTTATAACATTTGGTTGAGACAAACTAAAGTTAGAGAACGGAAATGAAAAATTCAGCAATTTTTATGTTTATAAAGGGACATAACTCAAGAATGGTAAAAGTGACACTACCCAAATTCAACTTGATCTGTGGAAGGCAAAATTAAACATTGCATTGTATAAAGCATTGATTGTAGTTGATTAAACTATAATCATGGACAAAGGAAGATAACTCCAATTTTAAAAATTACTTGAATAATGATATTGATATTTTTGGAAAAAAAATGAAAAAATTAGCAATTTTTTCATTTGTAAAGGGGCATAACTCTAGAACGGTTAAAGTGACGCCAACAAAAATCAAACTTGATCTGTGTTTTGTGGTAATAAACATTGTGTATAAGTTTGATAACATTTGGTTGAGGCAAACTTAAGTTAGAGAACGGAAACCAATTTTGGGACGTACGGGCGGACTGACAAGGGTAAAACTTAATGCCCCCTCCGCCTCGGCGGGGGTATAAAAAATGAAAATAAAAATTATTTCTTTCAGCATATACATATTTACGAATAATATTGTCCAAATATATTTTATTTCTATTTCTAAAAGCATTTTGTGTGCTTTCTCCTTTCCTAAAGGTCAATAGAAAATCTAAATTATCTTTAACTAGAAAGAAAATCCTGTTTTTTATTGGAAACAAAGTGACAATCTGACTTAAGATTTCCCCCTTCTATTTCAAATTTTAGATAAAAACTTGTTTTAGTTCTATGCCAAAAATTACCAAGTCAGAACAAAATTAAAACTTGCTTCGTGTAAAAATAATCATACTTTTATCTGTCTTCAGACAAAACACAGTAAAATCATGCAATGAAAAAAAACATGCAAAGTTAAATGCACTTGCGTACAAAAAAACTTATTTACTGACTTAGGTAAAACACACTTGAAATAAATGGTACAACATACAACTGCAAGGTCAAACACAAATTATGCAAAACTAAAATAAATAAAACAAGAGGCTCACAAGAACCTGAATCGCTCACCTGGTAAATATATATGTAATTCTGATATTATTTTTTAACTTTATTGCAATCAGTTATTTTCTTTTCCTAGATCTTGTATTGCCATCATTTTTGGAGAGCAGTTTACACTTAACTTTTATATAAAAACACAAATGCTAGTCAACAGTCGTCATTCAAGGGCAATAACTCCCTCAAGAGTCATCCAATGGTTTCAGCCATAATGACAATTTGGAAGCTGTTGTTGAACTGATCATTTATGCTATTTACACTTTTTACTTATCGAATATAGTTTTCAAGATAATTTGCAAAATAATAAAAATTATTAGGGGCAACAACTTCTATAAAGACTATAACTATAAATGGTTAACTCATATTGGCTTTTTGTATATCTTGTATTGCTGATCATTTTTGCTGTTTTCAATTTTTATCTCTATTTTATACTTCTTGAGATAAGTGACAAACTCATCGTCATTTAAGGATCATAACGCCTTTTAAAGTCATCCTATGTTTGGTTCGGTAGTTTCATAAGAGATAAATGGGGAATGTGTCCACGGGACACAGATGATGCCCCCGCTTGCATATCATATAAAGTTATAAAGGGACATAACTGAAGAACGGTAAAAGTGACGCTACCCAAATTTGTACTTGATCTGAATTTTGTGGTAATAGTATAAGTTTCATAACATTTGGTTGAGGCAAACTTAAGTTGGAGAACGGAAACGAAAAATTCAGCATTTTTCCATTTGTAAAGGGGCATAACTCTGGAACTGTTAAAGTGACACCACCAAAATTCAAACTTGATCTGTATCATGTAGTAACTAGCATTCTGATAGTATTGCATGGCAATACATAGTCCCCTACCGGGTAAAAATTCATTATACTGGAACAAAAAGCTAACTTGTTCTATAACTTGTCATGGTGTAAACAAAAAGAAAATATCAAGTCAATATCTTCAAGCATGACTAAAAACAGGGTGGAAAACTGATTAAATGAATGAATTTTTCAAGTCCAAGGACCATAACTCTGCACAAAATTATCAGACCGAAACAAAATTTCGAACTTGATTTGTATAACTTGACATGATAAAACTATATACCAATTATCAATCAATATCTTCAAGCATGATGAAAATAAAATGCTCCGCAGGGCGCAGCTTGATACGACCGCAGAGGTCGAACTCTGAACAGTTGGGGCAAGTATGGACACAACATTCAAGCTTGATACAGCTTTGCATTTGGATTGTGATTAAATATTTGACACAGCATAGGTTTCTGACACAGAATTAATGTGGTCTAAGAACTTAAAATTTTAAATTGGACATTCACCTATTATGGTCCAATATCCAAAATCTAAATACATGGTTAGATTCAGCATATCAAAGAACCCCAAGAATTCAATTTTTGATGAATTCAAACAAAGTTTAATTTTGGACCCTTTTGACCTCAATGTGGACAAAGTTGATAACAGGGCCCAAAAATCAAAAATCTAAATACATGGTTAGATTCAGCATATCAAAGAACCCCAAGAATTCAATTTTTGATGAAATCAAACAAAGTTTAATTTTGGACCCTTTTGACCTCAATGTGGACAAAGTTGATAACAGGGCCCAAAAATCAAAAATCTAAATACATGGTTAGATTCAGCATATCAAAGAACCCCGTATGTTCAATTTTTGTTGAAATCAAACAAAGTTTAATTTTGGACCCCGATTTGGACCAACTTGAAAACTGGGCCCATAATCAAAAATCTAAATACATGTTTAGATTCAGCATATCAAAGAACCCTAAGTTTAATTTTGGACCCTTTGGACCTTAATGTAGACCAATTTGAAAACAGAACCAAAAATTAAGAATCTAAATACACGGTTAGATTCGGCATATCAAAGAACCCCAATAATTCAATTTTTGATGAAATCAAACAAAGTTTAATTTTGGACCCTTTGGACCTCAATGTGGACCAATTTTAAAACGGGGCCCAAAATACAAAAACTAAATACACGGTTAGATTCAGCATATTAAAGAACCCCAAGAATTCAAGAATAAAACCCCATTGAAATTGGTCAAGAAATAAGCAATTTATACGAAGTATCTTCTTTTGCACAATACTGTGCAATTAAATATTTCTTGCTATTGCGCAATACTGTACAATTGACAATTTCTTGCTATTGCGCAATATTGTGCTATTGGATATTTCTTGCTATTGTGCAATACTGTGCAATTGAAGATTTCATGCTATTGCGCAATACTGTGCAATTGATGATTTCTTGCTATTGTGCAATACTGTGCAATTGAAAATTTATTGCTATTGCACAATACTTATTATATAATAATTTACACATCCTGTTTGGTGTGTATCTCCTACCATATCATTATTATTTGCTTTTAAATATAAATCAGAAATAACCAACTTAAAATGGAAAATTTTAAAAGAAAAAAAAAAGGAAAAAAAAAAAAAAATCCCCCCCAAATTTTTTGAACCCCCTTATGATTCATCACCCCCAAACTCAATCCCAGCCTTTCCTTTGTGGTATGGTACCTTGCAGTACAATTTCAGAGAGATCCATACACTTGAACACAAGTTATTGTCTGGAAACTAGAAAAATGTGTTTTTTGGCCCCTTTTTGGCCCCCAATTCCTAAACATTTAGGGCAATTACCCCCAAACTCAAACCCAGCTTTCCCTTTGTGATATGGAACCTTGTAGTACAATTTCAGAAAGATCCATACACTTACACACAAGTTATTGTCCTGAAACTAGAAAAATGCTTGTTTTTTGCCCCTTTTTGGCCCCTAATTCCTAAAATATTGAGGCAATTACCCCCATCATCAATCCCAGCCTTCCCTTTGTGGTATGGTACCTTGCAGTACAATTTCAGAGAGATCCATACACTTGAACACAAGTTATTGTCTGCAAACTAGAATAAAATGCTTCGCTGGGCGCAGCTTGATACGACCGCAGAGGTCGAACCCTGAACAGTTGGGGCAAGTATGGACACAACATTCAAGCTTGATACAGCTCTGAATTTGGATTGTGATTAAATATTTGACACAGCATAGGTTTCTGACACAGAAAGAATGTGGTCTAAGAACTTCAATTTTTTTAATTTACCTATTATGGTCCAATGTCCAAAATCAAAATACATGGTTAGATTCAGCATATCAAAGAACCCCTTATATTCAATTTTTGTTGAAATCAAACAAAGTTTAATTTTGGACCCCAACTTGGACCAACTTGAAAACTGGTCCCATAATCAAAAATCTAAACACATGTTTAGATTCAGCATATCAAAGTACCCCAAGAATTCAATTTTTGTTAAAATCAAACTAAGTTTAATTTTGGACCCTTTGGACCTTAATGTAGACCAATTTAAAAAACGGGACCCAAAATTAAAAATCTAAAAACACGGTTAGATTTGGCATATCAAAGAACCCCAATAATTCAATTTTTGATGAAATCAAACAAAGTTTAATTTTGGACCCTTTTGACCTCAATATGAACCAATTTGATAGCAGGCCCACAAAATAAAAAATCTAAATACATGGTAAGATTCAGCATATCAAAGAACCCCATATATTCAATTTTTGTTGAAATCAAACAAAGTCTAATTTTGGACCCCAATTAGGACCAACTTGAAAACTGGGCCAAAAATCTAAAATCTAAATACATGTTTAGATTCAGCATATCAAAGAACCCCACATATTCAATTTTTGTTGAAATCAAACAAAGTTTAATTTTGGACCCCAACTTGGACCAACTTGAAAACTGGTCCCATAATCAAAAATCTAAACACATGTTTAGATTCAGCATATCAAAGAACCCCAAAATTCAATTTTTGTTAAAATCAAACTAAGTTTAATTTTGGACCCTTTGGACCTTAATGTAGACCAATTTAAAAAACGGGACCCAAAATTAAAAATCTAAATACACGGTTAGATTTGGCATATCAAAGAACCCCAATAATTAAATTTTTGATGAAATCAAACAAAGTTTAATTTTGGACCCTTTTGACCTCAATATGAACCAATTTGATAGCGGGCCCACAAATAAAAAATCTAAATACATGGTAAGATTCAGCATATCAAAGAACCCCATATATTCAATTTTTGTTGAAATCAAACAAAGTTTAATTTTGGACCCCAATTTGGACCAACTTGAAAACTGGGCCAAAAATCTAAAATCTAAATACATGTTTAGATTCAGCATATCAAAGAACCCCATATATTCAATTTTTGTTGAAATCAAACAAAGTTTAATTTTGGACCCCAACTTGGACCAACTTGAAAACTGGGCCCATAATCAAAAATCTAAACACATGTTTAGATTCAGCATATCAAAGAACCCCAAGAATTCAATTTTTGTTAAAATCAAACTAAGTTTAATTTTGGTTTCTTTGGACCTTAATGTAGACCAATTTAAAAACGGGACCCAAAATTAAAAATCTAAATACACGGTTAGATTTGGCATATCAAAGAACCCCAATAATTCAATTTTTGATGAAATCAAACAAAGTTTAATTTTGGACCCTTTTGACCTCAATATGAACCAATTTGATAGCGGGTCCACAAATAAAAAATCTGAATACATGGTTAGATTCAGCATATCAAAGAACCCCAAGAATTCAATTTTTGATGAAATCAAACAAAGTTTAATTTTGGACCCTTTTGACCTCAATGTGGACAAAGTTGATAACGGGGCCCAAAAATCAAAAATCTAAATACATGGTTAGATTCAGCATATCAAAGAACCCCAGATATTCAATTTTTGTTGAAATCAAACAAAGTTTAATTTTGGACCCCGATTTGGACCAACTTGAAAACTGGTCCCATAATCAAAAATCTAAATACATGTTTAGATTCAGCATATCAAAGTACCCTAAAAATTCAATTTTTGTTAAAATCAAACTAAGTTTAATTTTGGACCCTTTAGACCTTAATGTAGACCAATTTGAAAACGGAACCAAAAATTAAGAATCTAAATACACGGTTAGATTCGGCATATCAAAGAAACCCAATAATTCAATTTTTGATGAAATCAAACAAAGTTAAATTTTGGACCCTTTGGACCTCAATGTGGACCAATTTAAAAACGGGGCCCAAAATCCAAAAACTTAATACACGGTTAGATTCAGCATATTAAAGAACCCCAAGAATTCAAGAATAAAACCCCATTGAAATTGATCAAGAAATAAGCAATTTATACGAAGTATCTTCTTTTGCACAATACTGTGCAATTGAATATTTCTTGCTATTGTGCAATACTGTACAATTGACAATTTCTTGCTATTGCGCAATATTGTGCTATTGGATATTTCTTGCTATTGCGCAATACTGTGCAATTGAAGATTTCTTGCTATTGCGCAATACTGTGCAATTGAAGATTTCTTGCAATTGTGCAATACTGTGCAATTGAAAATTTCTTGCTATTGCACAATACTTATTATATAATAATTTACACATCCTGTTTGGTGTGTATCTCCTACCATATCATTATTATTTGCTTTTAAATATTAATCAGAAATAACCAACTTAAAATGGAAAATTTTAAAAGAAAAAAAAAAGGAAAAAAGGAAAAAAAAAGAAAAAAAAAAATCCCCCCCCCAAATTTTTTGAACCCCCTTATGATTCATCACCCCCAAACTCAATCCCAGCCTTCCCTTTGTGGTATGGTACCTTGCAGTACAATTTCAGAGAGATCCATACACTTGAACACAAGTTATTGTCTGGAAACTAGAAAAATGCTTATTTTTGGCCCCTTTTTGGCCCCCAATTCCTAAACGTTTCGGGCAATTACCCCCAAACTCAATTCCAGCTTTCCCTTTGTGATATGGAACCTTGTAGTACAATTTCAGAAATATCCAAACACTTACACACAAGTTATTGTCATGAAACTAGAAAAATGCTTGTTTTTTGCCCCTTTTTTGGCCCCTAATTCCTAAAATTTTAAGGCAATTACCCCCAAAATCAATTACAGCCTTCCCTTTGTGATATGGAACCTTGTGGTACAATGTCAGAGAGATCCATACACTTACACACAAGTTATTGTCTGGAAGTTACAAAAATGCTTATTTTTGGCCCCTTTTTGGCCCCTAATTCCTTAACTGTTGGTACCATAACCCCCAAAATCAATCCCCACCTTCCTTTCGTGGTATTGAACCTTATGGTAAAATTTCATGGATATCTATTCACTTAAACTAAAGTTAGAGTGCGAAAACCAATGTGTCTTCGGACGACGCCGGACGACGCCAGACGACGACGACGACGACGACGACGACGACGACGACGACGACGACGACGACAACGTCATACCAATATACGACCAAAAAATTTTCAATTTTTGCGGTCGTATAAAAATGCTTATTTTTGGCCCCTTTTTGGCCCCCAATTCCTAAACGTTTCGGCAATTACCCCCAAACTCAATTCCAGCTTTCCCTTTGTGATATGGAACCTTGTAGTACAATTTCAGAAAGATCCATACACTTACACACAAGTTATTGTCATGAAACTAGAAAAATGCTTGTTTTTTGCCCCTTTTTTTGCCCCTAATTCCTAAAATTTTTAGACAATTACCCCCAAAATCAATCCCAGCATTCCTTTTGTGATATGGAACCTTGTGGTACAATGTCAGAAAGATCCATACACTAACACACAAGTTATGTCTGGAAGTTACAAAAATGCTTATTTTTGGCCCCTAATTCCTTTAATGTTGGTACCATAACCCCCAAAATCAATCCCAACCTTCCTTTTGTGGTATTGAACCTTGTGGTAAAATTTCATAGAGATCCATTCTCTTAAACTAAAGTTAGAGTGCGAAAACCAATGTGTCTTTGGACGACGCCGGACGACGACGACAACGACAACGACGACGCCAACGTCATACCAATACACCAATATACGACCACAAAAATTTTTTTGCGGTCGTATAAAAAGTGTGGAAAACATGTTAACATTAGATATGATTAATAGTTCTCTAAAATTAGATATGATGTAATACAGTGTATATCTATTTTCAAATTATAATCAAATATAATTAATAGTTCCAAATATTTTGTCTTTTATTTGTCACAAACTAATATAGATTTGTAACTTATCTATAAAATGTCAACAATTTTTATCTACACAATGTAATGTAATATATACCATTAATAAAAATAGATTATTATCTTATTAAAGGATTTCACTTCATAATTTTATATATATATATATATATATATATATATATATATATATATATATATATATATATATATATATATATATATATAGCATTCAGAAAATTAGTTTATACAAAATAACAAACAAATCTGCCAAAAAATTATTCAAATAATTTACCAAAGAATGTCTTTTAAAAAATGAGTTATCTCCCTTTGTACAGAAATATGGTTTAACATAGTACTCTAACATTAGATATGGTCCATAACTCTGGACTAAATCATCAGACCGGAACAAAATTCGAACTTGATCAATAACTTGTCATGGCAAAACTATATACCAAATATCAAAGCAACCAACAATCAATCAATCAAATCAATATCTTCAAGAACGAAGAAAAAGGGTGTGGAAAACTGATTTGCCGGACTGACGGATGGACAGACGGACGGACGGACAGACGGACAGACGGACAGAGTGCAAACCTAAAGTCCCCTTCGACTTTGTCGGTAGGGGACTAATAAGCATTGTGTATAAGTTTCATAACATTTGTTTGAGGCAAACTAAAGTTAGAGAACGGAAACTAAAAATTGAGCAATTTTTCCATTTATAAAGGGGCATAACTCAAGAATGGTTAAAAGTGACGCCACCAAAAATTCAAACTTTTGGACTTATGTGAGTTAAAAACTAAAATAACTAACATAAATGATGCAGCAAGATGAAAACAAGAGTGTACACGCTGAAATGTCTCGTCTGCTTTACTTATCATGATTGAATTTATATTCAAACCCTGTGTAGCAGGAGCAATTCTGCTGGAGATTCGGGGATGCGGACCACAGCTTGTTCTAGTTTGTGAACTGATTTAACGGAGATGATGGATGCCAAATGTAAAAGCGCTATCTAAATATCTAAGTAAATGAAAACCAAAAACAGTGAAAACAACATATAATGTATTCAATAAGTACAACTTTTATTATGAAATCCAAAAGTTTAGAAATGGAGCATTCAGTGACTTTAATAATTACCCGTATTAAGAAGGCAAATGGCAGATGCACTAACCTTAAAGGGAGGTTTGGAAAAGCACAGCTTTCCTAGGTTGGATTGAACATTAGTCCTCAGACAATTCAATATAATAATTCCAAACCAGTTATATAAAATGTATAAGTTTTTCAAAGAAGGTTATAAATGATTTGCAACAATGCAAATTCTAAACTTTAGAATATAAATAAATATCTTTAACCAATGAATTCAAAATATCAATATCTATTCAATTTAACAAATATGTACTGAATAAGCATCAGGTAAATCATTAAATAAAGAAATATGAAATTTATAGTTAAAACAAGGGAAATAACAATTACATAATAATCCTGTCTGCCACATTCATCCCCCCTAAGACAAACGATAAATTTCATAGATAAAGTCTGCAAATTTAAATGTCGATCAAATCTATCTATTTGCAAAAATAAACATGCACTCAAAATGCAAATGTCATAGAAAATAAATATGAATAACTTGTAATGATTAAACATTAAATCAGATAAATATCAGTAAAATGTAAATAATGAGACTTTTCAAGGGAGACCACAACACCAATCTGCTACACCTGTTAAGATCAAGGTTAAACTGTAGGTATTACTTAAAACTTTAAAATGATCAAAATGAGGGCAAAGTCATACAAAAACTGCCAGACCTTAATTACTCATTACAATCATTCCATACACTAAGTATAGTTACCTATTGTTTTATAGTATCTGAGAAGCGGAAATAACAAGACAACTTAATATTGACCAAATGAACCATGAAAATGAGGTCAAGGACATATTTACCGTGCCAGACAGACATGCACACCTTACAATGATTCCTAACACCAAATAAAATTGATTTACTACTAAATCTCATAGTATCTAAAATTCTGAGGGACACCCAAAGTGGAGGTAGGGATAGTACAGAATTTTAGTATAAGTTAAAACTCTTAGAAGTTCGGGGCATATAAATAGTAAAAATATGCCGTAAAGCCCTATGTTTTGACCTTTGAATAAAAAATTGGTGCATATCAACTTTCCGTTCTAGGATATAATTTTTTACGAAACTTCATAGTAAAAGTGGCACAGCTTTAGCCGCAACGGGAGTTCCTATGGGTAATTGTATTGTCTATATTTACAGAAGTGCAACCTATACACCAAATGCAGTTGACCTATTGCTTATAGTTAAGTACAAGTATCTGAGATACAGACGAAAACTTAATATGTGAACAATGAAAATGAGATTTGCAATATAATTAATATTTCCAAAGGGCATAACTCATTAAAAATTTTTGACCAGCACTTATTTTCGAAAGTGTCAAAGACATTACTGATATAAACCTATGCTATAAATTTCATAAAATTCTGGCAAGAATTGTACATATGAGAGTGCTAACGATGCAATTTTTGAACTCATCCAAAGCCATTGATGATATAAACCTATGCTATAAATTTCATAAAAAACATGGTAAGAATTGTACACATGAGAGCACTCACAAGGCAATTTTCCATATAATTAATATTTCCAAGGGCATAACTCTTTATAAAAAATTTGATCAGCACAGATTTTCCAACTCGTTTAAGACATCGCTGATATAAACCTACAATATAAATTTCATAAAAATCTGGCAAGAATTGTACACATGAGAGCACTAACGATGCAATTTTCCATATAATTAATGTTTCCAAGGGCATAACTCTTAAAATAATTGATTGGCAATTATTTTCGATCTCGTCAAAGGCATTGCTGATATAAACCTACGATATAAGTTTGATAAAAATCTGGCAAGAATTGTACACATGAGAGCGCTAAAGATGCAATTTTCCATATAATTAATTTTTCTAAGGGGCATAACTCTTTTAAAAATAATTGATCGGCACTTATTTTCGATCTCGTCGGAGACATTGCTGATATAAACCTACACTATAAGTTTAATAAAAATCTGGCAAGAATTGTACACATGAGAGCGCTAAAAATGCAATTTTCCATATAATTAATTTTATAAGGGCATAACTCTTTTGAAAATAATTGATCGGCACTGATTTTCGAACTCGTCCGAGACATTGCTTATATAAACCTACAATATAAGTTTCATAAAAATCTGGCAAGAATTGTACACACGAGAGCGCTAAAGATGCAATTTCCCATATAATTAATGTTTCTAAGGGGCATAACTCTTTTCAAAATCATTGATCGTTACTGATTTTCGAACTCGTCCGAGACATTGCTGATATAAACCTATGATATTAGTTTATAAAAATCTTCAAAGAATTGTACATGTGAGAGCACTAACAAGACCGGAAGGACGGACGGACAGACGGACGCCCGGTATTTATATGTCCCCCGCAACGCGTTGCGCAGGGGACAATAAGAAAGTACTTCAAGATAGGTATGTTAAAAAAATGGGACTTCAAATATATTTTTTTTTATTTGTAAAATTCAGAGGACATGTCTTTAAACTTACATAGAAATAAGAAGATGTGGTATGAGTTCCAATGAGACAACTCTCCATCCAAGTCACAATGTGTAAAAAGTAAACAATTATAGGTCAAAGTACGGCCTTCAACACGGAGCATTGGCTCACACCGAACAACAAGCTATAAAGGGCCCCAAAATGACAAGTGTAATAAAATGCTCCGCTGGGCGCAGCTTGATACGACCGCAGAGGTCGAACCCTGAACTGTTGGGGCAAGTATGGACACAACATTCAAGCTTGATACGGCACTGAATTTGGATTGTGATTAAATATTTGACACAGCATAGGTTTCTGACACAGAATGAATGTGGTCTAAGAACTTAAATTTTTTTTAATTTACCTATTCAAACCATATCATTATTATTTGCTTTTATATATAAATCAGAAATAACCAATTTAAAATGGAAAATTTTCTTTTAAAGAAAAAAAAGGAAAAAATCCCCCCTCAAATTTTTGAACCCCCTTATGATTCATCACCCCCAAACTCAATCCCAGCCTTCCCTTTGTGTTACAATGTATGGTGCCTTGCAGTACAATTTCAGAGAAATCCGTATACTTGAACACAAGTTATTGTCTGGAAACTAGAAAAATGCTTGTTTTTTTTACCCTTTTTGGCCCCAAATTCATAAACGTTTAGGACAATTACCCCCAAACTCAAACACAGCTTTTCCTTTGTGATATGGAACCTTGTTGTACAATTTCATAAAGATCCATACACTTACACACAAGTTATTGTCCTGAAACTAGAAAAATGCTTGTTTTTTTGTCCCTTTTTGGCCCCTTATTCCTAAAATTTTGAGGCAATTACCCCCAAAATCAATCCCAGCCTACCCTTTGTGGTATGGTACCTTGCAGTATAATTTCAGAGAGATCCATACACTTGAACACAAGTTATTGTCTGGAAACTAGAAAAATGCTTATTTTTGGCCCCCTTTTGGCCCCTTTTCCCTAAACGTTTTGGGCAATTACCCCCAAACTCAATTCCAGCTTTCCCTTTGTGATATGGAACCTTGTAGTACAATTTCAGAAAAATCCATACACTTACACACAAGTTATTGTCTGGAAACTAGAAAAATGCTTGTTTTTTTGTACCTAATTCCTAAAAAAATTTGAAACAATTACCCCCAAAATCAATCCCAGCCTTTCCTTTAGAGGTATGGAACCTTGCAGAACAATTTCAGAGAGATCCATACACTTGAACACAAGTTATTGTCTGGAAAGTAGAAAAATGCTTATTTTTGGCCCCCTTTTGGTCCCTTATTCCTAAACGTTTTGGGCAATTACCCCCAAACTCAATTCCAGCTTTCCCTTTGTGATATGAAACCTTGTAGTAAAATTTCAGAAAGATCCATACACTTACATGTACACAAGTTTTTGTCATGAAACTAGAAAAATGCTTGTTTTTTGCCCCTTTTTTTGCCCCTTCTTCCTAAAATTTTGAGACAATTACCCCCAAAATCAATCCCAGCATTCCTTTTGTGATATGGAACCTTGCAGAACAATTTCAGAGAGATCCATACACTAACACACAAGTTATGCCTGTAAGTTACAATAAAATGCTTCGCTGGGCGCAGCTTGATACGACCGCAGAGGTCAAACCCTGAACAGTTGGGGCAAGTATGGACACAACATTCAAGCTTGATACAGCTCTGAATTTGGATTGTGATTAAATATTTGACACAGCATAGGTTTCTGACACAGAAAGAATGTGGTCTAAGAACTTCAATTTTTTTAATTTACCTATTATGGTCCAATGTCCAAAATCAAAATACATGGTTAGATTCAGCATATCAAAGAACCCCATATATTCAATTTTTGTTGAAATCAAACAAAGTTTAATTTTGGACCCCAACTTGGACAAACTTGAAAACTGGTCCCATAATCAAAAATCTAAACATATGTTTAGATTCAGCATATCAAAGTACCCCAAGAATTCAATTTTTGTTAAAATCAAACTAAGTTTAATTTTGGACCCTTTGGACCTTAATGTAGACCAATTTAAAAAACGGGACCCAAAATTAAAAATCTAAAAACACGGTTAGATTTGGCATATCAAAGAACCCCAATAATTCAATTTTTGATGAAATCAAACAAAGTTTAATTTTGGACCCTTTTGACCACAATATGAACCAATTTGATAGCGGGCCTACAAAATTAAAAATCTAAATACATGGTAAGATTCAGCATATCAAATAACCCCATATATTCAATTTTTGTTGAAATCAAACAAAGTTTAATTTTGGACCCCAATTTGGACCAACTTGAAAACTGGGCCAAAAATCTAAAATCTAAATACATGTTTAGATTCAGCATATCAAAGAACCCCATATATTCAATTTTTGTTGAAATCAAACGAGGTTTAATTTTGGACCCCAACTTGAAACAACTTGAAAACTGGTCCCATAATCAAAAATCTAAACACATGTTTAGATTCAGCATATCAAAGAACCCCAATAATTAAATTTTTGATGAAATCAAACAAAGTTTAATTTTGGACCCTTTTGACCTCAATATGAACCAATTTGATAGCGGGTCCACAAATAAAAAATCTAAATACATGGTAAGATTCAGCATATCAAAGAACCCCATATATTCAATTTTTGTTGAAATCAAACAAAGTTTAATTTTGGACCCCAATTTGGACCAACTTGAAAACTGGGCCAAAAATCTAAAATCTAAATACATGTTTAGATTCAGCATATCAAAGAACCCCATATATTCAATTTTTGTTGAAATCAAACAAAGTTTAATTTTGGACCCCAACTTGGACAAACTTGAAAACTGGGCCCATAATCAAAATTCTAAACACATGTTTAGATTCAGCATATCAAAGAACCCCAAGAATTCAATTTTTGTTAAAATCAAACTAAGTTTAATTTTGGACCCTTTGGACCTTAATGTAGACCAATTTAAAAATGGGACCCAAAATTAAAAATCTAAATACACGGTTAGATTTGGCATATCAAAGAACCCCAATAATTCAATTTTTGATGAAATCAAACAAAGTTTAATTTTGGACCCTTTTGACCTCAATATGAACCAATTTGATAGCGGGTCCACAAATAAAAAATCTAAATACATGGTTAGATTCAGCATATCAAAGAACCCCAAGAATTCAATTTTTGATGAAATCAAACAAAGTTTAATTTTGGACCCTTTTGACGTCAATGTGGACAAAGTTGATAACGGGGCCCAAAAATCAAAAATCTAAATACATGGTTAGATTCAGCATATCAAAGAACCCCATATATTCAATTTTTGTTGAAATCAAACAAAGTTTAATTTTGGACCCCAATTTGGACCAACTTGAAAACTGGGCCAAAAATCTAAAATCTAAATACATGTTTAGATTCAGCATATCAAAGAACCCCATATATTCAATTTTTAATGAAATCAAACAAAGTTTAATTTTGGACCCTTTTGACCTCAATGTGGACAAAGTTGATAACGGGGCCCAAAAATAAAAATCTAAATACATGGTTAGATTCAGCATATCAAAGAACCCCATATATTCAATTTTTGTTGAAATCAAACAAAGTTTAATTTTGGACCCCGATTTGGACCAACTTGAAAACTGGGCCCATAATCAAAAATCTAAATACATGTTTAGATTCAGCATATCAAAGAACCCTAAAAATTCAATTTTTGTTAAAATCAAACTAAGTTTAATTTTGGACCCTTTTGACCTTAATGTAGACCAATTTGAAAACGGAACCAAAAATTAAGAATCTAAATACACGGTTAGATTCGGCATATCAAAGAACCCCAATAATTCAATTTTTGATGAAATCAAACAAAGTTAAATTTTGGACCCTTTGGACCTCAATGTGGACCAATTTAAAAACGGGGCCCAAAATCCAAAAACTTAATACACGGTTAGATTCAGCATATTAAAGAACCCCAAGAATTCAAGAATAAAACCCCATTGAAATTGATCAAGAAATAAGCAATTTATACGAAGTATCTTCTTTTGCACAATACTGTGCAATTGAATATTTCTTGCTATTGTGCAATACTGTACAATTGACAATTTCTTGCTATTGCGCAATATTGTGCTATTGGATATTTCTTGCTATTGCGCAATACTGTGCAATTGAAGATTTCTTGCTATTGCGCAATACTGTGCAATTGAAGATTTCTTGCAATTGTGCAATACTGTGCAATTGAAAATTTCTTGCTATTGCACAATACTTATTATATAATAATTTACACATCCTGTTTGGTGTGTATCTCCTACCATATCATTATTATTTGCTTTTAAATATTAATCAGAAATAACCAACTTAAAATGGAAAATTTTAAAAGAAAAAAAAAAAGGAAAAAAAGAAAAAAAAAGAAAGAAAAAAAAAAAAAATCCCCCCCCCCCAAATTTTTTGAACCCCTTATGATTCATCACCCCCAAACTCAATCCCAGCCTTCCCTTTGTGGTATGGTACCTTGCAGTACAATTTCAGAGAGATCCATACACTTGAACACAAGTTATTGTCTGGAAACTAGAAAAATGCTTATTTTTGGCCCCTTTTTGGCCCCCAATTCCTAAACGTTTCAGGCAATTACCCCCAAACTCAATTCCAGCTTTCCCTTTGTGATATGGAACCTTGTAGTACAATTTCAGAAATATCCAAACACTTACACACAAGTTATTGTCATGAAACTAGAAAAATGCTTGTTTTTTGCCCCTTTTTTGGCCCCTAATTCCTAAAATTTTGAGGCAATTACCCCCAAAATCAATTACAGCCTTCCCTTTGTGATATGGAACCTTTTGGTACAATGTCAGAGAGATCCATACACTTACACACAAGTTATTGTCTGGAAGTTACAAAAATGCTTATTTTTGGCCCCTTTTTGGCCCCTAATTCCTTAACTGTTGGTACCATAACCCCCAAAATCAATCCCAACCTTTCTTTCGTGGTATTGAACCTTATGGTAAAATTTCAAGGAGATCCATTCACTTAAACTAAAGTTAGAGTGCGAAAACCAATGTGTCTTCGGACGACGCCGGACGACGCCAGACGACGACGACGACGACGACGACGACGCCAACGTCATACCAATATACGACCAAAAAATTTTCAATTTTTGCGGTCGTATAAAAATGCTTATTTTTGGCCCCTTTTTGGCCCCTAATTCCTTAACTGTTGGTACCATAACCCCCAAAAACAATCCCAACCTTCCTTTTGTGGTATTGAACCTTGTGGTAAAATTTCATAGAGATCCATTCACTTAAACTAAAGTTAGAGTGCGAAAACCAATGTGTCTTCGGACGACGACAACGACGACGACGACAACGACAACGTCATACCAATATACGACCACAAAATTTTTTTTGCGGTCGTATAAAAACAATTCAAACAGGAAAACCATAGGTCTAATCTATATAAAAAATGAGAAACGAGACACACTCAAGAACCACATCAACAAACGATAACCACTGAAGCAGGTTCCTGACTTAGGACAGGTGCAAACAAGTGAAGGGTTTATACGTTTTAACAGGCGCCAACCTCCACCCCAACCTGAAATAGTAGTGTAACATTACAACATAGAAAGACACACTATAAAATATCAATTAAAATGACTTAACTTAATCAAAAAGACATAATAACAAAAACAAGTAAACATACACTGAACGAATAATTTGATCTATGACATAATGTCAAAAAGACAACTATAACCTTGGACAAAATGGCGTAAAATAAATTAACGTACACAGGTAAATTTAAATATAATAATTTTGTTGTTAGGAGTACGGAGATATTTTTTACAAAATTAATAAATTTGTTGTTCATAGTACGAGATCATTAGTGAAATTGTTTTTTGTCTTTATCACTATATAAACAGGTTTCTAATGGCTTTTGGTATCTGAGAAACGGACATAACCATAAAACTTAGCATTGACCAATGAACCATGAACATGAGGTCGAGGTCAGATGAAACCGTCAACTTAAAAAGGACTTGTAAAGTTAAAACCGTACAATCGTTTCGTTCGCCAAATGTAGTTGACCTATTAATTTCGGTATTTGAGAAATGGACATAACCACAAAAAGTTTTAAATCAAAGTAAAGGTCAGATGAACCCTACAAAACAGACATGTAGACCTTATATATACTAAATATAGTTGACCTCTCACCATAAATTTATACACATATGTATATAGTTACTTTGTCTAACCCTTTAAACATTGCTTTATACAATGCATTCAATTTTTTTCAGTAAAACACTACATCTAGAATGCCCAATTTTATAGGTTTATGAAGAGTGATTTTTGAGTGAAACACACAAACAACCAATTAGTCAAACAGCATGCTCTACAGTAAGAAGGTTCTTTCTACTTATATAAACAAAAGTTTTTTTATTTCTTGTCAGGAATTGGCAAATATGCAGTAAATTGCACAATGAGAAGATAGATTTGATTAAAAGTTCTTATCGTTAACAAAATCAACACACCACAGTGTTGCGGAGTTTTATTTCCAAAGCATGCAAAATTATAAAAAATATAAATAATGTTAAAACCTGATGGAGCTGGACGTTGATTGCTACACCCTTGTTGTGGTCCTGATTGTCGATTCATCTTTATTCCTTTAGATTGGGTTATCCCGCCAGTTTTACAACAGCAACAGACGATAACAACGGCAAAAACTGTGATCAGCACCACGACACAAATAATGATGGCAATTATTACTCCAACTGACATCACAAAACCATTTAAACCGTTTATTAAACCATCAGCTGAAATACATAATAAAATACGAAATTGATGAAATGAAAATTAAATCATAAAAAAAACCCCAAAAATCATATTTTTATTGTCTGTCTAAGTTGTAGGTAATGCCCTTTGAATATACAGACTTGTGTCAAATCCATAATCTTACAGATGTAAATCTACATGTATGTAATTATATCATATTATAGTACAGACATAGTGGTTTTTCCACTATTGTCAAGGACGACGGATTTAGGTGTTGAAGCAGAGGCGGTGTGTGGGTTACCAGTGCGAGATGGAGAGAGGAATAACCTATCAGAAAACATTGAATCCTGAAATGAAGCTTCTGGGGCTGTCCTGGACCTGATGGGGACCATATCAGACCCCTCGCCTAATTTTCATGCACATCCGAACGACAAATCTTAGACCCACCCGGATTGCATCATGACAAAGCAATTCTTTTCAGTATCTAGCTTTACATATAATGTGCCGGATAAGTATGTTTTAATGACATGTCGTAAATATCGTAGTTGAAAAAAGTCAATGTATATCATGTGTGCTCCGTCTGATTTATAGTAACTTGCCACTAATTTGGGGACATCTTACATGACACCATGACAATTAATTTGACCTCTTCAACCAAACAATGTGGGAAATTTTCAATCAACTATATTTTGTCACTCCCTGAAGATGTAATATGCCAGCCCCACCCACCCCATGAACCAAAATTTAGGTTTTATGCAAAGATTTCTCATTTAATTACAGCCAGGTTACGGTCTAAGCCCTAACGTCACAGTACCCAAATTGCACCGAGTACCAAAATTGCACCTATTTAGCAAAAATAGCAGCGAAAATCTTACAAGATTTCCTAGAGACTAAACAATTTGTATTTTTTATCATCTGACATTAAGCACGTCTTTCAAATAGATAAATATATCTAAATATTCATAAAACATTCACAGTATATATAAACAGATAAAGTAATCACTGGAAAAAGTCAAATCTACGGAAACGTCGCCATGCGACGTCCACAAAAAGTCTTCTTTTAAAAATGAGCAAATAAAATATGTTACGAGCATCCATTTCTTAAAAAATGATAAGTAAGCATGGACAAATGTCAAATTGTTCTAAATATTTGAAAAAATGAATAAAAACATCTGTTCTTCGATTTTTAAGGACGTGAATTTAAGCATAGATGCAATTTGGGTACTCCTCATGATAAAACCATGGATCGTTTGGAGGTCGGTTCAAACCCATTTTTCTATGATTCAATATGGATTCAAAATTAAATTGGTGGAACTATATAGTAAATAAGGATATATCTACAAAATAAACACAAAATGGAAACTTTTGTCTGGATCATAAATAAACGTAGGCGAAAAAACTGTCAAAATAGTTGCAATTTGGGTACCCTCACGTTATACATACAATTACATGTACTTGCATTTCTAAATAATAACTTATAAACTTCTTACTTTGACTTTCCTCTAAAATTCTTAATTTAAACTGATAACTAGTTGATCTGTAATTTTCCTTCTCCAGTTTAACTGTAAGGTATCTTCCCGTACTACACAAACTAGAGGCTGAACTGCGCTGCCCTAAGTTGTACTGAAAAAGATAGAGATAATTTTGACAAAGTATATATTGGTTAGGGATAGTTTGACAAAAATGTTATATAATCATTCAGATTTTTGATTCATACCTGCATAGTTTGAGATCAAGTTTTGAGTTTTATAAAGGTATCATAGATTTATATTATGTATATATAACGATGTGTGCATAGAACATTCAATTCCCCTTTTCGGTGGATGATTAGCAAATACTACCATCTTTTTTATTTATTGTAGCTCGGCTCACCAAATATTTCTAGATATAACATTCGAATTCTAAAAGAAAAGATGAACAGACTTAAATTAAATGATAACATAAGGTCACACCAATTTTATTCTTGTTTTTTTTTTTTTTAGGGGGGGGGGGGGGGGGGGGGGGGGACAAAAGAGGCACAATTTTATTCTTGGTTTTGGGGGAGACAAAAGAGGCACAAGGATGCAAATCTTTCAGTTATTTTCTTCTAAAGACAAGTTAGATATGATAAAACAAATTCAAAATCGGTATTTTACAAACATAGGAAACGCAAGGTCTCAAGAATTTGTTTTACAATAAAAACATAGACATCGACAATAAAACAATTACCTGTGAAATAGGTAGCAGAAACAAGATGGTGGCATATTTTCTAAAAATATTGTTTTAAAATAATATATAAAGGCATTAAAAACTGCATATATATTTAAAAACAATAAAGATAAAATTATAATGCAGGATTATCATTCTAAAATTTACGCTTTTAAAACTGATGTAAAAAATTTCCATCGGTCTTAAATCAAGAACGAGCTATACTTTCTAAAGTTTTTCAAACGTACAAAAATATGACAATTTATCATGATAAAAATTTTGTGTGCCGAATGCTGTCATATTCAGCAAAATAAATTTATAAGAGGATGTACCTTAGGTTCACCACTGGATAGCTGGCCATCAAAAATCAACAGATTAGTTCCTCTTTCATTGATACTCAATTTATCAAAAATGATGCAGATTTGTTCATCTCTTTCAGCCCTGAATTTAATAACACAGATCATTGTCTTATATGCCTGCCCCCCTCCCCTGCCGCTCAAGGTAACCGTCTCGTCACTGATTGGATAATATCCGTCCATATTGCAATGTCCATAGGTGTCCATGTATAATGCTGTAAAAATAATACAAAATCTTTGTAAGTATCCATTAAAGGGAGAGTCGGTATATTTTTTTATAAATGGAATGGGGTGTAAGGACCATGAATTTACATTTCCAATTCAAGAAGAAATGAAAATCATTTAATCTGGTTTTCGTCTGTTTGATATATTCTTCTATTCATTTTGGTGTACTTTTCTTTCAAATAACTAGAAGACATTGGTCGAGTTTAAAAAATCAATGATATCTAAACCAGAGTGCACACGATCTCACCTGCTTTATTTATCGTGATTGATATCATGTTGAAAGGTTTTACAAGTGTCACATTGTCATAAACTTAACATATCAATGATACATGTAAATGAAGATGATGATGACGTTGGTGACGTTTGATGGCTGTTTAACGTCCAGTGGCAAATTAAATGCATATATATTCAGGACGAGTACATGTTAATGTCATATGAATATTATCACTGCTTTGTACTAGACCGACACACTGAGCCGGATGTTTTTAAACGTGCTAGTTCACAAGGAAACAGTCAGAAGGAAGACATGTCACCATACCCTGACACATTCGGGACCAGGATATGCCCTTACTCCTTGATGCCACTTGCTTAAGCGGAGAAACAGCCGATACAAATTCTAAAGTCTTTGGTTTAACTCGGTCGGGGTTCGAACCCACGACCTCTTGCACTTGAGGAGACTGAACATGTTACCAAGAGATCACCGAGTGATAATTGTCAGTGACCAGGATTGAGAAAGTAAACACCTTCTGATAGATAAGATAGATTTTTTTTAGAAAAACCATGACAGGAAAACATTCAGTTCGATGATTAAATACATTCACGTGGACAACTGTCTATTGTTAACCCTTTAGATGTCTTTTGGTTATTTTTGTCATTGTAATGGTTGCTATTTTATTGGCGAATATATAGCCAACATCTCCTTTTATTCATATTTACATAGAAGTGTTATCATTTTTCAGCAAAAAAAAATATTAGATTTTGGCAATTAAATAAGAAAAGACAAGATAGTACAGGGATTCATATTGCCATACGAAAGCAGTGACAAGGTATAGTTTGAAGACAGAAAAATAGACACAATCAAATTTCATTCCAAATCCATTTACACCAAGATGTCGTTAAATGAAATTGGATACCCTGCATTTATCATACTCTTCAATAACATACGGTAAAATCGCTAAAAGACCCCCACCTAAATTATTGAAAACTAATATTCTGGATTGGCAATAATATATTGGTGTACATTAGATACACCCATTCGGGCTAACGCCCTCAAGGTGTATCTAATACATCTACAAAACACCTTGTGAAAGTCTTACTGCATTTGGAAAATTTGAGACATATAATGACACTTTTCCTATTTTATGAAAACATTTCTTTTTTAGAACAAGAGAAAAGATAAAATATGTATTTATTACTTCTATGTAAATCATGCCGCCTATCAGATATCTAGGTGACATAAAATAATGTCACACCCTAGTACCTGCTACCGGTACAACATATAACACGGTTGCAAAATCAATGGTTTTGCAATGACAATCGGAAACGGAGACAAAAATCTGCTGATAGCAAAAATAACTGTTATTAATAGTAATCGAGAACATAGATCATATTGCATCTGCTGGTAATAAGGTGCCGGTGAATATCTTTATTGTACTAGTGATTACAAAAATCATGATTAAATATGTAATAATGAATATCCCTTCGAAAACAAAACATGGTGAAACCGAAGCTTGATATAATATGGAAGTAATGTCAATAAAAAAATAAATGGCGAATGTGTCCATGGGACACAGATGATGCCCCCGCTTGCATATAACGTTATAAAGGGACATAACTCAAGAACTGTAAAAGTGACGCTACCAAATTTGTACTTGATCTAAGTGTTGTGGTACTAAGCATTGTGTATAAGTTTCATAACATTTGGTTGATGCAAACTTAGGTTAGAGAACGGAAACGAAAAATTCATCAATTTTTCCATTTGTAAAGGGGCATAACTCTAGAACGGTGAAAATGACGCCACCAAAATTCAAACTTGATCTGTGTTTTGCGGTAATTAGCATTATGTATAAGTTTCATAACATTTGGTTGAGGCAAACCAAAGGTAGAGAACGGAAACGAAAATTTCAGCAATTTTTCCATTTGTAAAGGGGCATAACTCTAGAACTGTAAAAGTGACGCCACCAAAATTCAAACTTGATCTGTGTTTTGTGGAAATCAGAATTGTGTATAAGATTCATAATATTTGGTTGAGGCAAACTAAAGTTAGAGAACGGAAAACAATTTTGGGACGTACGGATGGCGGGGGCATAAAAACATATTCAGCATGCTTAGTTGATATTTTACAATTTGTACAAACAATGCATATGGGGAGTAAAATAATGACTCCCCACTATGAAATCTTGATTAGTAAGAGTTGTCAATATTGGGAGTAAAATGATGACTCCCCACAATGAAATCTTACCTTGGTCAGTTAGAGTTGTCAATATTGGGAGTAAAACAAGAAATGATTGTAACAGGATGCTGTTACGAAGTCTCCCAAACGAAGCTCCCATAATTCGTCATTCCTATGGTCGCCTGACATTGGGCAAAGACCAGTACAAATTGGTTTGGTCCAGTAAAGTGACATGCATAAGTGACGCATAGGGACTGACCCTGCATGTCATTCAAATCTATGTGAAATGACGAACAGGAATATATATGGTTTAGGGGTGGGGATCTCAACCATTTACAAGATATTAGAACATTTGGGTGGGGTGACCCCTGGGGACTGACCCTATATATCATTCAAATCTTTGTGACATGACGATCAGGAATATATATGGTTTAGGGGTGGGGATCTCGACCATTTACAAGATATTAGAATATTTGGGGTTGGGAGAACCCCTGGGGACTGACCCTATATACTATTCAAATCTTTGGAACATGACGAACAGGAATATATATGGTTTAGGGGTGGGGATCTCAACCATTTACAAGATATTATAACATTCGGGGTGGGGAAAACCCCTGGGGACCTTTCCTATGTTTCATTCAAATCTTCATGACATGATAAACAGGAATATATATGGTTTAGGGGTGGGGATCTCGGCCGTTAACAAGATATTTGAACATATTCAAATGACTGGATTTGGGGATGACCCCTTGGGTCTTACCATGTTTATCATTAAAATCATCTTAGCATGACAAACCAGCATATATATATGGTTTAGGGATAGGGATCCTGACCACTTACAAGATATTATAACTTTATAAAATGGCAGGGGGTCGGGACGACCCCTGGAGACTAACCCTGTTTATCATTCAAATCATTTTGGCATGACAAACCAGAATATATATGGTTTAGGGGTGAGGATCTCGACCATTAACAAGATATTTGAACATATTCAAATGACTGGAGATGGGGATGACCCCTTGGGTCTTACCATGTTTATCATTTAAATCATCTTGGCATGACAAACCAGAATACATATGGTTTAGGGGTGGGGATCTTGACCACTTACAAGATATTAGAACTTTCTCAAATAGCAGGAGGTCGAGACGACCCCTGGGGACTAACCTGTTTATCATTCAAATCATCTCGACATGACAAACCAGAATATATATGGTTTAGGGGTGTGGATCTTGACCACTTACAAGATATTAGCACTTTCTCAAATGGCAGGGGGTGGGGATGACCCCTGGGGACTAAGCTTTTATTTCATTTGATGTGCTTTATCATGACAAACCAAAATATATATGGTTTAGGGGTGGGGATCTTGACCACTTCCAAGATATTAAAACTTTCTCTAATGGCAGGGGGTGGGGATAACCCCTGGGGACTAAGCTTTTATTTCATTTAATGTGCTTTATCATTTAGAACATTTTTAATTACAAAGATTGTGTCTATCCCTAACTGTTTTCAAGTTATAATAAAAAAAATAAAAATCCCATAGGGTTCTATAGTAAACCCCTCCTTCCTTTATGCCCCTCAAAGTACCCCTTTATAAACCCCACTGCACAAAGAAAACCCTGATTGCACCACTAGACATGTTAGTCTAACATATTGTGAAACCCTAAGTTAATCTGACCAGTGGTTTTGGAGAACGGGTGCGGACAAGTTCGGCGGAAGAAGAAGAAGAAGAAGAAGAAGAAGAAGAAGAAGAAGAAGAAGAAGAAGAAGAAGAAGAAGAAGAAGAAGAAGAAGAAGAAGAAGAAGAAGAAGAAGAACTGAGCAAATACAATAAGTCTTCCCAAACTTGGTTTGGGAGACTTAATAATAACTCACCACAATGACATCTTACCTTGATCTACAAGAGCTGCCCATACTGGGAGTACAATAATGACTCCCCACGATAAAATCGTACTTTGATCAGTTAGACCTGTCCATATTTTGAGTTAAATAAAGGCTCCACACAATGAAATCTTACCTTAGTCAGTTAGAGTTGTCAATATTGGGAGTAAAATAATGATTTACCACAATGACATCTTACCTTGATCAGTAAAAGTTGTCAGATATAGTGTACAATAAAGACTCCGAAAAGATTGCTTGATTGATTGTTGTTACTTAATTAACGTCCTATCACCACACTGACATCTTACCTTGATCAGCAAGAGCTGCCCATATTGGGAGTAAAATAATGACTCCCCACAATGACGCATTGTCCATTGTGTCCCCAATGTGTTACATCTTTTTATACCTGTCAATAAATAATATTTTGTAAATTCACATTATATCACTTTATCCCAAATTTTAGTAATAATATTTGCAAAAGGTATTTTTCTCACTTATTATTGAAACTTTATGGTGATCAGTTATTTTTAGACCTGTCCAACTAAAATGATAGTGGTTGTCTTTTCTTTGTTTCCAATTTCTATGGAGAGGTAGTATATGATTGCCAATGAGACGACTATCCACCACAAGGATTTAAACCAAAATAGGTCGCCATACCGTCTTCAACAATGATCAAAACTGATATATAATAAAGTTAGCTATAAAGGTCCGGGGAATAAAAAGGGGAAACAATTAAAACCCAACGTCCTATAGGTTTCACTATGTACACATCTTTTGACAATAAAACAATGTTTATAGTACCATGGAAGTAATATTCAATATTACTTCCATGATAGTACCGATAAAGGTATTATTCATAGATCTGATTACAATGTTTAATTGATACCAATTAGAATAAGTTTATTCAAAGGACAGATACGTCAACATTGATCATATTTTAATTTACGAACAACATCACCGCAAAAATTTAGTAAAGAGTTATTGGGGTGCAATGGGTGTCGATAGAAAAACCTTTAACCTGCAGAAAAAACTTTACATCCCGAAACGTATCAGCTTATTTTGTATGAATGGAGATTTTAGCTCCTTTGATTTCCACTAACAAGATCTTCGGTCATCATAGGGACTATTTTGAACTATTTTGGTAGTTTTCTCTATAAGCTAAGGCTTTTCAGATTGCTTAATGTGTTGACTTATCTCATGTGAACCTATCTCTTTTTTATTTAGACTTAAGACCAAAATAAAGTAACTTTCTTCTCTTGGCAGGCTGATATCCAGTTGAAATTAAACAAAAGAAATGGAACTCTTTATTAGAGAAGGTAAAAAAGGCCAAGTTGATCTATTTGAATTGTTTACATCCATTTTTATGGGCCTTAAAAGATAAATGTAGGTGCATAATTAAGGGTTTTATTCATCTTTTACACGTGTTTTTACTTAGATTATAGTATAGAGATATTTGTAAACTTTTAAATTAAAGACTAATTTTCACAAAACATTCGATTGTGGTAGGTGCAAATACATGTGAATCTTTTTTGGTGCATAAGCATAAATTCCGCCGAAAAATATTCCACAGAAAGATAATAGATTGACAGATTTTTGGGAAAAAAATCTAAAAAGTGGCAATAATTTCCTCGAAAGGAGAAAATATATAGTACACCTTTTGATGTTCAGGCGTGTTGGAGTTGACTAATTTGACTTGAAAACGTATAAAGAACAAATATTTGATACATCATCTCGCTTCGGATTCTATCATTTTATATGTTTAGGCTACAGGTTGATATAAGTTTAAAAATTCACAGTACTTAAAAACGAAATATATGGGTCAAGTGAAATACCCTCCTAAAGTAATGAGTCGTAACAACAGAGTAGGTGTGTTTAAATACAGCATTTTTTTTACTAAAAGTACTTGACGACAGACTTTACTTGTGGATCTTAAAAATGCATATCTTAAAAAAAAACATTTTTTTTGTGTTTGATATCTTTGGTTATTAGTCTTCGACCTCTGAAAATTTAAAGTCTGCCCTTCCACGAAATATTGAATTAGAATTTTTTTTAAATGTTTTTGAACTTTCGAAAATTCCCCCTGACAACCGATCAGACAACAGTTTTAAGTTGACTAAATGCATAAGTATACATTAAATGATGCTTAATAGCTAGTAGATACATTTGTCCCTTAAAATACAACTGTCATGTAAGAATCGTAATGATGCTATGTGGATAAATTTATCGATTTTCAAGAGCAAAATTGACAGCGCGTCATCCCTACAATGGCTTCCATTTTTACGATTGAAAAAAAATGGGTGGCGAAGATAATTTTGACGAAGTAGAATCCTTACTGAGGAATACGTTTTTACCTGTTAATTTTTCTGTTAAATTTGTTTGTATAGGGTTTCTTTTATTTTTCGATATTATTATCCGTAATAGATGACTATACATGCCAACCTTATTCTGAATTTAAGCCAGGGGGGAGGGCCGAACAAAAATGGTTTGAGTAAGGACGAAAAATGGTGACATTTGGGCACATTTGGATGCAAATTGAAAGTGTTTTGATTTAAGCCACTTAAGCAGAAAAGACAATCAACTACCTTCATAACCTAAGCCTTTTCGGAATTGTTAGCATCCGACATTTCGACAAGAGAATGTCAATATTAAACACCTTTCAACTTCATCATTGAATACTATTTTTGATTCAAGCACTTGACGAAAAGCCAATGGTGACTTTCTGAAACGGCAAAGTGTATTACCTGGACTGGACAGGACTGAACTGGACTGGATTGGACTGGGCTATAGACTGGACCGGACTGTGGCCTGTTTATACTTTTTAATAACATGCATTTATTTTTTATTTGTTTAGTTGTTATCTTCTTGTTTATTTGGGATGTACTTAATGCTTTTTTATTCAATAATATAGTTTTGATTTATAATCATGTCGGTCTGTATTAATTGATGACAATCGACCTCCCGAACAGATCTCTTATATCTTTTAAGTTACAGATTGGAATGTCAGCATCATTTTTATTGTATAAAGCAGATAGAAAGACAGATAAATTATCCTGTATTGTGTATTGCTTTGTGTATAATACATTTATCACCTTATTCTATTTTATTTCCTAAATTTTATATCGTGTACTTTGTTTCACATAAAGATAAAAATAATAAAATGCTCCGCAGGGCGCAGTTTGATACGACCGCAGAGGTCGAACCCTGAACAGTTGGGGCAAGTATGGACACAACATTCAAGCTTGATACAGCTCTGAATTTGGATTGTGATTAAATATTTGACACAGCATAGGTTTCTGACACAGAATGAATGTGGTCTAAGAACTTAAAAATTTTAAATTGGACATTCACCTATTATGGTCCAATATCCAAAATCTAAATACATGGTTAGATTCAGCATATCAAAGAACCCCAAGAATTCAATTTTTGATGAAATCAAACAAAGTTTAATTTTGGACCCTTTTGACCTCAATGTGGACAAAGTTGATAACGGGGCCCAAAAATCTAAATACATGGTTAGATTCAGCATATCAAAGAACCCCATATATTCAATTTTTGTTGAAATCAAACAAAGTTTAATTTTGGACCCCGATTTGAACCAACTTGAAAACTGGGCCCATAATCAAAAATCTAAATACATGTTTAGATTCAGCATATCAAAGAACACTAAAAATTCAATTTTTGTTAAAATCAAACTAAGTTTAATTTTGGACCCTTTGGACCTTAATGTAGACCAATTTGAAAACGGAACCAAAAATTAAGAATCTAAATACACAGTAAGATTCGGCATATCAAAGAACCCCAATAATTAAATTTTTGATGAAATCAAACAAAGTTAAATTTTGGACCCTTTGGACCTCAATGTGGACCAATTTAAAAACGGGGCCCAAAATCCAAAAACTTAATACACGGTTATATTCAGCATATTAAAGAACCCCAAGAATTCAAGAATAAAACCCCATTGAAATTGATCAAGAAATAAGCAATTTATATGAAGTATCTTCTTTTGCACAATACTGTGCAATTGAATATTTCTTGCTATTGCGCAATACTGTACAATTGACAATTTCTTGCTCTTGCGCAATATTGTGCTATTGGATATTTCTTGCTATTGCGCAATACTGTGCAATTGAAGATTTCTTGCTATTGCGCAATACTGTGCAATTGAAGATTTCTTGCTATTGTGCAATACTGTGCAATTGAAAATTTCTTGCTATTGCACAATACTTATTATATAAAAATTTACACATCCTGTTTGGTGTGTATCTCCTACCATATCATTATTATTTGCTTTTAAATATAAATCAGAAATAACCAACTTAAAATGGAAAATTTTAAAAGAAAAAAAAAGGAAAAAAAAAAGAAAAAAAATATCCCCCCCCCCCCAATTTTTTGAACCCCCTTATGATTCATCACCCCCAAACTCAATCCCAGCCTTCCCTTTGTGGTATGGTACCTTGCAGTACAATTTCACAGAGATCCATACACTTGAACACAAGTTATTGTCTTGAAACTAGAAAAATGCTTATTTTTGGCCCCTTTTTGGCCCCCAATTCCTAAACGTTTCAGGCAATTACCCCGAACTCAATTCCAGATTTCACTTTGTGATATGAAACCTTGTAGTACAATTTCAGAAATATCCAAACACTTACACACAAGTTATTGTCATGAAACTAGAAAAATGCTTGTTTTTTGCCCCTTTTTTGGCCCCTAATTCCTAAAATTTTGAGGCAATTACCCCCAAAATCAATTACAGCCTTCCCTTTGTGATATGGAACCTTGTGGTACAATGTCAGAGAGATCCATACACTTACACACAAATTATTGCCTGAAAGTTACAAAAATGCTTATTTTTGGCCCCTTTTTGGCCCCTAATTCCTTAACTGTTGGTACCATAACCCCCAAAATCAATCCCAACCTTTCTTTCGTGGTATTGAACCTTATGGTAAAATTTCATGGAGATCCATTCACTTAAACTAAAGTTAGAGTGCGAAAACCAATGTGTCTTCGGACGACGCCGGACGACGCCAGACGACGACGACGCCAACGTCATACCAATATACGACCAAAAAATTTTTAATTTTTGCGGTCGTATAAAAATAGTTTTATTCCAATTAAAGGGCCCATGGTGAGCTAAGTATTTTTTTCATAATTGAAAGACACAAATAATTTTGTCAACCATATACTCTATAATTATGGATATTATCAACTTATTTTATGATCTAAAGCCACTTCCAGACCAGAGTCGTAAGCACTTTTGTAAGAGCATTAATAACTTTGAAACAGATTATATCAAAAATAACACGCAAATATTCTTAGTGGGTTACATATAAACATATCTGTACTGTATTGATAGTTTTATGAGTTCAAAACATTTAATAATATATAAGTTCCAATAACTTTCAATACCTCTAGGTTTTCTTGAATAAAAAACCAATTGAACTTGGCACTTCTAAATTGTCTGACAATGTATGAAACACAATGGAAACCCCTTTTTTGACGATCAATGCTTTTGAATGGGGACATATGGTTGGAACCGCCCCCTTTTAAAATCCGCCCCTAAAATCCGGGTAACAAACTAAAACCGAGGGAAACACATAAACTATAAGAGGAAAACAACGGAACAACAACAGAAACACTGAACTACAACAAAAGCAAACGCCAACATACATAGAAACGGACTGTCTGATAACAACTGCCATATTCCTGACTTGGTACAGGACATTTTCAGAAAAAAATGGTGGGTTGAACTTATGTTTTTCATTGTGCATAGGATTAAAATATGAACGTGAGCCCAACCTAAATACTCATGTAATATTGATATAGAGTTAAAAGAATAAAGAAGACATATTTAAAAAAAAAGTTATAGCTTTAACTTTAAAATTTGTGTCAAATATAACTTTTCTCATTACGGGCCCTTCAATGGAATAAAAATATTTTTATTATGTGAAACAAAGTTCACAATAATAAATTTCAGAATTAAAACAGAATAAGGTGATAAATGTCTTATACACATAATAATACACAATACAGGATAATTTATCTGTCTTTCTATCTGCTATATACAAGAAAATTGATGGTGGCATTCCAATTTGTACCTAAATAGATATAAAACATCTGTTCTAAGGTCGAATGTCATGAATAAATACAACTTCTATTGACAGACAAGATTATAAATTAGAATGATATTATTAATAAAAAAAAGTATAAAGAACAGTGGTAATAAACACGAAGATAACATATAAACAAATAAAAAATTAAATGCATGTTATTAAAAAAAAACATGTGACAGTCCAGTCTAGTCTAGTCTAGTCCAGTCCAGATCAGTCCAGTCCAGTCCAATCCAATCCAAGAATCCAGTCCAGTCCAGTCCATGTAATACACTTTGCCGTCTGAATTTGTCTGAACTGTACTTATAAACATTATATGTACCAGAACCTATCTCTGTTTACTTAAATAATCGACTAAATACTTATTCATTAACCACGGTTATATCAGTAGAAAAATGTCGATTTATTGATAAACAGTTGTTTCCCTTGTTGAATGATAAATTGAACTTATTAAATACTTATTGTCACTGCACAAAATGTCATTGATTTTATCCTTTGGTCCATTGGAATGTTGATTTTATCCTTTGGTTCATTGATATACATACAAGATTTAGTAAGCGTTTCCCCATATAAGTTAACAATTCAGTAATTATCGATGTCATTTGGGATTTATACTTATAGTCCTAGTTGTCAGGAAAATAAATACACAAAAAAAATACTTTTCACCAAAGATTTGATACAGGCTTACGTGAAAAAAATGGATTTGTATCTAAACATTTTAATCTAAAAGAAAAAATATATATAAAAAACTATGTATATGATGCGAATGAAGGATTTTGTCGAAAGCTGTTGCACTATTAAAACAAACGATTTTAGACAAATCCTTTTCTCAAATTAAAGAGAATATTGTCAAGTAACACAGAAAACAAAAAATCTTATAAACAATCAAATATTCTTTCATAGTTTCATTTTTTTTTTTTTTTATTTAAAGTAGAAGAAAACGAACAAAATGCGTAGAAATTTTCTTGTGGCTCACCTTACTTTGATATTCATATTTATGCATAAGATAAGGAATCATGAAACCAGCAGATACATTGCATGCGTACAAGACGTAAATTATATTTAGAAAAAAATGTTCAAAGAAAACACAGTAGAACATGTGATCTTCAGAAATATAAATTTTAAATTATTGATCTTTGGAACAAATATGTGGGTTGTCGTATTGTGCTCCATTTTTTAATTATATATGTTAATGTAATCTATTTTATTTTTTTATCACAAACCATCTGCAAGGACATTTGTAATAGAACAAAGCATAATGTTTTCATGTATAATCAGATAATTATTATCATGTACCAAGATATGTTGATGAGTCACAGGAATATTTCATGAAACCAGGAAATATCCAATAATGTTCCAATAACCAGTTTTAAATTGTAAGATTACAGTGTGTGATTGTTTTCTTTATTTCAATCTACATTTTGTGTTTCAAACATTTAAATTAAACCGTATAAATGATAATTAATTTCATGTAAATGTAGAAACTACACACTTACCGTAAGGAATCTACATCTTGTTATCAGCTGCTGTAACCGTAAGATGATAGGTGGCGCTTCCAACACACGCATGCAAATCAATAAGGTAAACAATACATTACAGATATTGATTACGAAGTATTATTTACCCATTAATCACAAAATCGGAAGTTACAATAAAAAGGTTAACACATCATCGACATTCGTTTTTTTTTCCTAGCGAAGGAAGAAATTGGTAGACAAATAAAACATTGGTAGAATTAAAGAATGAATTAAGAGGATCGCTCAGACTTCATTAATTTTAGCCCAAAATTCAGTAGGCTGCATATAAACATTAATTGTTCACCAATTAATTCTTTCATCGTCATCATATTTAAGTGGCAAATGTCTGTGTAACAGTGTTTTGTTATAAGACAATGCATGTCTGTTATTTCCTTTGTTATTTGTGAAGTCAAATTTATAAAACCCACCAGGAAAAAAATAAAGATGAAAACACACCGTCAATCATGCAGTTTGACGTTATTTTTAAGCACCAAAATCATATTTGTCCAATAATTATATCTAACAAACTGTGCATCAGTATATAACGTTTTTACCTTGAAACAACATGATAATTATTTTTATGACTGGCCATGAAGTTCAAATTCCCCCTGAAGCGTCCTTGTTTCTTGATTTTCGCAGGATCTTCTGCACTATTCTTCGTGATTTTTTTCCTCCGGTCTATCAAAAACCAACCAGGAAGCGTGCGCACCACATAATCTACTTAAAATATAGATCTCTGTTATGCTCATATGAGCTTCGACCAGTAAGCGAGTTACGATAAATATCAATTTTATAATCAGATTGACGCACCACAAATAAATAAACACAATTTGACATAATCCCTGTGGTCCTTAATGGAAATTAACTGTTATAATTACCCTTCTCCCTTCTGTTCACTGTTACAATTTTATTTCCGTTAACTGGAAAATAACTTAATTGTCAAAAAAGTTTAACTTTTTTGCAGCATCGTCCCTCAACAAAATGTGGGATTGTATTTAAAATAATTGAAAGTTGACGAGAATCTAAAAAAATGTCATGTGCCTTGGTTGAAATCTCGTAAGTCTTCCTTGCTTTGCCAGTTGAAGTGTTGATTATTTTTCATTGATTTACTGTGTTATCAAAATATTTGACCGTTTTGGTACTTATTTGACACTTTATTTTATACCTACTGCATGAAACGGGGATGTAGAGATCGCTTTGCCCGTCGTTCATTCTGCGGTCCTGTTCGTTCATGACTTTGTATCCCCGTCTAACTTCAAAAGTAGCGGAGACAAATTCATCAAAGAAACTTTCAGACGATATGAATTACAATTGCGTTTTTCGTCCTATTTTAGGCAAGACTTCCATTTGAAAAACTTTGGAATATATGTATATTCTTATTCCATCAACAGAGGCCAAACGCGATGTTGTTCCTTTTTAGCTCAGCTGGCCCGAAGGGCCAAGTGAGCTTTTCTCATCACTTTGCGTCCGTCGTCCGTCGTCGTCGTCGTCGTCTCGTCGTCGTCGTCGTCCGGCGTCGTCTGTTAACTTTTACAAAAATCTTCTCCTCTGAAACCACTGGGTCAAATTTAACCAAACTTGGTCACAATCATCATTGGGGTATCTAGTTTTAAAAATGTGTCCGGTGATCCGGTCAACCAACCAAGATGGCCGCCATGGCTAAAAATAGAACATAGGGGTAAAATGTAGATTTTGGCTTATATCTCTGAAACCAAAGCATTTAGAGCAAATCTGACGTGGGGTATAATTGTTTATCAGGTCAAGATCTATCTGCCCTGAAATTTTCAGATGAATCAGAGAACCTGTTGTTGGGTTGCTGCCCCTGAATATGTAATTTTAAGGAAATTTTGCAGTTTTTGGTTATTATCTTGAATATTATATTAGATAAAGATAAACTGTAAACAGCAATAATGTTCAGCAAAGTAAGATCTACAAATAAGTTGTCATGACCAAAATTGTCAGTCGACCCCTTTAGGAGTTATTGCCCTTAATAGTCAATTTTTAACAATTTTTTGTAAAGGAGTAGGCCCAGTAAGACCCCTTTTTGGCCCCAAAATATAGCAGTTTTACAAAATTGTTAAAATGTAAATTTTTAGCTATTTATTGGAAAGAAGAATACTTCTGTTACATAAATATGGGCTGTTTTTGACAATACAATGCACATGTTTCGGGTACTAGCATCATTAAGTCATGTTAGATTACTGAAATCTTTGAAAATTTAGCATTTTGGTTAATTTTTAGACGGTTTCCGTCTGAAATGGAAGTGGCCGCATTTGTGTTCATTCTTAATATTTAAATATAAGCTGTATTTGATGATATTACATAACATATATAAAGGTTAAGAATGAACACGGATGCGGCCACTTTCATTTTTGACGAAAACCATCTGAAAAGTGACATATTATGGCATATTTGATAGATTTTTCATATTTAAGCTTGAATTTGAGCGTCTTTAATGACTAAATCAGTTCAAATCTTTCACATAAACTGATTGAATCGACTGAGGTAGACACTTAAGTGTTTAAAAAGTGTCCAAAATATTCCATTAGATGAACTTGAATTTTGAGGCCAAAATCGGCCCTTACCGGACCTACTCCTTTTTGTAATCTTTTACAAAAATCTTTGTCTCTGAAACTACTGAGACAAATTTAACCATACTTGGCCATAACCATTATTAGGGTATCTAGTTTAAAAAATTTGTCCGATGACCCCGCCTTCCAACCATCATGGCCGACTTTGTTAAAAATAGAACATAGGGGTAAAATGCAGTTTTTGGTTTATATCTCTGAAACTAAAGCATTTAGAGCAAATCTGACAGTTGGCAAAAATGTTCATCAGATTTAGATTTATCTGCCCTGAAATTTTCAGACGAATCCGACAACCCGTTGTTGGGTTGCTGCTCCTGAGTTAGTAATTTTACAAAAATTTTGCAGTTTTTTGTTATTATCTTAGATATCATATCTAATACTATTAATTATGATTTTAACCTTATTTTACATGATTTTCAAAGCATCAGTAAATACAGGTGAGCGACACAGGCTCTTGAGAGCCTCTAGTTTTATTAATCCAAATGATTTTTTATTGTTGTTTTACAGCATAACAAGGAAACGTGCTTAACTTTATACAAAAGTTAGTATCATTTTTTTACCCACAGTTTGTTTTAAACTAATCTCCCGATTGCAAGGACATATGATTTGTTTAGTCTGAGAATCTTTTCTTACATTATGCAACTGTCAGCCGCATACTGCAAATTATTTTTGGGGGTTTCTTTAGAAAAACATCGAATTCAGGAGATATTGGTGATGAATTTCACTTAAATAAAAAAAAAATTGAAACCTTTAATTCTTCCGAAATAGACCAAACATAATTTTCATAGTCTAATGAATTATGCCATACCTATGCTGAACAATTTGTGCAAATTTATCAGGCTAATTAAGAAAGGATGGACTCTCAGGGTAACATTGTTAGTTAGCATTTATATACTATTGTATTCATAAATACATTGTATTTTTTATATAAACTGGGATCTCTTTCTAACCATTGTAGATCATACATTCGTATTAATTCTGACCACTAGTTACATTCTTAATGATTACAATATTTTTTGTCTCTGTACCTATATGATTTGAATTTAGAAAGAAAGTTAAGCACCGAAAGGAAAAAAAGGGTAGGGGGGCTATATCCCCAGCACCTGTGAACCGAACTTAGGACAGGGGATACTTGAACAATTATATTTATATATAGACATTGATATTGTCTATGTTTTATCAAATGTCATTATGTAATGACAATCACTACATTTAATATTAGTTTCAATAATTAAAAAAAATCAATGATAATTAAAAAGCCCGTGTTCGTCAAATTGTACTATACTATTTATTTATAATCCGCAATTTAATTTTTAAAGTTTTGATTCAGACTTATATTGACTATAACAATAAATAGACATGCGAACCTTTAAAAAATTCAATGACGTTTAATAATCAATATTTACCTGTGAGAAATGGTCGGTAGATGTCGCATGAAATTGTAAGGAAACCATAGACGCCTGGGACTTTTGCCAATAAAAATGAGGTATTTCCTGTACGATTTTTGTTAAAAACAATGTCGTGACCCTCTTCAAATCTACTGTGCGCGAAGGGGTAGGACAAGCCATGTCGGATGTCCAGCCCCTTATCGGCCTGCTGGAGGTGCTGTTGCAGTTATCGTGTCCCAAGCCTCGAGTGAAACCCGGAGGCTATAGTGATGATATATTTCTTGATCTCACAGAGGAAGAAAAGGAAGCTTATGAATGTTCAATTTGGTATGTAAACTATATTTACAAATGACAGTGTATGTCGTTGACTATCGTACCAATTATTTCTTTAAACAACAATAATGTGGCAATGTTGTAACACGTTTGAAGTAGACGGGTGACCTATAGAAAAATGAAACATTGTGATATAATCCATAGGCCCTTTAAGCAAGGGATCTCTTCAAGTTGTGTTATATTTTGTGATGTAAAAATATATATATTTTTGCTTCAAGAAAACATCTTCCTTATTAAAGCCACCCAAAGTGTTGTTAAGAAGTGAAGATCTAATTATTTATTTATAGAGTGCCAGCTCGATGTGTTTGATAATATAAAATATGGAGAGCTGGTATGATTGCGAATGCGACAACTATCCAGCATAGTCAAAATGACGTGGATTTAAGCAACTATAGGCTATCGTACGATCTTCAACATTTAGCAAACCCAACCGTACGTTCAGCCATATAAGCCCCGTACATAACAAAATGTTAAACAATTCAAACGAAAACAACAACGGCCTGATTTATAACAAAACAATAAACGAAAAACAAAAACGGCCTGATTTATAACAAAACAATAAACGAAAAACAAATATAACAGAAAGCAACCAACGACAACCACTGAATTACTGGGTTCCGACTTAGACATATATAGAATGTGGCCGCGGGGTTCAATTTGTTTGTGAGCGCTGAACCACCCCCTAACCTCGGACAGTGGTGTTACAGCACAACATATAAGACCAAACTTTAATGAAAATCAAAATGGCTTAACATATCAGATTAACAAGAAACACACATAGTTAACATGAAGACTAAGGACATCAAGCTTTGTATGCCCCACCTACGATAGTAGAGGGACATTATGTTTTTTTTGGTCTGTGCGTCCGTTCGTTCGTCCGTCTGTCCCGCTTCAGGTAAAAGTATTTTGGTCAAGGTAGTTTTTAATGAAGTTGAAGTCCAATCAACTTGCAACTTAGTACACATGTTCCCTATGATATGATCTTTCTAATTTTAATGCCAAATTAGAGTTTTGACCCCACTTTCACGGTCCAGTGAACATATAAAATGGTAGTGCGAGTGGGGCATCCGTGTACTATGGACACATTGTTTCCACCTATATCTATCAATTTTTTTTTCGAAATAATAGGTTAAAGTTAAAAAAGTCAAATTCGTCATCTAAGGGTAATAAATCCTGTAATGACTCGATCTTATTTTTTTGGAAATAGGAAGTAGATAGATCTTGACATTCTGAGCATTTTTGCATGGCTTACATTATGTATATAAGTTATGGATTTCAATATAATATATACCTCTAAGGCTGTTTTACTCTTTCTTATAAAAGGGCCCGAACCTAGGGATACGAAACCGTTGACATTTTTGAAAGGGTACATTTGTCTTGTGTCATGTAAGGTTCTTTTACAGCTGCATGTACGGTATTGGTGTTGATCATTGGTGACTAACCCGAATAATTCAGTCATTATATTCCTTTGCTCTAAGATAACTACATTTGGGAGAACCCTGAATTATTCGTGTATACGGCGACCTATAGTTTCTAATTACATTTACGTAAGTTGATCTCTGGCGATTAGTTGTCTCATTAGCAAGCATACAATGTACCACATCTTCTTTTGGCAATCAAACCGCATCTCCTATTGGAAATCATACTACATCTCCTTGTTTTTATATTGCTACATGCAAGGAAAAGCTGCGATATTCATTTTTGCCGCTTGAATCTGAAAATAATTAATTTATTAATCTATGAAAAACATTTGTAAAGTGTTCTGAAACTACTGAAATTCATATGGTTACTGACTTCACGCCTCTAATTGACGATTCTTTTTAATTGGCAAGAAATTCTATAACTTAACAAATGGAAAATTAAAATTCATGACAAATAAGTTGAAATTTTTAACAATAAGGAGTTTATTAAACATGCTTAATGTATTTGACCAAAACAACTTCAGCTGCATGGATAAAACCAATAACAGCCAATATTGTAAGACATAACTGAATAGGTCGGACCAATTTTAAAAAGATGAACATAAAATAACGACAAAAAGAGACGATTTCAACTAACTTCCATTTTTAGCATACCTGGCCCTGGCCATCATTTGTCGTCCGTCGTCGTCGTAAATTTTTACAAAAATATTATCCTAAAAACACTCGATAAATTTTCCACCCAAACGTTAACTGAATGATCCTAAGGAAATCTTAGTACACAGTTCGTGTTTTTTGGTTCCTGCAAATCAAATAAAATGGCCTCCATAGCTTACAATAAAACATAAGTTTAAAATACACGTATCGTCTAAAAAAGTGAAAACCATAATAGATAGAAAAAATATTGAGAATGTTAAGATCTACCTACTTCCTATATTTTCCACCTAAACAAGACAAATCCTTACAGGGGTTATTACCCTTAATGACGATTTTTGACAAATTTTCAAGTTTTTGCCTTTATTTCGCAAAGAATGACAGATATAGGTGAAAAATGCAAACAGCATAAACTTTCAACAGTGCAATATCTTTACAAAAAAAACTTTATGGACATTTCGGAAATAAATTTAATCGACAGGTTGTAGGCATGCATTCCTATTGGCACCAATACACTGGAAACTCTGTACCAAAGTTTACGATAAAAGGGACCTGCAGAAAACTAGTTACTAGCGTATATTTACGATGATGTTGTTTTTAGAGCCCGTAAACTAAGATACGATCTTTGTTTAGCTTATATGTCCTTTGAATAAACTTTTGTTTAAAGGTTATCAATTTAACACTGTAATAAGATCTCTGAATATAGTTTTTATCGAAACTAAGTGGAAGACCAGTTGATTTTTCGGGGGGGTGGGAGATGAGGAGGATTTTATTCCTGTTTGATCATTTATTTTCATCTGTTGCTACGCATGCTTGTTTTTCCACGTGGCTTCGCCTGTGTAAACGTTTGTCTCTTGCATTGTGTGTTGCAGAATATGCATTTGCATCCTGTCTTGTGCAAAGTTATTTATTTACAGTTCTTTCCAGGCCAGGTCAGTTATTTTCAAGATCCTCATGATACTTATTTTGGCATTGCACTCGGTCAAGTTTTCCTATAGGCTCTTTTATGACGTTTATATACTCAATCTATTGGATGTGTACTGATTGGTATTTTCTCTTGGATACTTGATTTTTTTTTTTACTTATTGGCTTTGAACTAGCTTTCAGTAACTGCGACACGTGCACTTGTCTCTGAAAAAAATATCATATATACCTTAATTTTGCAGAGATAAGTAGGTCCGTTGTTTATGTCTAAGTGTTAATGTTTATAGTTTTTGTGCTTTGTATTGATCTGATGAGTCTTACACAAGAAAAAAAAATGTTTTGCTACAAGAATATTAACAATCAAAATGTTAATGTGTGTAAAAATAATATAATTATAGGATTTTATCATTTGCAACCAGAAGTCAATTTACAATTAAAGGGCTTGTATGAAACATACCCAATTCAGCTTATATAAATGCTAAATTAACAGATGTTTTATTCTCTCCCTTTAGATGTTACTAATACACTGTATGTACTTCTTTTCAGCTACCAAGTCCTAAAGGAACCACAGAAATGTCGGAATAATCATCAGTATTGCTACTCATGTATCTACACATGGACCACGAGTTCGCCGGAAGCCAATCATGGACGCTGTCCCGTGTGTCGAGTCGACGGTCCTTATCGGAAACACAATGAACTAGACGAAATAATTGGAAAAAAACAAGTTAAATGCAATTTAAAATCTTGCAACTGGAAAGGAACTTTAAAGTCACTTGGAGGTCACCGACACACCACATATACAAGGACTGGTCTGCCATATAGACCGACAAATAGGGTACGTGTTGATGAGGATTTACCAGCGATTTCAAATACAGACAGACGAACTCCGTCGGTTAGTGACACGCCTAGGTCAGTGGCAAACGCTCGTGCAAGTAGTGTTGCACGAAGGCATAACACAAATTCTAGTAGGAATAGTATAATTGAATCTTCTCCTTTTACGCCTAGACCGCCATCTTCGTCACGCCCTCAAGGGCAAGGACAAGGACAAAGGCGCATTCCAACTCTTCCAAGTATAGTAAATCAGAATTCCGATAGGAGAATAACACAGGGTAGAACAACAGCCGCCAGGCGGAACACTGGTACAAACACTCAAAATGGCAGCTTTCAAGGAGGAAACGTCAATATTCGAGATAGGTTAAGGGACAGTAGAAATCGGTTAGATGCAATGATGACCAGTTTTGCATCAGAACTTGACAGAGGTCGTAGAGACATTGCTGATTTTCAACAGGAGAGGGAACGTCGAAGACAAGAACAATTACAGGAAGTTCGAGATCTAGGCAGACGTCTTGGTCACGTGGCACAGGAACTGCGCGGACTTTTAGAACGCAGACGACAGATGAGCAGTGGTGATTCGTCTTCCTCCGATGATGATGATAACTTTTGAAAACGGAAATAAACAAAAGTAAAAAATGTGCATTCTATACATTCTGTGATAATTTTTGTGATATCAGAGTTTGTAAAATTAATTTTCTGCATTAGTAAGTAAAACAATTTTTAAATATCTAACCGTAAGTTATTCGATAATTCTCATTAATTGTGATTTATGTGTTGTCAAGTCTCTGCTTAATATGCCAGGGAACAACAACGTGGAAGGACAAAAATGCATTTACTAAAATCGCGGATTCAGAAGTAAAAAATAAAAAAAAGGAGAAAACATCAATTAAAATGCAAATGTCAATGAAATGTTTATGCCAAACATAAAAGTAAATATCCAAGACTATATGAAAACAGAAGAAATGGCTTTAAGAGTGTTCGCTGCTCTGTTTCAAAATAACAAGATTTTTTTAGAGAGATTATCAATAGTAAATAGATAACAGAACTAAAAAGACAGAAAAATGAAAGGTCGTGTCCTTGAGGGGTTTGAGATATAAACAATTGAAAATTTGGCGGGAAATGATTGTCTCTAGATTGTTCATGAATAAATGATTGTCTCTAGATTGTTCATGAATTTAACATTGGCACCTTTTTTCAAAGGCGATAAAAAATAACAAGGATTTTATAAGATTTTTTAATATGGCTTTTGAACTATATGTAATAGACCTTGAAATGGCACTACATGGATAAAACCAGAGGATTCCGAATACCAGTATCTGACCAAAAATTCAAAAACAAGATCAGCGAACATCCTTACAACTAAAATTCAGTTGTTTATCCGTGCACAATCAATTTCTTACGCATATAATTGGGACTAATTTTCCCTGATTTAACTAGATGTACAAACAAAAAGATGCATTTGCTAAATGTTTTATGTATCTCTTCTGCAGCAATTGTTTAATCTAGTGCTTGAACATTAGTGTATATAATTCACAACTGTTTTGCTTGTTCTGAAATATTATGCTAAAAGAAATAGTTAAATGAATTATTTGATGGTTATCTGATTTTTATTTAAACTGTACTGCTATGCACTTTAAGATTCAGCATGGTTGGTAACGGGCGAGCGGAGGAACTAGTACTAATGCACTGTACGATATACAACATGTATAACTTAATTTCATATTTCATTTTCCTATATATTGTACATGTATTTATAAATACTGTTTTTTTTTTTGTTATAACTTATCAATTAAAATTATTTTTCGGTGGAATTCAGTTTATTTTGAAAGATTCTTTTCCTATATTTCTATAAATTTCTGCATCTTACTATAGTACATGAAATGTTTTAAAGAGCATCTTACTATAGTACATGAAATGTTTTAAAGAGCATCTTACTATAGTACATGAAATGTTTTAAAGAGCATCTTACTATAGTACATGAAATGTTTTAAAGAGCATCTTACTATAGTACATGAAATGTTTTAAAGAGCATCTTACTATAGTACATGAAATGTTTTAAAGAGCATCTTACTATAGTACATGAAATGTTTTAAAGAGGATAACAGTTATAATCAACAACAAAAAATTAGCGTAAATTAAAAATGATTTGACAGTGTAAGTAAGTAAGTAAGTAAATTTTTATTGTAGTGACATGTGTAATAACAGTTTAACAAAATACAAATATATTACATAAACAATAAAATACACCCGACCCATTGGGTCTATAAGTCATTTTCAAAATCATAAAACGTATTTCTTTTATCACGGATTTCAAACAAAATAATGAAAAAAGATTAAGCTAAATTCAAAATAATTAATTCATAATAGTGTATTTATCTCTTGTTCCAATTAAGACGGCCATTGATGGACATTATGACATTATGACATTCACTCACTATAAGATTTGGTAAAACATTATCACATTGAAATGAAATATTGAATGTTCATATGATAGGGTCCGTCTTTAACTTGCAGTGAGGTGAGAGTTTTTTTTTTTTTTTTTTTTGCTCCGTGTTGAAGGCATCAATGTGACTTTGACATGAAGAACAGCAATAAAAGCGCTGTTCCTTTTTTTTTTTTGTTGTGCATGTACTGATTTCGTGTCATGAATTGATACCCCATATTCTTCGTTTTTCTATTATATAATTATAAAACCCCCATAATATAACAGTATCTAGGAGAATATTACAAAAAATGACGACATCTGTCATATTTCTGACTTGGTACATCTGCATCACTATTGCATACACGACAAAATTAATGTAAGATAAAATATGAGGGTTATTGCACCAATATTATGGAATTTTGAAGATCAGAATATGTTTTTGCACACACTTTGCAATTTGTCATTTAAAGGTATAATCATTCACAATTTCATGGGCGGATCAAAACAGTTAAGATTGGGAGGGGTGACCAAGTAATAATTTCATCGGGCGAACGAGTCGGAATTTTTTTTGACGATTAATATGTAGAAATAAAGGGATATTTTCCGATTGCGGGGGTGGCGCACGCCCGCTACGCCCCGCCTTAATACATCCCCTGACTGCCATTCACCCAAACTGCGTTGTATCAAAAGCGATTATTTATATAGCTCTTTTTCTGCAAAGGCTTTGTTTCGCATACGGTGTCGATGTGGACTTCTTGTGATGCATTTAATGTTCAATCATAAGAACTGGATGATTCATTGCTTTTAGCAAATACTAGTATCTTATATTGTATTTCTTAACCTCATTTTCATTGTACATTGACGGTATAACAACTTTAAAGTTTGTTTATTCTGTTGAAATTTCAGTTAGGTGTAGAAAAAAATCAGGGGAAACTGGCCATCATTAATATATTATTGAAACGGTCACATGTCTGCCTGACAGGAAACATCAAATCCCTGACCTCATTTTGATGGCTCATTGATCATCAAAATTCATGACTTAGTTATTTTCCAAATTTCATTAATATATTATTGAAACGGTCACATGTCCGCCTGACAGGAAACATCAAATCCCTGACCTCATTTTGATGGCTCATTGATCATCAAAATTCATGACTTAGTTATTTTCCAAATTTCATTAATATATTATTGAAACGGTCACATGTCCGCCTGACAGGAAACATCAAATCCCTGACCTCATTTTGATGGCTCATTGATCATCAAAATTCATGACTTAGTTATTTTCCAAATTATCAAGGGTAACATGTCCGTCTATACTAGCTGAGGACATTTTAGCGAAAAAATCCGGACGTTTTAGCGCTAAAGTGTAACCCATTTAAGCGCAAGTTTTTAATTTATTTAGCGAAAAGTGAAATTACCAATACCCGTTTTAGCGACAAAATTGAATTCATATTAGAATAATCAAGTTATATTGTACCAAGACAGCATTCAATGTCTAAAAAGTTAATTCAAATGTTACAAGTCCGTTTAGGCCTGGAATTTAGACCACAGTGAACGTGCATAATGGGTCTCTTGATTTGACTTACTTGACTTGACTTAATCCACTTCGTCCCAAGGGGGACATAGGGCGACTACAGTTTCTCTCCATTTCTTCCTGTCCATGGCTGTTCGTTTTGTTTCTTTCCAGGTCTTCCCAATTTTACTCAGCTCTGTTGTTAGTCCCCTGCGCCAGGTGTTTTTTGGCCTCCCCCTTTTTCGATGTCCTTGGGGCTTGCTTGGTGATATTTGTGTCTTTTTTTCTGAGGGTATGCCCGATCCACTTCCACTTTCTTGTTCTTATTATCTGAGTTGTTGGCTGTTGTTTGGTTCTTCTCCATAACTCATTGTTGGATATTTTGTTTGGCCATCTGATGTTGAGGATGTTTCTCAAACATTAATTGACAAAAGTTTGGATTGATTTGACAGATGCAGCTGTTTCTCTCCAGGTTTCTGATCCGTATAAAGTACAGATTTGACATTGGTGGTAAATATCCTTAACTTTGTGCTAGTTCTTAAAGCATTACTCCTCCAAACGGGTTTAAGCATGGGAAATACCTGTTGTGCTTTCTTTTTTCTTGCCGATATGTCTTCGTCTGTGCCTCCTGATGTACTAACAATACTTCCAAGGTAAGTGAATTGTTGTACGTCTTCCAACAGTAGAGTCGTCGATCTTAAGACAATCTTGCTGGTTTGTATTTAGCCTCATTGATTTAGTTTTCTGTGTGTTGATGTATAGGCCTGTTTGTTTTGCTACTGTTTGAAGACTTTTGGTCTGATGTTGTGCATCTTGGAAGCGATGGGATAGTGTACAAATGTCATCGGCAAATTCTAGGTCTTCAAGACGTGTTGTGAGAGTCCATCCAATGCCTTTCAGATCTTTGTAGGCTGATTTACCAACCCAGTCAACTACTATTAGGAAAAGGAGCGGAGAGAGAAGACAACCTTGACGTACCCCAGTTGTAACGGGGAATGGTTCGGTCATAGTTCCACCGTGTATAACTTGACAGGAAAATTGGTCGTATAGCAATTTTATCATTTTGATGATCTTTTGCGGAATTCCATAGTGTCCTAGAATGTTCCAGAGGACCTGATGGTCAATGCTATCAAAAGCTCTCTGGAAATCCACAAAATTTAGGTAAAGTGTTGTCTGCCATTCTATTGTCTGTTCAATAATAATTCTCAATGTGGCTATTTGGTCTACACATGATCTTTCTTGTCTGAAGCCAGCTTGTTCATCTCTTAATATCTTATCGACTTCATTTTTCATTCTGCTAAGGATGGTGCTACAGAGCAGTTTGCTCGGTATGGACAACAAAATGATACCTCTCCAGTTGTTGCAAAGTGACTTGTTACCTTTTTTGGGGATTTTCACTAAAAGTCCTTTACTCCAATCATCTGGTATTTCTTCTTCCTCCCAGATCTTATTAAGTAGTTGTAACAGGCTAAGGACAGAGGTATCATCCAAGACTTTTATAACTTCTGGTGGTATGTTATCAATGCCGCCTGCTTTCCCATTTTTTAGACTTTTGATAGCTTTGGTAACTTCAGCTTTTGTTATTTTGCTGGTTTTGATGTATAATGTTGGACCATTTTGTAGTTCAGGTGGATCTGTAGGTGGGGGTCAGTTAAGAACCTGCTCGAAATGATCTTTCCACCTTTCAAGTTGTTCTTCCAGTTGAGTGAGGGTCTTGTTGTCTTTATCTTTGATTGGTGTATTTGAGGTTGGTGGTTTACCACTTAATTGCTTTGTAATGTTGTATAGGGTTTTGATGTCTCCCTTGCTACAGGCGGTCTCTTGATTTACCCACGGAATAATAATGTTCATAAAATTGCAATAGCAACTGTTCCTTCTCTTTATCATTTCCAGATTGAGATGCAGATTCATCGATAGTTTTTTTGTCTCGCCTGCGACGAAAGTATGCGATACATAGAGATTACTATCCGGCGGCGGCGGCGGTGTAAACTATTTGTATAAAGCTTTATATTTCAGAAGGTAGAAGACCTGCAAGCTTCATACCTTGTATGCTGATACCTTATGTTACGAAGTTTCTATCTGTCATATGTCCATTGTTCTTGACCTCATTTTCATGGTTCAGCGACTGTGTGAAAAAAAAACTATTGTTTTGTTATGTTAATTTCTCACTTATTGTGAGTAATAGGATAACTATTATATTTGATTAATGGGTTCCTTGTAACGTCTAACCCGAATATTCCAGTCGTTATATTTCAATCACTTCGATCACTACCTCTGGAGGACAATGACCATAAGGGGGCGCTGAAGTTATTCGAGTAATGTAACGTCTACATGTCTGTCAGACAGGGTTCACCTGGCCTAGACCTCATTTTATGGATCAGTGATCAAGGTTAAAGTTACGCGATAAGGTCCGTTTCTTAGACACTATAAGCAGTGGGTCAACTATATGTGGTGTATAGAATGATTGTAAGGTGTACACGTCTTTCTGGCAGGTATCATCTGACCTTGACATCATTTTCATGGTTCATTGGTCAATGTTAAGTTTTTGTGTTTTGGTATGTTTTTCAAATACTACAAGCATTAGGTCAGCTAAATTTGGTGTACGGAATGATAGTAAGGTGTACATGTCTGTCTGTCAGGTATACTCTGACCTTGACCTCATTTTCATGGTTAATTGGTCAATGTTAAGTTTTTATGTTTTGGTCTGTTTTTATTTACCATAAGCAATAGGTCATCTATTTTTGGGGTATGGAATAGTTGTAAGGTGTACATGTCCGTCTGACAGGATTTATTGGACCTTGACCTCATTGTCATGAATCGTTAAACATATTAAGTGTATGTGATACTTGTAGTAAAACCTTTATCTTTAAGAC